TCTTCGGTGGCAGGTTCTTCGGTGGCAGGTTCTTCGGTGGCAGGTTCTTCGGTGGCAGGTTCTTCGGTGGCAGGTTCTTCGGTGGCAGGTTCTTCAGCGGGAGGTTCCTCAGCAGGTGCGTCAGCTGGTGCTTCCTCTGCTGGCGCCTCGTCCACAGGAGCAGCTTCTTCGCTCGCAGGTGCGTCTTCAGCGGGAGCCTCTGCAGCAGCTGACTCTTCGGTAGGTGCTTCTTCTGCAGCAGGTTCTTCAGGAGCGGTCTCTTCAGCAGGGCCTTCTTTGGCGGGTGTCTCCTCAGTCGCTGGTGTTCCTTCAGCGGGTGCTTCCTCGGTGGCTGGCTCTTCAGTGGAAGGTGCCTCTTCGACAGGAGGTTCTTCTGCTGGTGCGGAGTCTTCCGCGGGTGTCTCTTCCGGTGCAGTATTGCCGTCTGCGTTTTCTTCAGCAGGGACTTCCTCAGCAGGGGCATCTTCTCCAGTGGCTTCGTTGGATTCTGCTGCCTCAGGAGCAGCCTCTTCTGCTGGTGCATCTGGTGTCTCCTCCGCAGACGGCATTTCCACGTCTGCGGTGGTAGCTTCGGCTGAAACAGCCTCATCAGATTTCTCTTCTGGTGCTTCTTCAGCTTCCTTAGTCGCTTCATCGCTCGCTTCTGCGTCTGGCGCATCTGCCGCGGGCGTCTCCTCATCGGCCGGTGCCTTATCGTCGCCATCAGGAGCAGCATCTCCGTCTCCATCGGTAGCAGATGGCTCTTCGTTGTTTCCATCAGCCTCTTCTGAAGAGGGAGCTGCCTCATCTGTTGGCGTTGGCTCAGTAGCCTCCTCGGCTGGTGGATCGGGGCTGCTACTCTCGGCAGGAGGATTCTCAGGAGGAGATGTGGCATCCCCAGTTCCGTCGGGGCCAGCATCTGCATCAACCTCTTTCTCTTCGCCACCTGCGCTTTCGGCTTCAGGAGCCGTCACTGGCTCGCCAGCGGAGCCGTTTTCTCCTTCTGGCTCTTTCTCTTCCTCAGCAGTGGTCTCCGTTGCCGCCTCTACTGGCGGGTCGCTCTCGTCGTTGGCCGGGGCGTCTTGTGTTGGCTCTTCGGCATCATTTGTTGCCTCTGGGTTGTCCCCGGAACTGTCGTCTGGTGGCGTAGCTTCTGACTCTGTTGTTTCCTCGGCTGGTGGAGCTTCGATTGAATCCGGTGTCGTTTCATCTGATGATGCTTGATTGGCCTCACCAGCTGGTTCTGGTGAGTCTTCATGGTTCTCCGGCGTCGCCGCTGGAGTCTCTTCGGATTCAACTGTAGGCGGATCCGCATCAATAATAATTGTGTCCGGGGCCTCGGGCCCGGCACCGACGTCAGACATGGCTTGTTCAAGCACCTCAGCTATTTGCTCTGGAGGGGCGTCTGCTTCTTGCATTTTTTCTACTATTTCAACCACACTTTCTGGCTCTGATGGCTTGTCGTCATCGGTTGTTGTCTCCTTGGTTTCATCTTCTGTGTTACCAACATCGGCGGCGGCTTCAATCTCAGCTTCCTTTGGCGTTTCTGCCGGGCTTGTTTCCGCAGCTTCAGGAGGCGTGTCTTGCGCTTCCATAGCGGTATTCGCTTCTTCCTGTGAAGCCTCACTTGAATCTGGTGGAGGAGCTTCTGCTCCGTCCAAGATCCGGTTAGAAGATTGTGCCTGAGTATTTCCAGACCCCGACATACCTTCGTCCTTGGGAGCTTCTTCAGAATCCAATGGGTCATCTAAGACCGCGTTCGCTGTCGAACTTGTTTCTGCACTGTCGTCGGAAGCACCGTTGTCGTCTTCCAATAGTATTATTTCTTCTTGACAATTAGTATGTGTCAAAATACCTTTATGGAGTGCTGGCTTGCCTTCAAGATCTTCTGGTGGCGGGTTCAACGATTCTGGTACCGCCTTTTCGTTTAATGCTGGCGATCCTGGCTGGGACTCGAAACTCTTTAGAGGGTCGTCAGCAAATGGGGGAAAAGGGTATATTCGTTCGGGCGGCACAATGGGATGGGAAGAAAATGTGAGGGTATTTCTGTCAAAAGTTCTCCATTGAAACACAGGAAGCTGTGCATACTGGAATTGGTACGGCCGAGCCATTGTGAGTTGAGTTGGGTTCTTCGACCCGAGGGTTGTGTCGATTCTGGTACTTATTCTTTCTTTTGCCTTTCTTGCTTTTGACCATGACGGGGGGGACAGGCACAGCCGACGCAGGATTATATGGTATTCTGAGTGGCCAGAGCGTCGGTGTTTCCTGTCACACCTTCAGGCCGGTATCACGAGTGTCACGGAGGAATGGAAAAGCAGCGATGACGTGACAGCAACTGATCGGATGGTTTCGCTTGGGTACATAAGCGGGAGACAAGCAGAAGATACGACGCAGGAAGCTCAAAAGGAGTTCGCAATGGCTGAGAACTTTGGAAGGAGGCAAAAGTTGCCAGATGGTCGAGCAATGGCCAGATCTTGAGGCCCGGGCATGATCTTCTGCTCTGGGAGTCATCTTTCATCAAATCCCGCCTCTCCTTCCAAGCGTAGGAATGGAGCATTTTGCAATTGGGCCACGTTGTAGCATACCAGCCGTTGCTTTTGCGCAAGTGTCGGGCCGGATGCTTTGGCGAAAGTAATGCGGACAGCGTGCAGAGGTAGCGTGGCTCGAAAAAAGATAGAAACTGACTCAGGGTCAGGCAACTGCAACTGAGACTGGAATCATCTTGGGTGAATGCCCGCAATTGGACGAAATGTGCAGCTGTACATTGTTGATTGGCCCGAATGGGTGGCCGAAAGTGACACTTGTGTTGATGCCCAACGACAATCCCACGGCTTCATTCGACGACGAAATGCAGGCAAAAGAGCAAAAGCCGGTGGTCGCTTGGTCGAATGACCAAGTCACCGTCGTTCAAATTCCCCCAAGTGAGACCAGTTGAGACCAGTTCGTGGTGCGACGTGGAGGAGTTCATGGAGACACAGGAAGTGAATGCACCATCCCAGGCCCAGCAGCACTAGAGGGCGAATTCCGCGTTCAGCCGATGCAAGTGCATGAGGGCATGTGATAGAAGACGTTGGCTGATCGACGAAAAAAGAAACGCGGCATGAACAAATTGAAGAAGATTGGGAGGATTTCACTCGATTGACCCAGCGCAGAATCGACGGCACAAGGGGCGAACGAAGCGCAGGAACGGCATATAGATCCCAGTCCTCCCCCGTAGTCCCTCGTACTCGTATCTCGTTGGCTCTTCTCTTCCCTTCGTTCATCTCTATCGTCGCCTCACTTTCAACCAGATTTCTATATGATTCGTTATTGACCTTTATCGTGCAGAGCGGACTTCGTTGATCTCACAGTCGGCAAAGGGCGTTTCATCACGTGCATTACTCTATTATTCTATCCGAGAATGCATACCGAGAACCGCAGTCTACAACAATTGTATTCATCATCGTCATTCGTTCAGTCGAGTTCTCTATCCATTTTCTCTCGCCATCGAGGCCCGAATCGTTTCATCGCCCATATCACGGATGCGCTGGACAGTGTCCAGATTCCCAAAATAGTAAAAAGCCAGCCATTGCCAATGCCCGAGATGACGGGGGCACCAACGATTGCACCAACACACGACAGGATATTTCGGCAAAAATTGTTCAAGGCGACGCCCGAAGATGATCGTCGTGGCATGAATTCCGTCAACATAGTGGTCGACATGGCAAAAATAAGCATGGAGCCAACGCCGTAGAAGAAGTTCGCAATCATCTGTACTCCACGTGTCAGTCCCTGTACCTGCATATGACATTCGCTCCCAAGGGTGACTCACGGGAACGATCCAAAGCACCCCTTTCTCAGCCGTCCAGCCGTACCAGACCAAGGCAACAGGATAGAGCAGGGCACCAAGCCACGCGTTCTCTCGCATGCGATCCTCCGGATGAAAGATCAGTTTGCCTCTCTCGTCTATCCGGCGTGCCTTCAACGCCTCCCGTTTCATAATGGAGTCCATCCACCTACCGCCAAAGACGCTTGCAAGGATGTACCCAATTGAATTCGGAATGTAGAGCAACCCAATGATAATGGTTGAGAATTGATAAGGCGGCCTCTCAAAGGTATACTGGACACTGATGTTCAACACGTAAAGCGAGCCGAAAGTAATGGCCGAATAGTAAACCGTCAGTAGAACCGGCATGAACCTGATGTACAAGATGACCTGAAGTGGGTCAACGAGCAACATTTTTAGCACTTTCAGGTACTTTTGGCTGCTTTGCTGGACAGCCTCGCGGGTCGATGTCCGGCTCAAGGGCGCCCCAGACCGATCACTCATAGACGAGGTAGTCTCATTTGCGGCTTCGTCAACGATATCCTTCGTTGCTCTGAGGGTTTCTGGGAGGCCGAAGAACAGCAAAACCCAGGCCAAAACTAGAGATTATGTCAGTCCTTTCTTGTCTGTTGTCACAATGCACTTCTACTTACCCCCGTAGATTACAAGCGCCCATTGAGTAGCTCTCCAATCCCAATGCTGCCCGAGGACACCGCCCACAATGGGTGCCGCCAAGGGACCGCAAAGAGGGCCCAGATAGAACGTGCCCATGGCTCGTCCCCTTTCTCTCGACTCCCAAATGTCGGCGATGGTTCCTGCACCTACGGCTTGGACAGAAGCAGCAGCTCCTCCGGAAAGCATGCGCATACCAACTAACATTCCTATCGACTGAGATTCGGCACTAATAACAGCAAAGAGAACGAAAAGCGCAAAAGAGACGATATAAACTGACCGCCGTCCAAATAACTCCGAGAACATCGACCACCAGAGCGGGAAAATGGCCATACTGAGCATGTACAGAGCGACGGATAAGTTAGTCGTGGTAGGCGTCGAATGGAGATCTTTAGCAACGTCTTCAAGAGTTGCTAGTCGGACCAGTCAGCAGTGCAAGGGACACCTTACCAGAGGAACAAGCTTACGCAAAATGATAGAACTTCCGATGGGGGCAGCTGCGGCCGCAACTGCGACAATGAAAGTGATGAACCATTTCGTCGAATCCTTGTAGTCGAACGGCTGGGTGACTTCGGCGACAATGGCGAACCGCGAAAAAAGCCCCCGTCGTTTCGACCGAGGGACCTTGACGAGAGGACTTTTCGGGGTGATGGTCCTTTGTAAGACATCATCTGCGATTTCAATATCCTGACTTTCTCCGACTGTTGATTGTTCGCTTGGAGCCGTTGAATGAGTCGTGTGTACCGACCTCACGTCGGACGGTACATCGTATTCCTTTCCAGCCTCTTTTCCATTATACTCCGGTGTGCCTGGATTGGCTGACGTCTGTAGCAAAGCTGAAATCTTCTCGGGGCTGTTGGCAGCCATATGTAGGTCTCAAAGTGCGCTCAAATGCAAAGGTAGGATCGCGGTGATTGCTATCGTTTGTCCGAGTCATCCCTCCTATATATGCTGGATTGAATGAGAGGGAAAGGCAAAGAGAGTGAGCACGGTTATATGGTAGTCATAGGCATGTTTCAGCGTTCATCAGTAGCCTCCAGTACAGCTGCACGTCTTCATGTGTGGTCAAAATTGAAGAAATAAAGGAAGACTGCAGTCGTAGGCCATTAAGGGCGTGTCGGCATGCGAGACATGCTGGCTACAGACAAGTAGCAGGCCATGTACGGAGTACATCCCCACCGTATCTGGCGCAACAAACAGAGGACCAATGACGGAGGGAAAATGGCGGGGTCAAAGCACACATTTACCGAGTCGAAGTTCAAAAAGATTGAATCTGAAGAGAGGAAATCGTGCCGTCTTTGCCGCAAGCCTGGGGATCATTGGAGGAAGATGAGAGCGAGCGTCGGAGAGCCGCTGGTGTACGAAAGAACTCGACTCCAAGTACGAATACGAGTATTTTCAATACTCCGGACCTCGGTCTGAATAGCATCGACCGTGGGTACCAGCATCTAGACTGCATATGCCTTTGACTCGTCCTCAACAGCAACTCGTTGAGTCGGTCCTCTGCTGATGGTGACGCGTCGGTCATAGGGCGCATGTTGTCCTCAATCGACACCAAGATATCCGCAGGCGACAATGGCCGTGGAGTGAGGCTTTAATCTTGCTCTGCGTTGAAATCCGGGTTACAGTGCCGAAAGAGATAGGATATAGCCGCAGCCCTTTCATCGACCTTGTTACGAGTTATTTCTTGCCAGCTGCGGCTTCAATGGGATTTGCTTGATATCGACAGCTGTTTAAACAATGCGTGTAACGCTGTTGACATGGTCATGATATTCCTGAAGGCACCATATTCAGACCGATATGGTTGTCCTCTGGCAGTCAAAGTCGATCGGACCAATTACTGAATGTTTCACAAGATGCTTGTATTGCGGGGAAAGACCAGAGAGAACATCGTCGAAGCACCTTGTAAACTGACAACCCTAACGTCCAGCATATCACTAACCTTTTCCATTGTTTGAAGCGGCGCTGCTGTTTCCCAGGTCAAGTCGGCGCTGATCAAATATCATCTCATGAGTATTGCAGGCAACGGGGTTGTCACACACACGATTCTCGGTTGTCAAAGAGCTCGGAAAACTCGTCCAGTGCTACTCTTGGGTCCACTGACAAGAATTCATCCATTGCATTTTCAACACACACTCAGAATCCCAACTGATCCCCAGCTTCACACTCGGCACCAGCACCTGCAGACAACCGTACAACCCTGTGCGCAATCAACATCCACAATGTCTCTACCGGTTGGCGGCCGTCGAGATGTCCCGCTCGAGGAAGCTCGAGCTGCACTTCAAACCCACTTCTCTACGTACCAAGGGGCCAAGTATGCGGAAGGCTGGGACCATCTCTGGTCAAAGGGCGACTTTCTACCATGGGACCGTGGAAATCCGTCTCCTGCGTTGACAGACACATTATCCAACCACACAGATGTGATTGGTCACGCAATGATCGAGGAGGACGGAAAGACGCGTCGGAAGCGTGCATTGGTACCTGGTTGCGGTCGGGGTGTTGATGTGTTGCTTCTGCAAAGCTTCGGTTATGACGCGATTGGCCTGGAGTACGCTACAAATGCCTTGAAGGCTTGCGAAGAATACCTGAAAGATCATGAGAAGGACTACCCGCTCAAGGACGAAAAGGTGGGCAAGGGAAGTGCTCGGTTCGTTCAGGGTGACTTTTATGCCGATGAATGGCTCGAGAAGGTAGGACTGGACAAAGATACCAAGTTCGATTTGATCTATGACTATACTGTAAGTGGATTGGCATTTGGCTTGTTAAATTCGACGAAGTGGCAACCAGGTATCAGCTGCTCACATCTAATTTCTAGTTCTTCTGCGCGATGCAACCACCCATGAGATCAGCTTGGGCCAAGAGGATGTCGCAACTTCTGCGTCCTGATCCTCAAGCTAATCTGGTTTGTTTGGAATTTCCCACCAACAAGCCTGCTCAAGCGGGCGGCCCTCCTTTTGCGTCTCCTCCAAAGGCGTACCTCGAGCACTTGAGTCATCCAGGGGAGGAAGTCAAGTATGACGCAGAGGGCAACGTCATGATGAACCCATTGGCACCATCGAGTCCAGGAGGTCTTGAGCGAGTGGGCCACTGGCACCCTGCTGATACGCACCAAATAGGCAAAGACACGGAGGGTAACGTGCAAGATTGGATCTCGGTCTGGAGACATCGATGATAGGCAGAGGGGAGAGGCGTGTCCCAACATGTTAACAGTCGTTCCGATCTTCCAATGCCACACCTTTGACGATCCTAAGCTGCATCGGTCTTTTTGAGAGCGTTGTAATGTTCACCGAGGCCAAAACTGTGTTGATAGTATGCGAGCCACACGTCGGTTGAATCGTCCGTTTTGTCAGATCCTGAGCCGATCTTCTCAACGCGGCCATCGGCTCGCACCACGTTGATGTTGATGTTGTATGCTCGTGCAATTGCCTGTAACTCGAGTTCGCCTCCCCATTCAGCACTATCTCTTATCCGCGCCACGTACGAGTCGAGTGGTTCTTCCATAAACGCCGCAAAGTCGTCGGGGTGTGCCTTCATGAACTCTGCCGCCGCGTATCTTACGTTCTGGTAAGGTTCTTGTTTCGGCCCTGACTTTGCGATTTGGTCCGCCGGCATACTGTGCGCACACGCGGAGAAGAGACAATGTCCATCAGGACGGATCATAGTTTCCACCAGACCCCTGGCATCCATTTGTTTCTTCATTGCCGCCATTTCCTGTTCTCGTCGGTCAGGCATATTTTGCGCTTCTTCTGCGGCCGCAGCAGCTTGAGCCTCCTGCTCGGCCGCTCTTCGCGCCAGTCTTGCTTTTTGTCGGTTTGGTTTCTTTTGTCGTGACTGCCCAACAGAGGGAGAACTGTTGGCTATGTCTGAGATTGTCTCGGGTCCATCAGACTCGGTCACAGTAGCGTCCTCTTTGACAGGCCCCTCGAGCGTCAGGTCGTCAACAGCCAACTCTAACTGCTCGTCTCTGGGTTCCAAAGCATCGATCTCGGCCTGCTGGTTTTCGGCCAACTCTCTCTCCAATCGTTCACATTCGTCATTGACTCCTTTCCTCGTTTTCTTGGTAGCATTTTTCTTCTTCTGAGTGATTCTAGCTTGCAGATCCCGTTTTTCTTTACGGTGTTTTGTCAAGAGCTCTTCCATGATGTCGACAATGTGGGTTGCGCAAGGCACTTTGTCGTTTTAATATGGCACTAGGAATGTGGCCTGGTGGATATCAATCTACAGTTACTGGTTTCACACCAACCTCAAAACCGGCCCTCTTAGACGGGCCTACATCAACATGCATGCATCCAGATTGGTCATCAGTAGCCAGGTTGCGGAGCGCCCGCTGCAAGAATGAGGTTCCGCGAGTGAAACAATTGACTGAGATTTGCGTAGAAATTCCACTCTGGCATCGATCAGTCAATCGATCAAGCCATCAAACGAGCCATCAATCAATCAAGAAAGTGTCTTCAGTTGCTAATAATAAAATCTCCCTCAGTAGCTTCTTCGCTCATGGGTGCTTTGGAGGGCGCTGCACACGTCACCACACGTGCGCTCCGGGCCTTTGGTTGCTTGGCGACATGGGGATTTATCATTGGCTTATCGTCTGTTCCCCCTCATTCTGGCTACGGCGGAGTCTTTGGACCTTTGGTCTCTGAGGTCACCGTACGGATACTCCGTACTCTTTCCTCTGCTTCAGCCTTTGTATCGTGTTTCTCCTGCCCCTCCTGTTCTGCTAAACACCTTGCGCACCCACCACAAGCGCCAGGAAATCACCGGAGGCGGTTATTGAAACCCCTTTGGAAATCACACAATATATCCCACACATCGCAGTTCTTGTATTCATCTCCAGTCTACGCATTATCCTCTATTTGGGACCTTACTGGCCACGTCTTACATCCCGTCTTTTCCCTGTGTCTCCAAGTGGCCCCCACCTCCGACCTGCGATTGTTCGCTCGCCGTAACACAGGTTGTATTCAGCGTCAGCACCAGCCCAACCCTATTCCTCAGCCGCACACACTTCAAGATTCGACAACCGTCAGGAAATTACTCCGTCTTTGTCACATATCAATCCGGCCGGGTCCTCTCGTGCTCCCAGACCTGACCTTCTCCCAAATCTCTCCCTTTCATCCCATCGCGACCCTTTCGCGCAAAGCCATTCATCAGCAATCATGGGGGATTTATCTGGGCGCAAAGTGTTCAAGGTCTTCAACCAAGACTTCATTGTCGATGAGAGGTACACTGTAACAAAAGAGTTGGGCCAAGGAGCTTATGGTATTGTCTGGTAAGCCGGTCGTGGTATACTTCACAATACTTCTAGCTGACAAGGGTGAAGCGCTGCGACCAACTCTCAAACTGGCGAGGGGGTTGCCATCAAGAAGGTCACAAACGTCTTCAGCAAAAAGATTCTTGCAAAGAGAGCTCTTCGTGAGATCAAGCTCCTTCAACATTTCCGGGGTCATAGAAATGTCAGTTGCGGTAGCCTCCAGTGATGACCCCCAGGCTAAACTATTGCAGATCACCTGTCTGTATGACATGGACATCCCCCGCCCAGACAACTTCAACGAGACTTATCTCTATGAGGGTATGTCCATACGCTTCAGGCACAAGTATCATGTTAACAAGGAACAGAACTCATGGAATGCGACTTGGCTGCCATCATCCGCTCTGGCCAGCCGCTGACAGACGCGCATTTCCAATCATTCATCTACCAGATTCTTTGTGGTCTCAAATACATTCACTCTGCCAATGTCCTGCACAGAGATCTCAAACCAGGCAATCTGCTCGTTAACGCCGACTGCGAGCTCAAGATCTGCGATTTTGGTCTGGCAAGAGGATTCTCACAAGACCCAGAGGAGAACGCTGGTTACATGACTGAGTATGTCGCGACCAGGTGGTACCGGGCCCCTGAGATTATGTTGAGCTTCCAGAGCTACACTAAAGCCAGTAAGTCATACGCGTCTACAGGTCGTTTGAGTCCGATCTAACCCCTCATGTAGTCGATGTGTGGTCGGTGGGATGTATCTTGGCCGAGCTGTTGGGTGGACGTCCGTTCTTCAAAGGTCGTGACTATGTCGATCAGTTGAATCAAATCCTCCACTATCTGGGTACACCTAGTGAGGAGACACTCTCAAGGATAGGATCCCCGCGTGCTCAGGAATACGTCCGGAACTTGCCATTCATGCCCAAGATCCCTTTTCAAAGACTCTTCCCACAGGCCAACCCTGACGCCCTCGACCTGTTGGACCGGATGCTGGCATTCGATCCGTCGTCGCGTATCTCGGTCGAGGACGCTCTCGAGCACAAATACTTGCACATCTGGCATGACGCATCAGATGAACCGGCCTGCCCGAAGACATTTGATTTCTCATTCGAAGTGGTCGAAGATGTGCAGGAGATGCGGAAGATGATTCTTGACGAGGTCATGAGATTCCGCCACCACGTCCGCCACCAACCAACCCAGACACCCACCAGTGCCAATATGAACGTGCCAATCCCGGAGAACCCAGGCCAATGGGCGAAGGGTGCTGAAGATCCAAGACCACAGGAGGCCGGTTCCTTTGTTGGTAATGACCTTGAACACGAATTGCAAGCGGGTTCGGACAGTGTAATGAGACGATAGACTATGGGCACAACTCTCTTTTCCTTTGTAAGCTTGAAGCTTTTCGATTTGGGTCAAAGAAAGCCAGCTAGCGATGTGTTGTTGAGCAAAAAGAACTACAAATTCTTGGATTATCACAAAATATAACGAAGAGCTTGTTCGAGATTTCTTCTTTCCTGTATCTGCATACGATCAAAATCAAGCCCGTTCCTTGGTAAGTAGCAGCATGAAGAAGCATAATAAGATACCTAGCGATTTGAACTGACGTTGAAACATTTCATGAATGAACCTGACATGCCATGCGAGAGCTTTTTAGAACCGGTCGCTACAGGGAACGCCCATTACTCAATCTGCCCAATGACCCAATCCGTGCCTCGTTTCAAGTTCACCAACCAACTAAATCAATCACCGCCGTTTCTCCTTTTGAATTTCAGACCGTGGCCGTTCTGCCTGGGTTGGCTCCCGAACGATCTCCGGCCAGCGTGCTTCTTGTCCCTCTGCATGCTCGAGCCGAGCTGGATGTCCACCCTGGGCGGTGTGGCGAACCCAAAGCTCTTGGCCACCTTGACCAGGTCGAGCTTGTTGACGTCAAAGACGGACCGCAGACTATGCGACGCATAAGCCTGGAGGTATGACCTGTAGCCGTCTTTTGCGGACTGGAAAGCGAAAAGAGAAAGGTTAGTCGCCGAGTTGGCAAAATTTGAGCGCGTCAAAAGTACAAAGGAAAAGGGGGAGTGGAAGCGATATGAATGTGCATGTGTGGGCTCGACGACTTACCTTGTTCAGATAATAGTTTTGGGTGATCAACTTTTCCAATTGACTTTGAATGTTCAACAATTTTTTCGCGGGGAAATCGAATTCGACGACGGGGACCCTCGCCTCTTTCAGGTGGCTGAGGAACCCAACCTCGCTGGGCTGCAGGAACATGAGACTGCGACCCTTGCCGTTTGAGCCTCGTGCTGTCCGTCCCACACGGTGAATGTAATCTCTCGGATCGTCGGGTGGGTCGAATTGCACGATCCAGTCAACCGAAGGGATGTCGAGACCTCTTGCGGCGACGTCGGTGCACACCATCGTGCCGACCTTTGCGTTGCAGAACTCGAAGAAGGTGTTGCTACGTTTCTGCTGTTTCAAGTTTCCGTGGAGTTCGAGAACGGGCAAGTCGATGTAGTTGAACAGTTCGGAATAGTACTTGACGCAGTTGCAGCTAGACATGAAGACAATGACCTTTTTCTTCAAGTTGCGTTTCAGAAAGCTGAAAAGCAACAAGAACCGTTTGTCGCTGTCGCAGATCACGTAGCCCTGCTCGAGACCCTCGACGGTGCTGTGTTCCTTCGTATGGTCGACGTTGATGTACAACGGGCCCGGACGCAGAGAGATACGTGCGAGGTCCTCGACTTTGGTTGTCTGTGTCGCGGAGAACAGCATCGTCTGTCTGTTTTCCTTGGGCAAAATCTTGACGATCTGGCGCATTTCATCTTCGAACCCGACTTCCAAGATACGATCTGCCTCATCGATGACGAGCGCTTTCAGATTCTTGTACACGAAGCCCTTTGTGGTCTGCAGATGATCTAGAAGACGTCCGGGGGTCGCGATGAGGAGGTTGACACCCTTGGTCAATTTGTCTGCTTCAGCGGGCTTATTGGCTCCACCAATCACGATGCCAAAGGTCTGAGTGTGATGGGCCATGAGTTCTCGTGCGACGCCGAATATCTGGAGGGCCAATTCGCGGGTGGGACTGACGACAATGACACCGGTGCCGTTGCGAGGCTTGAAACGAAGAGCGTGTAGCATCTCGATTGCGGGAATGAGGAAAGCCAATGTTTTTCCTGAACCAGTTTTGGCGGCACCCAGAACATCACGACCGGCGAGCAAAGGCGGGATGCCCCGTCGTTGGATTTCAGTCATATTGGTGAAATTCATGTCAGCCAAGGCTTCCATGGTGCGCTCGGACAGAGAGAGGTCGCTGAACTGTTGCGGCGTGACATCTGTACCAGGGAGGGAGGGGACTGTGTCGGTTGGGAGATCTGATTCTGCAGAAGTGATTTCGGCGTTTCCGTTGATGGTGTTAACTGTTTCTTCGAGTTCAGAACCAGCATTGTCGTCGTCGCTTGGGGCGGCGTCGTTCTCTCCTTCTGTGCCATTGGGGCCACTTGCTGACACCGGCACTTCTTGTCCTAACGGCTCTTCCTCAATATCATCATCTGACTCATCATCGCTGGTGTGTGATGTCTTCCTTCTCTTTTTGCTCTTTTCTCTGGATTGGTCTGTAGGAGGATGGGATTTTTTCAGGGCTGTTGATGGCGCTGTGGCTGCAGACTCTGCCGATGCAGTTGCCAATTTCGCGTGCTTCCTCTTGCGCTTCTTCGACTTATCTCCGTGGAGATCCATTGCTGCTGCTGTGAGAGTGAGATGGGTAGTGGTGGTGGGTAGTTGGCGAGGTCTGTGTCTGTGTCTGGTTTGCAACTTTTTTTCTGCGCTTCGGCCTTATGCGGTGATAACAGATGGGCGGCTAACCTCATTTGTACCTAGCCTCTCCCCAACTATTAAGGGCAACTCAGCCGAGGCATATGGATCTCGACCCTCATCATTCAATCCGAGATACGGCGTTCATCTGTGGTATATCGAAGCGGGCCGCGCACCGTGGAAACCTAACGGATAAGGCACTGACCAACACAGAACAGCACTGATAGAGTATGCATATGCATATAACAAAGTCTGTTCAATCCATAAAGTACGGCCACTAACTGCTCACAACACCTCTTTCTCCAATCAAATTTACGGTAATACCCAACGAACGACAAATACTTTAATCAAACCCGGGTTACCGTACACACTCTGACTTTGGACACCTCTCTTACGAAGACGTGGTGGTGTGAGCACTACCCAAGTAAGACCCTCTCTTTCTGTCTATCACTGAGCCTTTTCATCCTACGACCGAGCCTTCAAAAGGCCGATTATCTCCTTCGTATCTATATTATTCACAACCCAACCCTGTCACCAAAAGTCAGAGAACTCACAAGTTCAATCCCACATCATGGCTGGACCAGCAGAAATGGAGCCGCCAGTGACACTACCCACCGCCGAACTCAGTAAAGTCGGCGAACACATCTCGCTCTTACCACCGCTCTCACGACGAGGCAAGGGTCCAGGTCTAATTCTCGTTCTTCCTCAAAACACCCCAACTTATCCTGAAGGCGGCACCGTCTGCGTCAACCAAACACCTCCGCCTCTCCTCAAGTGGGCGGAGGAAGGGTTTGCGGTGGTCGAGGTTCGCGAACCGGCATTCAAGTCTGCATCTGGCGCTCAGGAGGCCATCGCGAAGGCCGTCGCCGCTCTAGAACGATGTGACAAGTGCAACGAGAACGACGGTATCGGTCTTATCGGTAAGGTCAATCAGCTCCCCTTCCTTGTACAAGTTCAATTGTAGATGGCCTCGCCCCACGATGTACGCTCACATGTGTTTGTGCACAACAGTCTACGGCGAGGGTCTCTGGACCAAATACATGGCCGAGATCACATTCGACTCTAAAGTCAAAGCAGCCGTCATCTTCGGCACCACGTCCGAACACAAATCCTTCTCATCGACCTTGCCAATTCTGTGCCATCTCTCTGGCTCCGCCACACCACCACCGAAAAGCAGCCCAGGTTTCAAAATCTATACGTACCCGACTTCCCGAGCGTCCAACTTTGCTCTCCCCTCACAAGCCGACTTCAACGGCGCCGACGAATCCGTCGCGCATACTCGCAATCTGACGCATCTGAAAAAGTTCATTCAAGGCGCTGAATTCGACCTAGAAGCCATCTGGGATGAACACACTTACTACGAATTCGCCGACCGCTCGGCAGCAAAGACGATGGGGACCATGGTTCAAGAGCCATATGTCAATCATATCCCGACGGTGAGACTAGCTGTCCTCTGCTACCCTGGCTTTGTTCTCTTAACCAACAAGTACCTTCTTATCATTCTGCTCTGTTTTTTTTAGCTGACTTGATTCCTTGCTTTCGTGGTATGCAGATGACGGGTGAGATCGGTCGCGAGAAGCTGACGTGGTTTTACCAATACAACTTCATCCACAACAACCCCGACGACACGGAGCTACAACTCGTGAGCAGGACACTGGGCATCGATCGTGTCGTGGACGAATTCATTTTCAAATTTACGCACGATCGGGTGATTGATTGGATGTAAGTTTGTTCTTGTTCCGAACATGAAAAGTGAAAGTCTAAAAACTCATGCTTGCCTTGAAGGATCCCAGGCATTCCTCCGACGGGAAAGCGGGTCGAAATCCCTTTCACCGCCGTAGTCTGTATACGAGGTGACCGTCTCTACCACGAACACATCTCTTGGGACCAAGCGTCTGTCCTCATACAACTGGGTCTCATGCCTGAATATCTACCATACCCATACGTCTTGCCGGACGGGAAGACACCAACACCAGGTAAGAAGCTCGAGTATCAGGTCCCTGCTGCCGGAATCGAGATATCAAAAAAGATGGTCGATAAGAGCAGTGTCCCGTCGAATGAAATGTTTGAATATAAGATCCGCGAAGTAGATGCGTGATCCTCCCAAGCTCAATCAATATATATACTTTTTATACGTCCCATTTCCAGCTTCGCTTTGCATGAATTCCCATTCATCACTTCATTACATGTGCACCTCATGTCCCCATCCACCCCGGCGTCGTCACTCTCCCTGATGACCATTCATCAGGCCATCGAGAAGCAACTCGACCAACCTCAGCCTATCCTCTACATCCCTACTTTCTCGCCTCCAGTATCTCAACATCTCAATCACCTTTTCAATGGCATATCGCCACCTCTCCGGCAGCAACAATGTAAGTTTTTCGATCCGTGCGGCAGCGAGAAGAACAAAAGCACTTCTCGTACAAGACCTCAACATCAACCACGTCCCATGGTGACGATATCGGAAGCCTTCTTCATTTTTCTCGATTCTCTCAACGCAGATCGTCAGGGCTTTTTGCACGAACGAGTCCATCATCGGTTTGGGGATTGTTGCATCGTTTCTTTCCACTGCATCGTAATTGACCGCATACACGATGAAAGGCCAATACATCATCTCATAACAATCCAGCAAATGACCCTTGAGGATAAATTTGAGCGAGTTGTGCAACCTACCATCTTCACCGTCGACTGTTGAGTCTAAATCGAGTGCTTGTGGCAGCGACCGAAGCCAGTCTGCGGCCTGCTGTTCGAAGCCGACAGTCGACTCGGCAATGGCCGCTAATGAGCTGGCGGCTTTCGTGTCATACACATAGTTCAATATCCTATTGCCCAGTCGCCTCAGTGCGATTTCGGCTAGGTAAAAGTACCAGACAATCTCCCTCTGAGACCGGAGGCCGTCTGGTGGCGAAGGGAAGAATGCCGGGTACGTCAGATCCCATATGGAAGTCTCGGACACATTGAGCTCGAGTCGAAGCTCGCTGAAAATAGTACTTTGAGTCAGCCATGATCGTCATCCTCAAATAGTGGTCGACTCACAGCTCAGACTTGAAGCACGTCCAGTATATACTTTCACGCAGTCTCTGTTCGCCCTCCCTGTCGGCCTCAGGAGACTCCTTTTCGGTGTAGAATGCCTGACAGCACGCAAGGGCCTGCACGAACATCTTCCAGGCTTCCATGGGACGTAATGTCGCCATCAAGTATACCCCAGCAAGAAAGAAGCATTGCGCTTCCAGAACGCCAGTCTTGCACAATAACAACCCCATACGCTTTTGGGCCGCAGAGAAGAATGATTCAGCCTGCTTGAACTGAGGCGTAGTGCGGAACGCCGAAGCTTCTTGTTGATGGCCTCCATCGAATGGTCCCGCGATGGAGCCGTGAGCATAGATCAAGAGCTGTTTTTTGGTCAATTAGAAAATCAAGTGTTTGCGCAGAGAGGCAAAGCGCCGTACCAACAAGCATGACTGAGCATCCCAGCCAATTCCAATATATCTGGCATCACGCATGTACCGATGGACCTTGGCTTCCTCGAGAACAGGATTATATATGAAGACATTGCTCATGAAGCGTGCCACAAGCGTCTCCTCCGCGACATGTTCATCAAATTCTGTATCCACGGACGGAATTAGAGGTACGGGTTGGTTACTGGAATTCAAAAGGCCTTTCAAATCGAGATTCGGGCTGAGGTCATCAAATACAGACCACGAGAGCACACCCTCGATGTTCATGTGGAAAGGAGCCGAATCTTTGGCCCGCTCGAGGCTCGGGGAATTCAGGGACTTTAGCCGTGATAAGGTGCCTCGAGCGTCTGTCTCGGCGATGCTTGTCGCAGCGGCTACTGCAGCCTGGTGAACCTGGGCTCGATCATTGGTGCCTCCTCTCAGGAGTTCTTCGATGGTGTTGAGCTTGTCAAGTATTGCTAAACTCGCCGAATCGAAACTAGTACCAGTCAGTATGATGGAACTCATGCCGCAGATCTCAGTCCCGGCCAACACAATGAACTTGACTCGTGCTGCAAATCTCCCGTATTGCTGGAACATACGTGGAATTGTCCCCCTCGGCATATGTACACTCGGTACCAATCGACGAGCATGAAGAGCAAGTAGGTCGGGCATTGTTGCACTTTGTTCGCCTTATCCGGCACTTTTGACATGCTTGAATGGCTCTTTTCCGCGGATAAGTCGACTTGATCCGCGTAGCAGGGCGCTTTCGAGTCTCATTCCCTCCATGCTGCGCTTCGAGAACACTGTTGCTCGACTCCGGTAGATGTCCGGAAGGAAGGACAGTTGAGTCATAAGTCGGCTCGTTGGCATGCAGAATATTTCGAAGCGAGCTTTCCATATCACCATACGATACGCTGATGGAGGGTCCGCTCCACCAGCAAGCACCACGGGGGCAAGATCTGGGGAAGAGATACGGGGGATGGAAGATGAAGTTGATGGGGCGGAATGCCGGGATTGATAAAGTCGTGCCAGCAGCGGAGTGCTGGAAAGATGGTTCTGCGGTGGTGGCCGTAGGAGGTGGGGACGACGGCCGAACGAACGACCAGGGCCTACTGCTCTAGCGACATACACATTGTTGGCACAGATTCTAGAAGACTTCCACGGCAGTACGTTGGAGCTTATTGTGACTAGTGGACCTCGAACATGAATGCGGACTACGACATGCCATCTCCGATGGGAGTCGAATGTTTTCGAAAGAGTCTCCCAGAGCGTAGACTCTGGCGGTTTGTCTATGGGAGAAGATTAGTGACATCCGAGGCAGTCGACGATCTGTGGGTGGCATCATGAGATTTTGACCGCGTGGCCTGGACCGTCTGATGCAGGGGAGAAAGAGTCCATTACCCCTGCTAGGGAGGTGGGAGGTGGCAGGATTCTAGGCGGGGTACAACGGACTCCCGACCCGGTCGAACGCCCACTGCAACCCAACACTTGTTCCTCACTACCCAGATCTTTGCCGTGGTGCCATTGCCCTTCATGGGTTCCCAGCGGAATGCCGGATATCGTCTTTTCCAGGAATTCCACGACGATGACTACGTCCTTGTATCTGGGGATGGTCACCGCTCTTTGATCACCATGAAGCTACGAAGTGGATGGGTTTGTGCAAGCATTTAAAGAGATCCATTTGTCCTCAAAGACCAGCAACGAAACGGGGTAAACCTCCTAACATAATAGTCATCTCTCACACGCAATGGAAAAGACAGTTGAAGTCTTCCACGATGTAACGACAAAACCAGGTGAGACGACCATGGTTGAGGATCTCGCTCCCAAAGTCGAACAAGCACGAGTGGCTGCCGAAGAGGAACATCAACTTTCGGTTTGGGATGCTCTGACCAAGAACAAGGTCGTGGTGTTCTGGTGTGTTTTTTTCGCCTTCAGTGCTATCGGATGGTATGTTCCTGGTTTATCAAGAATCTTGGTCTGCACGCTTTACTTACATGACACTACAGGGGATTTGATGCACAGGTCAATGGTGCCATGATCTCAGTACCACAGTTTCGCCTCACGTTCGGGTAAGTATGCTCCATGCAGTTCCTACACTCGAGAGAGACAAGCCCACCCTAATCGCTTCTTCTACATAGGTACATCTACCAAGGTCAAGCAGTCATTCCGGCGAGTTGGCAAAGTGGCTTCAATAGCATTTCCAGCGTCGGACAGTTCTTTGGTGGATTTGCCTGCTCGTGGCTTTCTGACCGCATCGGCCGCAAGAAGTCTCTTCTCATGGGTCTAGCCTTTGTGACTGGCGGTATCTTCGGAGAGGTCTTTTCGAGCACTCGACCAGCCTTTCTCATCGGCAAATTGATCCTGGGTGTCGGACTAGGTTTCTACCTCACCATTGGACCCTTGTACTGTTCCGAGGTGGCCCCGGTTGTCCTCCGTGGAATGATCACTGGAGGTATCAATTTCGCAATAGTCATTGGCCAACTTTTGTCCAACGCAGTCATCAAGGGATTTGGAGACAGAGATGACCGTTGGGCGTTTAGGGGGCCTTTTGCGGTGCAATTTCTGTTTGTTGGTGAGTGAGCAATAAAATTGCAAAGTCCTGACTTTGAAGGACGCTTACTGACCTTATAATTGATCAGCAATCCTTCTTGTGGGGGTATGGTTTGCTCCTGAATCCCCATGGCATTTCGTTCGACACGGTCAAATCGAGGATGCACGACGCTCGCTACAGCGCCTCCACGGCCACGATGTCGACGTCACCCCTAGACTTGCCATGATCGTCCGAACCGTCGAGGAAGACATGGAACTATCCAAATCCGCGAGATGGATCCAGTGCTTCCAAGGCACCAACCTTGTCCGCACCACGATTTCCGTCGGTGCCTTTGCTTGTCAACACTTGTCCGGAATTGTGTTCGTCCTCGGCTTTTCGACCTACTTTTTCGAACTCGCGGGTATCCAAACCAGCCACGCGTTCGACTTGGGTGTTGGTGTTACGGCTTGCGGTGTCGTCGGCGTCATGATTTCTTGGATGGCCATCAACACTCTGGGTCGCAGGAAACTCTTCGTCTGGGGCATGATCGGCATGACGATTGTGCTTGTGCTCATGGGCATCCTCGACGTTGTCCACACCTCCGCCGCTCGCTGGGTCCAAGCGTCTTGCACCGTGGTGTACGCTCTCATTTACCAAATCACCATCGGATGCATTGCATTTGCACTCCTCGGCGAAGTTTCCACCCCTTCTCTCCGTGCAAAGACGGTCGGACTGGCCACCGCTTGCCAGGCTGTTTTTGGGACCGTCATGAACATCGTCGTACCGTATATGGTCAACCCGGACAAGGCGAACTTGAAAGGCAAGGTCGGATTTGTCTTTGGCGGTGCTTGCCTGCTTGGGACCATATGGAGCTACTTTTACATTCCCGAGCTCAAAGGTCGCACTTTCCAGGAGATTGATTATCTGTTTCATCATCGGGTCCCTCCTAGGAAAATGGGAAGTTATGACCTCGATGAAGTTGAAGATGGTTTGTGATGATAGCATGATAAGGATAGGGCGATGGTGATGGTGGTTGTTATTGGAAATGCATTCACTCTCGGATACTAGGACTTCCTTACCATTTGAGATACTGCCGTCACCTTCGTCACTACATTCACTACCTTCACCTCTCCCTCCAAAAAAGAACAAAAAAATCCTGATCCTGCAGGAAAAACAAAAAGTTTGGAGATTCGAACCTCCGGCTTCTGATACTTATCCCGACTATGAACCCTTCATACCTTCTATGACAGAAGATACTACAGTAGTCATGGAAACCCAGCCGACTCCCAAGTTTAATCCACTGAAGCGTAGGTTTCCAAGGATAAGCCCAACCTCCAAACCAATTAGACCAAAGAGTCGCACTTCGACGTGGTGAGTCTTGAATTAGTGGCCATCAAGGCGGCTTCTTTGTTGGGTGAAGATTCACTTCTTTATATATATATAGATATACTCCGTATATATATACATATATAGCATATAAATGTAAGGCTGATGATGTAACCGCGGCGCTAAATTCTTGCCTCGTCTGATTGTAACTTGTAAGCGCTGCCATCATTTCACGTTCAACCTGATTTCTCTTTTCCCTCCCACGATAACATGAACGAGAGAAGAAACGAGAAAGAACCGAAAAGAGAAGTAAAATGTCCTCAAGCTCCTTTCTCGAAAGCCTTCCACTAGAGCTGATACAACAGATCCTTTGTTTCCTACCTGATATTTCTTCTCTACTGTCAGCGGTCCTAGCCTCGTCCAAGGTGTACGCTGCATTCATCCAAGTCCAAGTGTCAATAACTTCACGGGTTGTCAGGAATCTCATCCATGAGGATGTACTTCCCGAGGCAGTTGCGGCTTGGAAGTCCTCTTGTTTGGTGGCTCCATTTACCAGGAGCAACATTGAAGACTTTGTAAATGACCAACTGCGATCTCGACAAGATCCAGCACTATTGTCATGGACCCTGTCTCAAGCTCTGCAACTCGGTCATCTTCAACGCCATGTCGCGCATCTCAGTCTGGACTTTGCCTCACACTGTTCTGAAAATCCGGTGGCAGAAGTCGACGTGAAACTCTTCTGGGAAGGATTCCCCACGCCCACCGAGATTCGTCGCATACAACGTACGCTTTATCGGTTCGAGATATACTGCAACCTGTTCAGGGCCCGGAAAAAACCTCCCGCCGCCGCCTTCGACGTCGACGAGCATAGGACGGTCTTCTTCTCCAAGTTTTCGCCTTGGGAGAATGAGCAGTTGGGTTGCATACATGATTATCTTTTCCACAAGGCGTCTCCAGGTTGGTCGGGCCGATCCATTTAATTGACTCATAGCCTTGTATTGATCCTCACAAGGCTAACAGTGACGACCAGTTTTTATCGAGATCACGGAACACGACGTGACCTGGGGCGCGACAGGAATTCAAGACGCACACGAATTGGACTCTCCTTACATACAGCACATCTTGTCCTTGGGGTTGGCAAAGCTTCACGCCATAGCTGTCGCAAAGACTTACGATGAAAGGCGTCGATTGTTCTATACACCTTATCCCGCGGCTAACACGGAATTCCTACGTGAAGGGCTAATTCTTGCCAACGAGCGGTTCGATGGGGTTCAACTCTCCGAATACCATGACCGACATGGCGGTGAAGGGCGCGCCGAACACCTTTTTGCACCCTTCTTTCGTGAACCAGACACAGGCCCCTCCGAGGCATGGAGTTGGGCACATCAGCATGAGACCAGGGAAGCTTTTGTCTATTCCAAAGGAACAAAAGGGCTGCGTGAGCGAGGCTATGTTTTCTGGGATCGTTCTCGACTAGAGACTTGGCCGGTTTTCCAATCGCCTTGGGTGTCACCCTATCGTTACTACGAAATCGAGGAGGTCCGGACAGGGCCTTATCGGGAGAAGTGCCCGAGGAGAGCTCAAATATACGCTCTGGGTGGTAGGGGTTGGTGGAGCCCGAGCGATGAGACCAAGGTCATATACCCGCCGGGACAAAGTCCGCCTCCGGTGCCTCATCAAGGCAAAGGGAAGACGTCTCAACAGCCGGCGGACGATTTTCAGCGCGTAAGGGGGTATATCTGAAAACATGTATCTATCTCGCTTTTAGAAATCAAACAATGGCATTACCTGGGCGAACTCACGTCAAGTATTTGCTAAAGGGGTGCGCATTTTCAGCCCAGTCTAGATTTTGGTCCTCGTATAGAGATCACTCTCTACCAAGACCTTTTATCCGGGGACAGCAACTTTGTCACCTTCTTCGGTTTTCAAAATTGTGTTCCGCGCGTGTCTATATATACATATATGTGTATCCAATTTCTTAATACTACCCAAGACGACTGCTGAGCTATGAACAGCCAGACCCAACCCCGATTACCATCCGTTTCTTCCCACCAAACCCCGAAACGTCACGACACATGTCATCTCACACATCCTCCTTCTCCTCGTATTCGACATTGTCAAGTTTGACGGCGTCTCCGTGGTTGCGTGGATCGTGTACCATTCTCGCCGCGAGTGCCGAATCTCGGATATCCGGTTTCGCAAAGATGAGGTCGATTTCTTCCAAAGTCTTTCCTGTGGTCTATAGTTTTGCAGTAAGCAGTCAGCATCGGAATTCTCTCCGTCCCGGGCGTGATGGGCAAAATGTTTCAAACTTACCTCTGGGCATAGATAGTACACAAATGGAACGGCGACCGCGCAAGACAGCAACATCCAGATCCAAATCTTCCAACCGACGTTTTGCAAGGCGATACCACCCGCGAACACCGTGATGAAACTGAACAGCCATTCGCCGAATGCACCAGCTGCGCCACCGAGATGTCGAAGTTTGAGTGGTGCGATCTGCAACATCTCGCGTCAGTACATACGGGGCCACACAGGGGGCAGTAAAAGAAAGAAGAAGAAAAAAAAAACTTACTTCGGGACCATATAACCAGGGGACACCAATCCATCCATACCTGAAGTTTGCAATCATTCCAGTCAGTATTTGTCTCTTCAATAGACGTGTGCTTCTTGTAACACTCTTCCATGGTGTGGGACGAGGGAGAGAAAAAGCGAGAAAAAGCACCAAAAAAAACTCACCCAAAGACAAAATTATAAATGACAATCATCGCCACGGCGGTCCACTGCATGGCTATCGAAGGGTTCGGGAGACCGATCATGATGACAAAGATGAGCATACATATCGTCAAGACGACGGCCGACCAGATCATGACCTTACGCCGGCCGATGCGTTCGATCGTCGGTGGAAGGAAATAGGTCCCCGCGGCGAACCCGGTGTTCATGACGGCCGCGAGTAGTTGGGACAAAAAGTCCGACAGGCCAACTTGAGAAAAGATGACGGTCGAGTAGTACACGGACAGGTTGATTCCTGGCGTCACGTAGGTCAGTCAATCATCCTCGGGAGAGTGTGGCGACAAAGCGTGGGAACGTGGAGAGCATACCCATCATCTGTTGCAAGGACAAAATCATGAACGAGATCCTGATTCTACGACCCGCTCTCAAGTCACTCCGGTCCCAAAGCAAGTCGATCGGGTTGAACTTGTGTTCGTCCTCCTCTTCCAGCTTGATCGAGGCCAGGATCTCGTCCCTCATGGCCTGAACGCGCGGGTCGTCTCGAGGTCGATCGTGGAGCCTCTCGATGACATCGTCGCCCTCGGCCTCCCGGCCCTTGGCGTAGTACCAACGGGGGGTGTCGGGGAGGAACCACATGCCCACGATCGAGATGGTGGCGAAGGCGGCCTGGAAGGCGATGGGGAACCTCCAAGACACCTGGTTCGTCATGCGCGTGAAGCCGAAGTCCATCCAGTACGCGAGCGCGACCCCGGAAATGAGCCAGACGCACTGGACGGCGACCTCGGGCCCGCGTTCTTTGGAGTCGATGCTCATCTCGGCCATGTAGGTCGGCACGGAGCAGGAGATGAAACCGATACCGAAGCCACAGAGCACACGGCCGATGATGATCTGGGGGACAGACCACGCCGAGGCCTGGATGCTGGCGCCGACGATGACGAACGCGTCCCCCATCAAGATGCAACCCCGTCGGCCGAGGGGCATGCCGAGCATCGTCACGGCCAGGGAACAGACCGCCGCCGCCAGGGTGTACGAGGACGCAATCATGGGAATCACGTACGTGCCGGTCGGATGGTGCATCGCTTCGAGGAAAGGTTTCGTGGTCTGCACGCCGCCGAGGACGCCGGCATCGTACCCGTACATGCAAAAGGACTAGATTTTCCACACCATATCGTGAGTATGGATCGAGACTGAGAAAAGAATGAAAACGGTCAAGTACTTACGAGCGAGCAGCACACGCTCATCACCCGGTAAAGGGTCCGCCCCCGAAGTTCTTTGAGGAACCTCATGGTGACGCAAGAGACTAAAGGTGTACTGGAGGGATGACAATAGGAGAGGATGAAGTCCTGGGTGTAAGCTTGGGAGAGAGAGAAAAAAGAAAAGTAGAATCCTCTTGAAAGACCCAAGGATACGGAACGAGCAAACAATGTGGTAGATCTGGAGATATATGTATGAATGACCTTGATACCATGGAGATTGCCCCAGGATCCCCTCCGTACATTCAAGGTAACCGGCTAAGTCGAAGCTGACGGTGGTATTTGATTGGAGTCCCGGGTAGAGAAGCAATATCCACCCCCACATCTTCACGGGTTTCGAATCCCGGGGGAGTCAATTCACCATATTTCCAGGGAGAGAAAAACTGGTGCTCCGAAGGCATAGGACCCGTAGCCTATTGGTTGTACGGCCGCCTTGATTGGAGAAAAGCACAATTCCGGCGCCCCCTATTATCCCGTCATCACTGAGGCCATACTGTGCACGGTCCATTCTCGCATATTTGTGGAATTATTTTAGTGAGGAATCTGACAGTCGGCGGTGGCTTGTAAATAGTTCTGGGCCTCAGCTTTCTCAACCTCTTGTTTCTGAAGTTCACCCCAAGACGAAAGTTCGTTGAGACAATAGACACCGTGGTCCGTTTATGAAGAAGGGTCTGTTTCTGTGGAGATCGATCAAGAAGGCATACCCGAGGTTTACATTCTCCGAAATCAAACTAGTGCCGACGACAAAGTCCCTTTTTGAGCTGTTGCATTTTTGCCAACATATCGACAAACTCGACATCTTCACATTTTGGGGGTTTCTCGTGAGCCATGGAGATGCGCAATGTATTCATCGTGGGCAGAGGATTGTCCGGACGTGTGTGTCTAGGGACAAAGTGTCGAAGCCGACCGACATTTGGCCTGGGACAAGTTTCCAGAGCGTTTTCAACAACGCAAACGACGTGGGCCAGCGGGTTTGCTGAATCCCAGAGCAAGAAGGCTCCCGCGCACAAGGTGGAAGCTGACACCGAGAAGTTCAGAACACACTCTGTACAGGATCTGTTGTCGCTGAAGGGGAGGGTAACGGTCGTTACGGGTCAGGAATTCCCCAACTATGCCTTTTGCAAACCGTCGAACTCATTTTGATTACAGGAGGTGCACGTGGAATCGGTCTCGCCCTAGCCCGAGGCACTGCTGAGCTCGGCAGTGATGTCGCAGTACTTGACATCCTCGAGAAACCGAGCGATGCATTTCTCGATTTCCAAAAAGACCTTGGTGTCCGTGCAAAGTATTACAGGTGAAGCTGTTTCTCCATTAGAAGCGATCATGTGGTAACGGTACTGGCTTTAGAACGAGCGTGACCAATCCGGCGACGTTATCTCAGACTTTCGAACAAGTCATCGCAGATTTCGGCAGGATAGATAACTGGTGCGTTCGTGATGTCTGCGAGAATCCCTTGCTGATTGATTCTACTAGTGTAACTGCAGCTGGAATAGCGGTAGATAAGCCGTTTCTGGAAACCACAGCGGAAGAAGGGATGAAAGTTCTGGATGTGAATGTATGTAATCCCTCAGGCATTGTCATCGTTGTTGGAAATTGGGAAGGTCTAACACAACATCCCCAGGTCATGGGCACATATCTGAGTGCTCAATTGGCTGCGAAACAAATGCAGGCACAAAATTCAGGAGGCAGTATTGTCATGGTTGCCTCGGTTGCAGCGCGAGCCGCTCTGCCTTCCCAGCACCTGTCGATTTATGGAGCTTCCAAAGGTGCCGTGAAAGGTCTTTGCAGACAGCTCTCGGTCGAACTGAGTCCGTCGAATATTCGTGTCAATACGATATCACCTGGATATATTTCGACGGAGATGACGAATCGTCTAGCTGCGACAAATCCCACATTACTGTCTGTTTTCAATTCTGCCGCTCCACTTCAAAGGATAGGCGACAGGGCCGACCTGAAGACCGTGGTCGCATATCTGTGCAGCGATGCTGCGGCATATACCACTGGAACTGATATTCTTGTGACTGGAGGATTGCATGCTGGGCGGTTGTAGATATGTCCACTGTGATGGCAGAACGTTGCGAATGCTTGAAAGTGTAATTGGTCAAGACTCATCATGTTGATTTTGAGGTGGAAGGTGCGGCAGTTCCAACGAGTTGAATCCATTCCAGAATAGACTATCAAGTGAGAAGTCGTCATAGGATGTATCGAAGAAATTCAGTGGTACAGTCGAGCCAAAGGCAGGATCAAAGCCAGAAGCCTCAAGGTCTTCGAAGGGTAGCAATTCACTCTCAGGCATGGTCGAGCGTCTTTTCCTTTGGTAGTCGATATCCAGGTCCTGTCCATCATGCCAAGGATTCGCTCGCTTCAATCTTGATCGGGATCTCTTCAAGAGATCGCTTTTGATACTCATGATCACTTCGAAAGCCCTCCCAGCATTTCTAAACGAGAGACTCATCTCGCTAAGTGCCTGGCAGCATATTTCGAGACTCTTCCAAGCATGATCGCTTTTTGTTTTGTCCAGCGCGCCGCAGGCGGTGAACACATGTATCAGCGTGGCAGTAAACAGAAGATGAACAGCTTGTATATTGATCCTTTTGAGACCGTAAAGCCGCCGGTAAATATCGACCAACTTAGCCAAGTCATCTGCGGCGTCTGTGCAGGTATCCCTGCGTCTGGAAATCTCCAAAGGAGTAAGATCAATGATCTTCCTTGTCGAAACAAAAAAGGGACGATTCGTAATGATCATCACACAGTGATATTGCATACTAGGAAAATCTGTAAGATGACATTTGCGAACGATCGGACGTTAACTTACTGCAACTGTAGTACATGTGGGAGATAGTATGTTGTAGTATCATCGTAGTCGACAGAGAGGCTTTCAGGTAGCCCATTTTTCCACTCCATTAATGCTTGGCTCATTCGAGAGGCAAAGTCGCAAAGCTGCCTCAGACTTCGCGCATCGCCCATCCCATCAGGGTAACTAATTGGGGTTAGTATCAAGGTCAACAGTGAGGCTTACTCGCGCCTACAGAGTCTCTCGGATTGCCGTCATATGGGCACAGAGTTTAATATTCCAAATGCATAGGTCATCGATTGGGTCGAGGACAACCGGCAAGTCGGGACCCTCGCCGTCATCAGTATAAGGGGTCCAATACTTGGGAATATTTCCCATGGGATTTTCCGGCTGTGACCATCGCACAGTAATATGCTTGTCGTCCAAAGCAACAGGTCTGCCAACGTAAAGGCTCCACATCCTAGTAATATGTGATTACTAGTTGTTCACATGCATCTGCAGATTTGCAAAGTCCCCTCACCTGTCATGGACAAAGACACCACCCCAAATTACCTTACGGATCATCTCCTCCTCGCGTGTAATAACACCTGCTTGTACGTAGGGCTCGGGGTCCAGATGGAGGCCTAGGTCAACCGCGAGTCTTACTGCCATGCCTGTATGTGACCAGTCAGCCTATTTCTTGAACGGAGGACGACTGATATGCTAACCGCTATCGAGCCAACCGCGGGCGTCTCTTGTGAGAGCAGCCTCTATGGCACTGAGGATAACAAATGACTGCACAGTCGAGAGCGTAGGAGCATCCATTTCAAGGTCCAGTAGTAGTTTAGACCTGGTGGCGAAAAAGTCGGGCAGTGGTTCGGGTAAGTGCGGACATTTCCTCGAAGTCATCGTGGCTCCCACAGAGCACCTATACAGCTCTTATGTCAGTGGAACAACCTTCTCGTAGGGTGTCGAAGCTCACATTGCATTTGACAAGACTTCCGAGTAAAAGGGGCTGAAGTGCTGGCCTGACAAGTACTTCCTACGCTCCCGCCAGAAAACGGACTCCTCGACAACATGGATGGTGGGGTCTTCCCAACAAAAGTAAAGTTTGAGTAGATGATCTTCAAGGTCTTGGTCAACGAGATGGCCGACGCCTGCACCCTGGAGGAGATTATTTCCTTCCTCCGAAAGAGATCGGAATCTCGATCGAGACAACGACATCGGACCATTGTGCAAGATATGCAAATTAGAAGTTGCTCCATAGAATCGCAATTGGCCATCCTCAGCAACCTGCAGAGACCCCATCCGGCCAGATAACTGATCGACAAGGATATCAGGTTCCGAACTCGATTGAACCACTTCTGTGGCAGATGGGTCTAGTCTGCCATTAAGATAGAAGTCGTTGTTATCTAAGGATGGAACTCCAGAGGTATCAGAGATAGCGTGCTCGTTATGAGTCCTTTGATCTGCCACACGTCAGAGATTATAGACGGATGAGGAAAGCACTTACTTTGAGTCTCGATGCTTGGCCAGCCCGTGGGGACGGCGGAGGATGTGAAGTCGGCATTTCCAGCTTGCGTAGGACTCAACTGGCTTTGACGATCGTTCTGGACGTGCAGTGGAGGTGGTGTAGGTAACAGAATTCCATGGAGGCCCAGAACAGCCTCGAGTTCATGACAGTATGCTGTCAATGCTTGGAGTCTCTCCTTGGGGGCGATCTTGCGCTTGTCCACACCATATTGGAAAATGCACTCTTGGTCGTAGAGGACGCAATTGGAACATCGAGGAGTAATGCCGTCGCATTTGATTTTTCGGCGTCTGCAACCCGAGCAGGCAGTGCTCACATGCTTGCCTTTGCCTTTGTTCTGCTCGGATTGCACGGCAGGCTGGGAAGCCATTAGAGTGTTTGTGTGGGATCTAACGGGCTATGCATTGCGTCCCCGAGCGGCATTCACGACCACTCGGGCTTCTGATGTGGATAGACATGAAGATACTGTAAGTGAGTGAAAGGCAATGAATGCACGAAGCGCGGGGAATCACAAGCACACTTAACCAGGTCTGATTTGCACTTGGCCTAAATAGTAATAGTACCCCAACTAGCTCCAGATGTGCGGGGGGAAGTGCAACTTAGCCGAAAGCACTCCAAAGAGTCCGTACTCTTTGTCTACGAAACTCGTTACTCCTTGAACTAGACACCTCTTCCAACCTATATATTGCATGGCAGATCCCATTGTTGCAACCGATTCATCTATCAGAGACACTATTATTCTGCCTGACCATGCTGTCAGCCCTCATGTACAAATCGGCGCAAATATAGCGGAGTTGCGAGAAGTCCCCGTCTTTCCTGAAGTCGATCAATCTGTAGAGAATGTGAAGCGCAGGCCGGGCGATGTCAAGATCTGCCTGGGCGTCGCTATTGCCCGCGTTGTGCATGATATGCATGAGTGTGACTACAGCGGCCGAAGCAACAGCCTCGATGCTCAGCCTAAATTGGAAGCCATTAGCATACCTATCCCAGGTCAAGAACAGATCGCCTCACCAATTGCAGAGTATTTCTTCATCTGTCAACAATTTCAAGAATTGCATGAAGCGTCGGGCGTCATCATATGGTAACACGTCGTCGCTTAGTGCCGTGGAAGCAGACAGCCCGTCAGCTGAAAGTACATTGTACCTCAAAGCGTGGCCGCTAAAATTGTAGAATTGAGTAAGGTACGCAGTCGTGAAGTATATGGATTCGAGGATAATGACGTGGACGAGATCCGAACGATGGAGCATGGCCCGAAGTTCTGTGGGTTCAAGTCGAAACACGTAATGGCCTCTCCATTTGCGTAAGTTTGCTGCCATCTCCTGCAATGCTAAACCCGTCTGCTCAGCAAGCGCTGGAGCAAGGACACATTCCAATAGTTGGGCTTGAAAGAGTGCAAGCTCGGCTCGCAGTCGGAATATGTCGATTGTGAAGTCACCTTCAGCAGCACGCAGCCGTCCAGCCCCATCGGGCTGATCCTCAATGGGCAATTGCAGATTAATCAGTCTCGAAGATAGGCCCGGCGCTCTCTTCGTCCGTAGGCTAATGTCTGTATCCATGCTGTATGCAATCCAAAACACACGTTCTCGGCACTGTAGATCTGTTGGCATTACCGAGTGATCCCCGTCTGGATCGTTGGTGCGGATGTCCTGCAGCACTCTGAGCGCCATTGAAACTAATGTCGAAGTAGGTTGGGGCCGGGCAGATGTTGATAGAACAATGGCAGTACCAAGATAGAGTTGCGCGATGAGAAGAGACGGCTCCATTAGAATGAGACTTGGAAGCTCCGCGATCACTTCTTCTAGATATATCTGAACATTCTCTGTGTCCTGGGGGACACCAAGAGGGCTCATTGCCCGTAGTCGATGAGCAATCGCCAGGACGATTTTCACAGTGACCCATGATACCATTTGACCGTCAGCACGTCCGTTGTAGCAATCCAAGAACAGTCCGCTGATAGTTGCCGCATCAAACAGGGGGGTGGCGGTGTTGAAGTCGACCAAATATTCTTGCAGCAAGAACAAGCCTCCTTGAGGTGGCGGCATGGAGCATTTCCTGACACCGAGTGTTCTTGATCGGGGCCTTAAGTCGATATCCATTGCGTCAAGACTACCAGAAACTCGCTCAGCCTCGACGGAGCCTGGGGTGTTGAAAAAATGAGATATCTCTGAGGTCAGCTGGGCGTACACCTCGTCTGAAGGCTTGGGTCCACTTGGTGTAAAAGCATGTGCGCTTCGATACCCCTGGAGGTTTTGTTCTAGTGACGATGAACGTCCCAGGTATTCTGACATTTGACTTGCAGAATACGAATCAGAGGCCAGTGGAGACGTGAGTGCAGGCTGTGATGGAGCCATTGGAGAAGCAGTCGAAGGGCTTGGTTGCATCTGAGGCTGAGGTGGCGAGGCCTTTGCGATCAGAGAAGTTTTGATTAGATCTTCCAAGCTTTGCAATCGATCCTGGAGACTCTCCATTTGTTTCCTATTCATGCATTAAACCGCCGCACCGGAAGATGACATCCGTAAAGTCCACTTACTTCTTCCGCCTCTCTCGTGGTTTCGTAACATGGGTGATTTGGCAAACCGCATCTGCCTTCTCACATGATGAACACTTTCCCACGCCGTCTTTGAGGTCACACTTTCGCTTCTTCAATCGGCATAAATCACATGCCTATTTGTGCATCAGCCTCCGTGGTCAGAGCATGTAGGTCGAGGATCATGCTCACCTGTACTGTGTTGCCGTGTTTGACAGGCTGGACACTCATAGCCGGCATATCCCAGATGATGTATCACGATATCCGTAGATTTGTCTAGCTCCTCCACGGCAATACTGGTTTTAGGAAATAGTCAAGGATGTAAGTGATGACAGTTTCACATTTGCGTACTCTCAGTGGTCATATTCCAAATTAGATCATTAATGCGTCGTAGAGTAAGTGTACAGATGAGGTTTTCCCTCGGCATGCAAAATTCTACCATAAGCATCGCAAAAGATTGCAATCGCTGTTCCGGAAAACATGGCAAACGTCAGGTCACGTTACGCGATAGTGCTGACAAATCGCGACAGAACAGCGAATGATCGTACTGCGGCATTTGCCCAATTAGGTTAGCCCCAGCCTTTCCTCTCCTTTCTTTCCATTGACGCTGGTCAACCAAGCCTTCTACTCATAGTGTCGTGTTGGGACCAGGCCAGCCAAGGTCACTGGAATCGAAAAGTCGTGCGGTGACTGATCAGAGAATCTTTCAATAATGAAGCTCACATTCGAAGACTGGTGGGAGCGTCCATATTCGATCTGATTTGAGTCTGTCATTCGCCTCGGATGCATAGTCATTCGTGCAAGATTCAGCATGGCTATGTATCAAAATTCCATTCCGTCAGGCCCCGTAACGCCATCGTCGTCCCTCTCTCGCTTGACCCTAACCATTTCACTCTTCATTAACGCTTTGATATGACCGTCAAATAATTCAACGTATGACTTCAGCCTAGTCTTCTCCCAATCGTTCAACTTCCTCATCGTCACACCGTCCTCAACAAACCCATTGACGTTCGCACCGTCATCGGCACTTCCAAACTCATCAACTTCTTTGAGGAGTTCAGTGACCCTAGGAACTGACAGCGGATCGAAAGCCTCGGCACGTTTCATGTCTCCAGCTGCAGTGATTGGTACACAGACTCTTCCAGTTCCAGGATGCACGACAAAAGGGCTCTTCAACAAATGAATGCGTTTCTTGCCGACTTCCACATCGAGTCTGGGATAGGTGTATTCAAGAAGGATGTCCTGTTTGGCCTCCAACAACGCTTTCGTGTTCAACGTTTTGCTGACTCCGGTCTCCGCCAAGGCGTCTATATCAGCCCATTTACGGGCACTTGGTCGATTGGGGCTGCTCGCCCACTTCTTGGCCAGTGCTTCGTTCAGTGCTTTGTCGGGAAGCAATTGTAAAAGTCGATCTTGCCCATTCTGTGACATGAAGGGTTCTTGGTCAACAAGAACCTGTTGGAAGTATGGTCGGAGGATATCCAGACTTCGCGTGATATGAGGATGCAGTGGCCGCTTGAGGTTAACTCTTTTGCCACCCTGGACGCCTCCCTTCAAGACCTCAAAGTAGCCAGTTATCGCTTTCCGCTTGTCGTCGTCCAGCTCGCGGGCATCTTTGTCACTAATCCATGCGTGGACACCACGACGCCCTGAGTATATCCAAATAATGTGCTCGAAGCCAAAATCATCTCTTAGCGCGACGTCAACCACTTTGATCGCCATCGTTGCAAAGGACCAACATTTTGAACAGATATTGGCCTTTTCGCAGCACGTCCGAATATCATCGTAATCAGTCAAATCAATATCGAAAACTATCTCTTTGCTCAATGGTCGGAACATTGAACTCTTCTTCAAGGTTTTTCTGTCTCTCGGGTTCGTGGTGTACACGGGCCCTATCTCGAAACGTGAGGGATTCAGCCGTAGGATATCTTTACGAAGAGTATCTGCGGTGGGGTAGGATTGATATCGAAGATATGCATCGTTGGACAGGGTCAGTGCGAACTCTCTGTTGGCAAAGTCGGGTCCCGGTTTGGGGGAATGATTGAGCCATTGGAATAGCGACCGAAATGGGAACAGTCTTGAATAGAACTGTAACATCAAGTTGGGGTCTGAGTAGGATTCCTGTTGAGAAGCAGGTGCAGCATTTGCTGATGTTGCGGGTGCAGTCTGGGGAGGAGGAGAGGGCAGATTTGCTGCGTCGGAAGCTAGAATTTCGTCCTCAAGGTCGCCATCATCATCATCGAACAGGTCTTCGAGCGCAACTTTTGATTGATCTGGCTTGTTCGGGTCCAATGCAGTCCCGCTTTCACTCTCTAGAGGGGGTGCATCAGGCAGAGTTACGTCGTCATCGTTGACAGGAGAAGACTCGCGCGGTGAGGAGGACTCTGGCATCTTGATTCCCATGACGAAGATTTTCGTTGAGGATAGTAGTTGCTTAAGAGATCAGAGAAATGGTATCAGGCTGGAATGGAAATACCAAGTACGGAATCCATAGGACGGATGCACAAATGATAACTGATGAACGGGCGAGACGCGCCTGCGAGACGCGCCCATTGGAGAACGTGTGTATGACTCAGCACATAGCACTCCTTAATTGGCACATATTTCACGCTCACCCTTGTTAACATGGAGTCCATTTCAGAGCACTACGAACATTGGTACTTGATGGTCGGAAACACTTTTCATTCCGCGACAATGTGACTGATCATCGCTCTACGTGGTATCTAAAACATCTCAAATCGCTGAAAGACTCATAAGAATGGCCTCGTGGCACATAAATTTCAGAAGAAGCAAGTATATATACATCAAGACAAGTTTTCCTTGACCTCGTTAGAATCTGAAAATGGCCCAGAGTCATGTTGGACAAGTGGAGGACGTGAAGTCGGACTTGTCACCCCGATGGCTTGAGGGTCCCTTGCTCTATTGATTGCATCAGCAATCATGGCATTGATGGGATTGTTGTTGGCAGACTGCTTCAGTGCATCCGGAGGTAGGATCGCGCTGACCGAAGAGGATCGTGTCGATTGATTGCCAGCAAACGCAGGTCGTGGGATTGTGATGGGAGAAATGGGATCATCCATCATGGCAGTACTAGGAGAAGAAACAGTCGACTTTGAAATAACAACTTCCTTTTCGTCGCTGTAGATGGGTATGCTCTTTTCGGTGGTGGGTGAAGGGGTACCACTTTGACGAGCCGCTTTCTTTGCGAGATTTGCCAAAGTTGGAACGCTTGTACCGGAATTGGTCTTTTTGACTTCAATAGGTCTGGCCGTGACATTTCTTGCTACAATAGAACTCCCCGAGCTTCCCATAGCAGGAACCTGTGGGATCTTAGGGGTTCTGGTGCTTGGTGTAGAAGAAGTTCCTGGTGTATTGGCGCCCGATTTAACGCTGACAACATTTGCTTGTGCTCGGAATGCTTGTTGTGCCGGAATTGGCGGAACGATGGCATCGCTTCGATAAATCGTAGTTGCCACACTGTTTCGAGCCAAGCTAGGTGCAACACTAAAGCGAGCGTCTACCGAATCTGTATCGGACCACGTAGAATCTCTGAGATCCCCAGGCATGAAAAAGTGTTGCTCGAGAGCAGGCGTGGACGTCGTCGAATTGCCTAAGCTGCCAGGCAGAGCGGGAACAGGTGGAACGAGGAGTGCCGGTGATTCTGGTGGTGATCGAACCGTGACACCAGGAATGTATGCGATCTGAATGACATTCGAGGCTCGCGTGAGCACCGTCGACGCGATCGAGTGCGCAGATCGTGTAGATTGACGATGAGATCGGTGCAGGGTAGACTGATCTCGTTTCTCGGGCGGATCCCAAGTTTCAATGCGTCTCTTCTTGCGAGATCGAAACCGATAGATGCAATATATGGCGACAGCCAAAAAGATTAAACCTCCGATCACACCACCAACGATTCCACCGACGGGGGTAGACTTCTTGGGCGATGACTGGCCCGGGATTGTATTGAGCTTGACGCAGGTTGTTGATGCACATGAACTGCAAGATTGAGCCGACAAGGAACATCTTTCATCTGCCGAACATTGAGGGCAGCTGGGAGGCTCTGGTGGGCATTGTACACATCGCCGGAAGAGATGGTTAGGGTGTGATCTTGCTGCTAATGCAATTGTTAGCAAGTTTTGTTGCTGCAGAACTGGTGAGACTCACACTCAGAGTGCGCCATGGCGATAGTATTTAGCCTCTAGTGCGCAACCTTGGTCGCCCGTTGATTGAAGTAGGTTTGGATTCCAGCTTCTCTTGGTACAGTCGCTTTTTCGGGATAAAATGGGCGCAGCGCAAGGAAGTGTCTGGATTCTTGCCGATCCTCCCGAATCCGGTTTCCGTTCTTTTCAAAACAAAAGAGTGGCTATTCCCATATACTCGTCGTATAACGGACAATAATCTAAGCGGGGAAGAGCTGTTCAGAGAAGTGGTAGACCGGTGGTCGTAAAGCTTGTCAGCTGTAAGGTACCGAATGCAGGACAAAGAATAGAGAATGGAATGTGGTTGGTCTCTCCAGCGACCCAACGAGCGTTCCACCGGGGACGAAAATATAAAATCTGAAAGGGATGGCGAGAAAGACTGAATTGAAGTTGGATAAGGTCGAGGTAAGAGGTGAAAGAATGAGGTCGAGTTGGATGAAGGAGGAAGGAATTGAGGACGATCGAGGGTCGTTAAGGTGAGCAGATCCTTCGTTCTCGACCGAAGGACAAGCAACGCCTTCTGGGGATGGATTGAGAGGAGCGAAAGGGCACGAAGGGATGAAAAACAGAAGGTGAGTGGGCAGACGAGGGAGATGAAGGGGCAGTGGAGTTGGGACGCTGTTGGTTGACAGCCGACAACGCGCGGCAGGATCAAGCAGACCAAGAGCACACCACAGCACACCATCGCCCACCAAGGAATGGCGCTGGGCCGCGTTCAAACACGATCCCTTGCTTTTTACCAGGATCTTCCAGGGCGTAGGTGTCCGTGATCCTCCTCTCCCAATCACACGCTCTCCAGGCACAAAGGGCTCTTTGTTGGCTGATGAGCCTGGTTCAAGCGAGATTCTACCACCTGCTTCTGCAGGTGAGATAGACAAACACACCGAGAGATCTTTCTCACATGAGATGCTGGTGGCTGTACGGATATGGAAGACGAGTTAGAGTACGAGTACATACGAGTACGTGGACACTCTCCATGGCTCACTCGACAGTCATGACGCTCACACGTCTGCGAAGAAAAGATAAATTGCTTCCTTTCAATCGCATGTCATCCAGCCTGTCACTTTCTTGACTGACGTTGCTCACCGTGTGAGTCCACGATATGTTTTGTTTTCTACGTAGGATCTCGGTGTTTTCTGGTTCTCATTGGATCCACGAGATTTTACTCGCAATGCTGATTAGAACTAGACGGGAATGTGTTACTCTTAGGTATTGTATAGTAACAAGTGCGAGCGAAAAGAATGCTGAGTCAACAACCAATGTCAAAAAAAAACACATACACGACTCTCTACGAGTATACCTACTCATAAATTATTTCTATCTTCTGATATGGAATGCAAAGTCAGCCTGCTGCTGATTGATCAGGCAGCCCGACTGCATCTCATCGCAGCCACCGCCACCGGACAACAACACCCAATGTTCTATAATGGGCGAATGTGCTTATGCCACCATAATACGGATATTCCGTACCATGTCTTTTGATCAGCGAGAACAACTGATGAGTGAGTACTCGTAATCAATAATGCTGCGCACAGTTGAACTACTCCTGAGCAGTGAATTGATGATAGATCTGTGGCATCATTTAAATGTCGACTGCCAGTCTCGGCTACTTGGATCTCTAGGCACAAAATAGGTAGCTGATCGTCAAAGGGGCGTTGTGGCGCGGCTGTTTGCAGAACTTGCACCGCCAGCAATGGGCTTTACCTTATTACTATACGGAGTACAAGTACTAAAAATGGATCTGACTGTGAAAACTCCGATTGTGGCACCAAATGCCAGTACTGTACGTCGAACCTGTCACCTTGTGCTGTTTCGGCCTCCGCTCGTTCTTCATGACTGTATGTCGTGGAAAGAGTACCTCCGTCCAACAGTAATGAGCAAGGTGATATGATCGCGCATGCGGGGAGAGATGAAGCCCTAAACGGCTTAGGGAGCCTCGTCCCCTGAAACAAGCCCGGGTTCTTTGGTCCCTGGTTTGCGGCTTGCGCTTGTAGCCGTGACGCCACTGTTGGCGATAAGACCCATCATCGGAGGCCGCCAGGACTATTTCAGTCGTTCTAGCTGTTTCATCCCTGTGAGGACGATGAAACCCGGGGAAAGACATACTGGGTAGAGGTTTGTGACGATCGCGATAATTACGGAGTGCGAACCGGAGTATGTACAGACCCTTCAGTTCAATGCCTCTCGCCATGTACGGAGACTCCCAGGTCATATTGAGCCACAGGTAGCAAAGTCGTAGTAGATACCGTCATCCCTTGACTAGAATTCCACTTGCGGAGACGCCTCGTTGTTGCTGCGCAGGTTCCAGGGCAGCGAAGAAACCAATTGCTGCACAGCCTTCTTTTCGCCCTTTAGCGAGTCAAATACTATGGAGCCCAATGATTGGAGTGGCTAAGATTCTGTCGTAAGCCTGTTACTTGCCAGGTTGATGCACATCAGCTGGCGGTCTGCTTCAGGGGAGAGATATCTTGGGAATTGGCCTGAACCACGGGCAGGGACTTCGAGACCTTGAAACACCACCTCTGATCCCTCTTCTTTCTTTACCTGGTCACTCCCATACTTACTACGAGTTCGGAAAGCCGTGTGTATCACGGAGCTACCTTCTTTGGTATTCAGATAGAACATTCTTTGTGCTCGAGTCTTTCACTTCACGTACTCTCCGCATCCGTCTCACTTTGTTTCCAATACTTCACACGACCCTACAGTTCAACAGCAAACCCCCTTCAAAGCAGCCCTGGCGGCTGTCACTCTTAATATTTCATCATTATTCCCCAGACCTTCTGAACCCCGAAAGTTGCTGTCTACAGACACCAAGACCTTGCAAGTACAAGCTGCGTCGTTGCTGGTCCATCCAGCAGTCCCATTTGGCAAATATGGCGCACCAATATCCTGGTCACCAGCTCAATGATCTCTCACACGGCAATGTAAGTCAAATCTCAGAGGCGCGAAGTGGTTGGGCCTTGTGCTAAATCCTGCGACAGAACTACAGACCCTCTCCTGGACATTCAGACGACGAAGCAGAACACTCCCTGTTGCATCAGAACGCCGCATACCAGGTTCCCTACGATGATCCTCACTCCCACTCACGGCCGTTGACCCCGGGACAAGAGTCGGTCTACACACTGAACGAGTCATATGTCGGAGGAGATCCCTCAAAAGTTCCAGTCACAGGAACAAACTACAATCCGCAACCATATGGTCAGCAAGGAGCCTACCGCTCCAATTCACAGAACAACTTGCCCGCCCAGGGGGGTCCGAATCCCAGCAACCCAATGACCACACAAGATGCGTGGCAGGAAAGGCAGGCTCCTGGGTACGGCACAATCAAGCGCTATGCTACAAGAAAAGTCAAGCTAGTTCAAGGGAGCGTACTGAGTATCGATTACCCGGTGCCCAGCGCAATTCAAAATGCCATCCAGTCGAAATATCGAGGCGACCTCGAGGGTGGCAGTGAAGAGTTCACACACATGCGATACACAGCGGCGACGTGTGACCCGGACGATTTTACCCTTAAGAACGGCTATAATCTGCGACCGGCCATGTACAATCGGCATACCGAATTGTTGATCGCCATTACCTACTACAACGAGGATAAAGTCTTGACGGCGCGCACGCTCCATGGTGTGATGCAGAACATTCGTGACATTGTGAATCTGAAAAAGTCCGAGTTTTGGAACAAGGGTGGTCCCGCCTGGCAGAAGATTGTTGTGTGTCTGGTTTTCGATGGTATCGACCCTTGTGACAAGAATACACTGGATCTGCTGGCCACTGTTGGTATCTACCAAGATGGAGTCATGAAAAAGGACGTTGATGGGAAGGACACAGTGGTGCATATCTTCGAGTACACGACCCAGCTTTCAGTGACACCTAATCAGCAATTGATCCGACCCAACGACAACGATTCGACGTCCTTGCCTCCCGTCCAGATGATATTCTGTCTGAAGCAGAAGAATAGTAAGAAGATCAATTCCCATCGATGGCTCTTCAATGGCTTCGGACGTATCTTGAACCCAGAAGTTTGCATCTTGCTCGATGCAGGCACAAAGCCTGGTCCCAAGTCTTTGATGGCTCTTTGGGAGGCATTCTACAACGACAAAGACCTTGGTGGTGCTTGTGGAGAAATCCATGCCATGTTGGGACGCGGAGGTGTCTTTGGGAGAAAACTGTTGAATCCTCTGGTCGCGGCTCAGAACTTCGAGTACAAGATCAGTAACATTCTGGACAAACCATTGGAAAGTTCATTCGGCTACGTTAGTGTCTTGCCTGGTGCATTCTCTGCGTATCGCTTTAGAGCCATTATGGGTCGCCCTCTCGAGCAGTACTTCCACGGCGATCACACCCTCTCCGCACGTCTGGGCAAGAAAGGTATCGAGGGCATGAACATTTTCAAGAAGAACATGTTTTTGGCAGAAGATCGTATCTTGTGTTTCGAATTGGTGGCAAAGGCTGGATCCAAATGGCACCTTTCATACGTCAAGGCATCCAGAGCCGAAACCGATGTACCTGAAGGAGCTCCTGAATTCATCGGACAACGTCGACGTTGGTTGAACGGTTCATTTGCCGCCTCCATCTATTCCCTCATGCATTTCTCTCGCATGTACAAATCCGGCCACAACCTCATTCGAATGTTCTTCCTCCACGTTCAAATGCTCTACAACATTGTCTCGGTCCTGCTTTCCTGGTTTTCTCTGGCGTCTTTCTGGCTCACAACCAAAATTCTTATGGATCTTGTTGGTCAACCTAGCAGTCAAAACAACAACACGGCATTTCCTTTTGGTGATAAGGCGACTCCCATTATCAACACGGTTTTACAATATCTTTATCTGGCCTTCCTCCTGCTCCAATTCATCCTCGCGCTTGGTAATCGACCGAAAGGTTCGAAGATGGCCTACGTCATGTCATTCATCCTGTTTGCGCTTATTCAGTTGTATGTTATTGTTCTGTCCATGTACCTGGTGGTTCGAGCATTTACGACCAAAGACGGCACCGACATAGTCACAAATGAGGGTGCCAATGAGTTTGTCAAATCGTTCTTCGCATCAACAGGACCTGGAATTGTCATCATTGCATTGGCGGCCACTTTCGGCTTGTATTTCGTCGCCTCCTTCCTGTACTTGGATCCGTGGCACATGTTCACCTCTTTCGGTCAATATCTACTCCTGATGCCATCATTTATCAACATCCTCATGATTTATGCTTTTAGCAATTGGCACGATGTCTCCTGGGGTACGAAGGGCTCTGACAAGGCAGAAGCTTTACCCTCCGCCCAGTCGAAGAAGGACGAGAAGGGCAAAACGGCAGTCATCGAAGAAATCGACAAACCACAGGCGGATATCGACAGTCAATTCGAAGCCACCGTACGACGTGCCTTGGCACCATACAAGGCTCCAGAGGAGAAAGAGGAAAAGACGCTTGAAGATTCGTACAAGAACTTCCGAACTCGACTTGTCGCCACCTGGCTCTTTTCAAATGCTCTGCTGGCAGTGGCAATTACTAGTGACAATGTCGACAAATTTGGATTCACTGTAAGTTCTCTTTTCTTTGGAGGCAGAAGTTTCGCTAAATAGATGCACAGTCTCAAGCCACGAGCCGAAGTAGTCACTTTTTCCAAGCTCTGCTCTGGACCACGGCAGCTTTGTCCCTGGTTCGATTCACTGGGTGTTGTTGGTTCTTGGGCAGGACAGGGTTGCTGTGTTGTTTCAATCGAAGATAGTCAATCATAGAGGGTGCTGCATAAGCATGAGATCAGGGCGAAGGTCGGCAAAATCTGGAGATTTGGACATTTTCTGTCAGAAGAATCAAAATAAAAATGTACCACCTGCGTGTGCTGCTACAGACGTAAATCGTGCTTCAGTCGTAGACAGTAAATCTATTCAAAAGGATTTATCAATCGATGGGACTTTCGATTGCAAAAATCCGCACAGTACGAGTACAGAGTACTCCATACTCCGTACAACTATTGGTATCGGAGAATAGCCTCATATACGGCCGAACTGCGTCATGTGAGGGCTGCGGCCAACGGCGAACAGCCAACGCAACTACGACTGAATACTTTCACTGTCTAATAACAACCATTCCTTTATATTATTTTAGCTTCCACCACGTCTTCTTCACATATATTGTACTTTGCGGCCTTTGCGCTACCAAGTACGACCAGTCTTGCCTCGATCCGGTCTTCGCCACTCCATTTCCCTCAATCGTTACTCATCCTGCTGGTCGTCCATCTTGTGCCCTTTGCCTCTGCTATTTCACTGCGCTCTTCGATCACAGGCTTTGCCAGACACTCACAGCGATCGCCTAACACGATTTTTGAGACCCCGAGCCATTAACGAGACCTCTGCCTCTACCATACAAACCGCCAAGATGATGAAAATATGGTCAATGGTAGGTGGAACTGTGGACAGGACATTTCGAACCTGGCTGACAGTGGTATACAGAAGCAGCAGCAGCAGAAGGATGAGCAAGCGCAAGGAACAACACAGAAGAAGAAGAAAGTCACGGCAGCGCAATTGCGTGTACAAAAAGGTGGGATCTGCTACTCCGTTAGGTGACGATTTGGTCTAACCAGTACAAGATCTGAGTGAGGTTTCTCTCGGATCAACCATGAAGACTACATTTCCAAACCCTGACGATATCCTCAACTTTCAACTTACTATCGAACCGGATGAAGGCATGTACAAGGGTGGCAGCTTCGTATTTAATTTCGCCATCAACCAGAATTACCCTCACGACCCACCTAAGGTCAAATGCATTCAGAAGATCTACCATCCAAACATCGACCTAGAAGGAAACGTGTGCTTAAACATTCTGCGAGAAGACTGGAAGCCTGTGTTGAACTTGAACGCTGTCATCGTCGGCATGCAGGTAGGTGTTTCCAGATCAAAAGAGGCAGCGGTCACTAACACTCAATACAGTTTCTCTTCTTAGAACCCAATGCTTCCGATCCATTGAACAAAGAAGCGGCCGAGGACCTGAGAAATAACCGAGAAGGATTTAGAAGAAATGCACGAACAGCAATGGGTGGTGGTTCGGTTAGAGGCCAAACCTACGACCGCGTGTTGCGGTGATACCTCCAAAGATCTTAGACACGATAGATACGACGAATGACACAACTTCATACTGATCAGGACTTGCAAGAGTCTCCGTCAAGGTGTTTGGAGGTCGCCTTGCATACTTAGAGAAGAGGCATCCCGGGAGATGGCGAGGGTGATGTACAGAAAAGCTGTATACCGATACAAGAAATGAAAATTCCAGATATTGGCAGCAACCCAAGGGCAAGCCTGAACAGCCGTGACAATGCCTGCAAGACTGCTCTTAAATATCCGTACTGCGAATAGATACCAATAAGGCGGTGATATTCCTATGCCTTGGTCCAGACTGCGACTCGGGGAGACTAGAAATTGTCCGAAACCTCTATCCGTTCTCGGAGCCAAGCCCAAGGTTGGGGGGCCAATGAGGAGAGACACCGGCAATGAAGAGCTCGCTGCGCAGAGTGCGAGTGCGTCGAGTAATAAAGTATCAAAAATTTCCCCAGGATTTCTCAATTCTTACAATTCGCACAACTTCAGAATCTCCTCTCCTTGTTCAACTTGATTGACAAAATGGCTTCCAAGACATTTGCTAGAACCCTGCGCACTGCTTCCAAGCAGAAGCTCTCGACTCCCTCCGTCCCCAAGCGGTCGTTTGTCTCTGCCGGAGCAACCAGACCCGTTGTGGCAGCTTCTCAGAGAACCTCATTCGCAGCTCCCGCTCAGCAACAGACAAGAGGTGTCAAGACCATTGACTTTGCTGGCACGAAAGAAGAGGTCTACGGTACATGGTTTTTCTGGTCCAGTTCGACGAAGCTTTACTGACATCTTGTTTAGAGCGTGCTGACTGGCCTCGCGAGAAACTCCTCGTATGCTAAATTCTGTCTCCTGGGACGACAAGATCTGACAAAATTGCAGGACTACTTCAAGAACGACACCCTAGCACTGATCGGCTACGGTTCGCAAGGCCATGGTCAAGGTCTCAACCTCCGTGACAACGGCTTGAATGTCATCATCGGTGTTCGAAAGAACGGAGCTTCATGGAAGGAGGCAGAACAAGATGGCTGGATCCCAGGCAAGAACTTGTTCGAGGTTGACGAGGCCATCTCCCGGGGAAGCATCATCATGAACTTGCTCAGTGATGCCGCCCAGAGTGAGACCTGGCCAGCTATCAAGCCCCAATTGACCAAGGGAAAGGTATGATCTCGAAACCCTGCCTTTTCCGCGAGAAAACAGCTTCTAACTGTCCATTTTAGACCCTGTACTTCTCCCACGGTTTCTCTCCCGTCTTCAAGGACCTTACCAAGGTCGATGTGCCCAAGGATATCGATGTTATCCTCGTGGCCCCCAAGGGTTCCGGCCGAACTGTCCGATCCCTCTTCCGTGAAGGTCGAGGCATCAACTCCTCCATTGCCGTGTTCCAGGATGTTACCGGCAAGGCTAAAGAGAAGGCTATCGCCATGGGTGTCGCAGTCGGTTCCGGCTACCTCTACGAGACCACATTCGAGAAGGAAGTCTACTCTGACCTGTACGGTGAGCGAGGTTGCTTGATGGGTGGTATCCACGGCATGTTCCTCGCCCAGTACGAGGTTCTCCGCGAGCGTGGTCACTCACCCTCGGAGGCCTTCAACGAGACTGTGGAGGAGGCCACCCAATCCCTGTACCCTCTCATTGGTGCCAACGGTATGGACTGGATGTACTCTGCTTGCTCGACCACCGCCCGTCGGGGTGCCATCGACTGGCAAGGCAAGTTCAAGGATGCCCTCAAACCCGTCTTCAACGATCTGTACGACAGCGTGAAGAACGGCACCGAGACCAAGCGCAGCTTGGAGTACAACAGCCAAAAGGACTATAGACAGAAGTTTGAGAAGGAGATGGAGGACATCCGGGGCATGGAAATCTGGCGTGCCGGAAAGGCTGTCCGGTAAGTTTTATTTGTCTCTTGTGTTGTTTGTGCTTTGACTGACAATAATTTTCCAGCTCTCTGCGACCAGAGAACAACTAAGCTACCTTACATCTGGGTTGGGTACCTTAAGTAGTTGTGAGGGGCTTACGCTTTCCAGTGTAATTCAGAAGATAGCACGGCGTTAGTCAAAAGTGAACTATGTATCAAATGGTGGTCATTGTTTATCTTTTTTTCCAGAGATGAAAAGAATGAACCAAAAAGGATCGAGATTCTGGAGTAATGCCAATTGAATGTTCATTTGCTTTTGCCTTGAATTTCCGTTGCAATTGAAGTCACTCGACAACTATCCTTGCCTAGGTATAGATATGATGAGACTCGTAAGATCGTAAATTGTCCCTAGATGATACATAGAATGAGGGATGGTGGGCTGCGATGTACAGGGTGTAGGGTAAATATGTCCCCGCAGGACAAACTATTTTTTGTAAATGCGATCACGCCAGCCTAGGACAGACCACCCACTTCCTAGGTAGATATTCAGCACCATCTGCTGTTTATGCCTACTCACTCATATCCACAAGTCTCTCGCAGAAACTAGCACCACAAACTACCAAACGAAATTTTGTGTTGTCGTCTAGAGCGATGAAAGGACACGTCCTTTTATCGTCAATCCCAATTGAATATCATTCAACTTAGGAAGCAACAAGTGACGATACGGGAGTGAGGTCCATCCGTCAAGTATACCCCTCCAGGGTAACCCGAGTACAAATTTCCAGGTCAAGACTACCCTGATAAGAAAAGGGGGGTATTCCTTTTGAGTCCAAGCATTACTCATTCGACATGGCCGACCCGAACACCTGTCCACCACTTTTGCCGTCGTCCATCGTGGCGGCTCACGCCAAAATCCAGGGTCACATCCACCATACGCCCGTCTTGACGTCGAGGTCGTTGGACGCCATCGCGAGTGCTCCCGACCCCAGGGTGTTCCTCGGCGACACCCCCCCGACGTTCGAGGAAGCCGAAGCGTCACGAGCGAAGGGGTCGAACGCCGAGACGACGCCTCGGTTTCGCGTCTGGTTCAAGTGTGAGAACTTCCAAAAGATTGGTGCTTTCAAGGCCCGAGGTGCCTTCCACGCCGTGGCCAGACTCGTGGAGGAGATGGGCGTAGAAGAGGTCAGGAGACGTGGAGTGGTCACTCATAGCAGTGGTATGCATTCTGTTTTCCTTTTTTTCTCAGCTACATCTGTTTTTTCGTTGTGTGCTTTGGTCGAGCAACGAGATGGTCTAGTTGTATCCTAGCACAATCACTATACTGACACCCCTCTCTTTGTGTTCTGTGTCTAGGTAACCACGCACAAGCTTTGGCTCTGGCGGCCTCGACTTTCAAAATACCAAGTTACATCGTGATGCCGAGTATAAGTACACCTTCCAAGATCGCCGGGACGAGGTTGTACACACCCAACGTCATCTTTTCCGGTTCGACGAGTCAAGAACGTGAAGCAGTGGTGGCAGAAGTCATTGCCGACAAGGGTGCCATACTGGTCCCACCTTATGACCATCCCGACATCATTCTAGGTCAAGGAACCGTAGGGTTGGAACTCGAGTCACAAGTCCGTGAATTACAACTCCAACGACTTACGGAGAAGAAGGAGACATCCTCCTCAAAGGATGGTGATGACGATGATGGTTCTTCTACTCGGACAAAACTCGAAGGTCTGGACGCGGTGATAACACCCCTCGGCGGTGGAGGTTTGTTGTCGGGTGTGGCTACATACTTTTCCGACAAACCAGGTACTTTGGTGTTTGGAGCCGAACCGAGTTTCCAAGGTGGCGACGACGGAAGACGTGGCTTAGCACAAGGAAAAAGGATCGAACACGTCAAGACGTTGACCATCGCCGACGGTCTGAGGACACCGGTTGGGGTGACAAACTGGGGTGTTCTGAGCAACAGGAGAAAGTTGGAGGGGGTCTACTCCGTGACCGAAGACGAGATCAAAATGGCCATGAGGTTGGTGTTTGAGAGGTTAAAGGTCGTGGTCGAGCCGAGCGGTTGTGTCGGGTTGGCCGTGGTGTTGTTCAACCAGGAATTCAGGGCCATGTGCTCCCAGAGACAGATGGGATTGGAAAAGGACGGGTGGGACGTCGGGGTCGTGTTTTCGGGTGGGAATACTACCATGAAGGCCATTGCGAAGTTGTTTGGGGAGGATGAGACAGACGCAAAGGACACAAAAGAAAGGCAGGCAGGAAAGGTCGGAAGGGATGGATCAAGAATGGCAGAGGATGTTGCTGGATAGAGAGAGGTAGATGTGATGACGGAGTACTTCTTGACATTTGCGTATATACCTATTACTGCTGTTATATACGGAGTATACGGATATATATTGGATTATGATACTCTGGTGTGAAGATAGAAAGAAGTATATCAAAACTCAGATATCTACTAGACGGACCGATATGATGATGCCATGAATATAGCTCTGCGTCATCGTGATCACTGCGAAAGGTACTCGTCCATCTAGTCTTGACGCCGAAAGAGAGAAATCCAAACTCCCCTCCTCCATCCACTGTACTCTACCCATTATTCAACTATACAAATAATCGAGAATGCAAAAAATTAAAAAAGAGAATAATTGAGAGGAGTGGGGTTCGAACCCACGCTTCCTTACGGAAAGCAGAGAATTTTAAGAATGTAGACCATGGATCTGTACTTAAATCTGCCGCCTTAAACCACTGTTCGCAAAGCCCTTTGTTAGTATCGAGGAACAAAATAGAAGGAAAGGGTTGGGATTATTTACCTCGGCCATCCTCCCGGGAGAAATTAAGTCAATTTTCGACCACCATGGTATACAACGTTACGATTGTTTGCGGGTCGGGGATACCCACTCGAGGCCTATTGGAGGCGACATCAGTGCGCCTAAACAAGCCGAACTGGGGGTGTTCAATACTAGGGTCAGTATGTACCCATTTCCTCCGTAGCACCTAGTATCATTGAAAAGTCTAGAGGACTCGTAAGGCATGTCTTGTTGAATACCTAGGTACCTAGGTATGTACGTGCTCATCTACATATCACAACTGCTTCACCAATATCTCGACTCTTTAATCTGTCCATCAATTCCTTTTCGCTAATGTCCAATTCCGTACAGATCTCATCGAAACAGTGTGTACCATCCAGAAATTCAATGATTCTATGGTTGATATGACGATCAGACACCCCCCCTCGATCGGACGTCCTCCTAACGACGTTCTTCCCCTTCCGCCTGGATGTATCCTCAGTCAAATGTCGCTCACTCGACATGCTTCTGGTGAGGTCCTCCGAGTCGTAATCGGAATGCTGATTATGATTACGATCATGATGATGGTTATGGATCTGAGAATTTGGACCGAGTGCCTTTTGAGTTCTGATAGCGTACCGGTGTACACGATACAAAAAACCCTTGATGACACCAAAAGTGATGAACCGTCGCATGTCGATGTTTGCGAGCATGTCCGCATTTTGTGCGTACCATTCCCGAACGGTTAACCCTTGTCTGAGACAAGCAAAGAGCTGGACTATGCCGACGCCGTCGATGGGATCACCTTTGCCAGTGAGCGGCCAGATGTCATCGTCTTGTAATGTGAGCGACGTCAAGCCGCTGGTCCTCCGTTCCGTGGCGCTATCTATGATGGCTTCTTCTTGGGCCGCCGGGGCGAGTGCCGTGTTGACATAACGAGCGCATTCCAGTTGCATGGCGGGATCTTTGGCGATCAGGTTGGAAAACTCGGCCGTCGGGGCGTAGATCGCGTTGAAGCTGAATATGTCGAGTAGGATAGCGCAGCCATAGTACAGCAAATGCTTGACGCACTTCTTGGTGAGCTTGAGATCGGCATCGGCCAACATTGCTATCCTCTTGACGCTGTTGACACCGTTGATGTAAGGAATGATCCGTAACATGGTCAAATCCCAGTTTTCGTCGATCATGGTCTCGATTCTCACCGTGAACAGCGGTACATACCACGGCTTGACACTGGCGGGATTCGGCAGCGAAGGGAACAGCTTGATGTTCAAGGTATTGAGCTCGTCAATTGGGATCATGCATTCACAGTAATTGTTCAGATCCTCCATGAGCATTTCGCATAAACTGTATATCTTGCCAGAGTTTGGAGGAGACGCATCGTCACTCAAGAACCTTGATTGTTCCTCCAGACTGCGCATCAGATGTGCCAGCTTCTTGACCACGGACTTGTATGATGCGACATCCGTGGTACTGGGCTCGCCCAGCAAAAGCGCAAAGTTGAAAATGAATTCATTTCGCGGATAATGCGGAGACGTCAAGCAGATCGGGTACGAGAGGACAAGCGTAGGTGGTGTATTTGGTGTCAGAGGAGGCGGTGACAATGATATGAGGTTCCCACAGAGTGACTGACGAGGTATCACGAAGCGTGATATGGTGGGAAAGGATAGAAGCGGAGAAGATGAGGTGGCATTGCTTGCGGGGATTTCGGTGGTCGTCGTCAGGATCGAGTCTTCTGGCACTTGGTGAACAATCTTTGGTCCTGATGAAGAGGTTAGCCGATGCAATGGACCAGACTGAACAGACTCACCTTCATGGGGGTCAAATTTGCTGTAGAAGATGGCTTTGATGGACATGATTGTAGGGTCGATTTGAATGGATCATTAGTTACCACAAATGTTTCTGAGTACCATGGTTTCTGAGTGTAAGGACCAAACTGCCCTCATCACGTAGACACCCTCAGACCATTGTAGAGATGATCCTGTCGTGTCGTGGAAGATAGACTATCACCCACAAATACGTGATGAAGGGTTTGTTGTTATGAGGGGTCAGCCTTGCGACTCGACCCCAAGCGATCTGCATCTTTATTTATTATTTAAGGGCGCGGGAGGAGCATTGAGTGCCTAAAATCACGCCTAGATTAACGTCGAATGAAGTACGGTTCTAAGCACGCTAAGGCACTTGATTGAGCGAGTACTTACATGCGCCTGTGCTTGGAGGACTATGCAGCAGATCTGTTCTACCATCCTGCTGGAATCCTCCGGGCTTACATAGTCTTGATCTGCGTCTTGACACGAGGGTAGGCCGGAAGAAAGAGTGGGAGATGATTGATCGGTTTGTTGCGACGGTGAGATCGACTTCTCCCTCACACTCTTCCTCCTTGGATCCGGCGATGGAATCTGTAATCCTGGCTCTGAGACTGCAGATGCCAAGGTCAACATTCAAGCAAGGCGAAGAAGATCCTGGTTTATGCTATCAAAATCATGGACACACCATTCACATTGATCCAGTGTCCGGCAGAAGATTCATCAGGGTGGCCAGGGTTCTGGACATTTAGGCCCTTCTACAACCCCTGTCCTCTTATCAAGATATTAGGCAAGCGCCGAAAGATTCCCATGGCGGAAATCAACGATCGACCGTGCGCGAGACTCGATTCCGCACTTACACCAAGCTGTGACGTCGTCGCTATCAGGGGTTCTACGGATCAACAGCCTTGTACGGAGTACGATAGTGAGCAAATTTTGTACAGGGACCAGTAGCGAGCAGTTTGTTACCAGCTCGCTAGCTGACAAAGTCGTTATTTCATTCCGCCTCGCGCTTTCGGCTTTCAACCTGTTAAACCTCTCAACTATGCGTCTATCAAATCCCAGCAGATGCTCGCGAAGAGGATCTCGGCCTCGATGGTCTCATTGGAGAACAAGTGCTCCCTTTTTGAAGATGCGGCCACAATTCCTTCTCGCTCATATCGAAGTTTCCTATCCGACTTCGTCGCACTGTACGAAGCCTCAGGCCGTACACGCAAGCTTTTGAGATACATGTCTGTGATCCGAGTCTGCCGTCAAGAATTTGACATGCTGTACATTCAACATGTATATCAGTATGGCGCGAGGCTGCTCCTGGAGTCGACTGACGCCTGGTTCAAGTTTGGATAAAATCAAGTTTACTCAAAAGGAAACGACGCACAGCACAATATCGACAAGTGAGAAAATCAATCATGGATACCCTTGACAGAGACCTCATCCGTGCTGAGGTGGATGCAAATGCGAACCGACCCGACACGCTGTCACACATAGCTACATATGGACCCGATATCGAGAGAGACTGGGCCCATGATGAATCAAGACCACACCGGACCACGACCCATGGAGATCTAACAAACATCAGTACAGTATGTATAATAAACGCAGCCGTAGCTGCATCTGCTGACAATTATCGCAGTACACCACTCATAGGTCACAACGCTCACGTCTGGGACTCGACCCCATCGAGTTGGACAGAATTAGTCGGCAAAGAACCCAGCATCAGGAAACCGTGGGGCGACCTGCAGGTTCAAGACGAAGATCAACAGCTACCCTCAGAACGGTCACGACACTGGGAGCAGGGAAGCCATTGCCTCCGTCAGACAATAGGGAGGAATTCGTGGTAGAATTCGAGGGAGTGGACGATCCGGAACATCCACTGAATTGGCCCTTCAGCAGAAAGTACGTCGCTTTGCATACCATCATGCTATTGTATGTTCTTTTTACTGACGTTGATTCCAGGGTCGTTATGTCGCTGATTCTCTCATACATCACTTTCAGTGCATCTTTTGGCTCGGCCATCTTTTCCCCTGCCGTCGGTCAAGTGTCCCACCACTTTCACGTCAGCACCGAGGTCGGTGTGCTCGGTGTGTCCCTGTACGTCCTCGGGTTCGCATTCGGCCCCATTCTCTGGGGACCGCTGTCCGAGATCCTGGGCCGCAAACAACCTCTTGTCGTCGCCATGTTCGGGTTCAGCATCTTCGCCCTCGCAGCCGCCACATCGAAAGATTATCAAACGCTCATGCTGTCGCGCTTCTTTAGCGGTTTCTTCTCTGCCGGCCCGCTCGCCGTCGTCCCAGCCTGCTTCGCTGACATGTTCGACGACAGCCAGCGCGGGATCGCCATCACTGCATTCGCCATGGCAGTATTCTGCGGGCCCTTTGCAAGTCCCTTCACAGGCGGCTTCATTACCCAGAGCTACCTCGGCTGGCGCTGGACGATGTACATTGTCAGTATCATGGGTTGGTTGGGCACCGGACTCACACTGTTCCTTCACGAGAGTTATGCCCCGACTATCCTAGTCGGCAAGGCCGGTCGGATTCGTCGCGAAAGCAAAAACTTTGCCATCCACGCGAAACAAGAAGAGATCGAAGTCGACATGGCAGAGCTGATCAACCACAACTTCATGCGGCCGATCAGGATGCTCTGCACTGAGCCCATCGTCTTCCTCATCACGCTATACATGAGCTTCATTTACGGTCTGATGTACCTGTTTCTCGGCGCATACCCGCTCGTCTTTCAGAAAGTCAGAGGCATGAACCTGGGTGTTGGCGGTCTACCATTCATCGCCTTGATTCTCGGTCAAATTTGTGGTGGTGTGTACATCATGATTGACCAGACACAATACAAGAAGAAACTGGCCAGGAATCATGGCGTGCAAGTTCCAGAGTGGCGTCTACCTCCCGTCATTATAGGAGCAGTGTGTTTCAGTATTGGGTTGTTCTGGTAAGCCTTGTTTTTTTCCCACTCCCTCTCTTCGATGGCGGTGACCTAAATATTTGCTGTAACAGGTTCGGCTGGACCGGCTTCTCCAAGGACATTCACTGGCTTGCGCCGACTGCCAGTGGGGTTGTAACAGGTTTTGGCATTCTTTGTATCTTTTTACAATGCTTCAATTACCTCATTGACACTTATCTCATGTTGTGAGTTCATAAATGGCTCCCTTGGCTCACCCAAAAGTGCCTCACGTACTGACTCGATCCCTCCTTCAACAGTGCCGCCTCAGCTATTGCAGCAAACTCGCTTCTCCGGTCCTTCTTTGGAGCCGGTTTTCCTCTTTTTGCCGACCAGATGTTTGACAATTTGGGAATTCAGTGGGCTGGTACGCTGCTGGGGTGTCTTGCGGCCGTCATGATTCCCATCCCCGTGGTGTTTTACTTTTACGGCCCCAAGATTAGAGCCTTGAGCAATATGAATCGACAATCGCATTCTGAAGAACCCACGAATGACGAGACGGGCGAGGACAAGGTGTGAATGTACAGAGTATCATGGTTCGATTTGGAAGATGCCTTGAATCGGCGTTTATATATAGACAGCTCGGCGTTGTGGTAGTTAGCTCGTCACTAGCTAGGCTCGGGGGTTTGTTTCCTCCTAGGGAAGGGAGATTCTTCAAGGTCTGTTGTCTGCATAGCGAAGGAGTTCTGGAAGGATGTGAAACACAGCAATTGTCGGTGTTTGAATAGAATCACTCTAAATGACAACAGGTTGACATACGCGTACCTACCTTACCTACCTGATGTTTCGGATTAGGTGTTTTCATCACCCATCAACTTCAATGGTGTATCGTGACGTGTTGTTTTGTTGTTATAATATGTATAGATTCAAACGACTCTCCGTCACTCTGATCAATATATAAAGGAGTCTCGACGACCTTTGATTCTCATTTTATCTTACACATCTCGAACACTGATTCTTCTGACCCAGCCTTGGGAGAGTCCATTCAGCATACCACCTTGATCAAGTCCTAGCTTTCTTCGCGCAACCTCTCAAGTCCGGATTCGACTTATCTTAAGAACCGACATTTCTCTTTCCTGTTCCAAGACTTACAATTTACCGAGGTCTATTTAACCATGGCGGCAGAAGCGTAAGTACCCAAAACAGTCCTAAACCTCTCTCTCTCATCACGAAAGAACACGTCGGTCTTCAGGAAAATTCGGAATGACTAACGTTTCTCTCCCCGCCTCTCTTTAGCAACAATAACAATAATCAACCAGCCCAAGAAGAAGAAAAGAAGGAGCCAGAACCCCCAAAGAAGCCTCACGACCTGCCCAACTCGTGGGACCCGGATCACGAAGATTACTTGTGGAATCCGGACCGTTGGGAATCCCCCATCAACAAGTGGAGATGTTGGAAATATGACCAGGAGGCTCGAGACTACATTGATCGAACCAATAAAGCTGATGCTCACATCGCGGATTTGCAGAAGCGACTCAAGGACTTGACGGGGTATGATTATTGAGGCCACAGACTAGAGATTAGAGAAATCTTTGGTCCGGGGAACGGGGATCCGGGGGACACTCACTGATGATGACGGCGATGATTTGTCCGATCTGATGGCATGGTTGCATGAGTTGAGATGAGACCAGTCGTGTATTGAGAAAAGGCTCTGTAGGAGTTGAGATGAGACCCGTCATGAGCTGCAAAGTCACTTATACGTCTACCTGGAATGATAAGTCCTTTTTTACTCTTGGCATGAATTCTGTGAAATGGTGAACCTTCGGATGAAAGGAAATCAATGTACCTGCTGGCACTGCCTTCAGGTAGACACTTACCTCACGTTAATGTGCAAGGCAGCAAAAAGCTGGCACTGTACAACATGACACGGTGACGGTGGCCGAACAAGTGACGATTATTGTACACAATGCGACCCTCATTGTTGACTTCTTTCGTTAATCAAAGTGGGCATTGAATGACTGTTTTGAGGAAAACATGGAAAGTTATCAACAGGTCAACCGCGTGCTGCGTGCTGTCATCTCCCGTCCTTTGCAGAGTCAAAGGAGTCGTCAGTGGATGCTTCGCTGTCGACAGGTCAAAAGTTGCCTTGAACTTGGTGCTGTTGTGCTCGTGTAACAATTGATAGTAAGTAATGTTTCGACTCAAACCCCCCAGGCCGTAATCCCCGTCTTCAGATCAAGGCCCAGTAACATAAGATCCCATTTATTTGACGCATTTCTGACAAAATTGTAGACATTGTGGACATTTCGGCTGAACAACAATATTCTATTCCATCAACAAACACAGAGTTCAGAGGAGTAGAGACAACCCATCCACCATGCCTGCGGACGACGAGTGGCATTATGAGAGACGACGTATACCAATCACCAGTGGCTGGGGCCCTTGCAAGCGAACTGACTGGGTGCCTGTAGAAGAACACTATCGAGGCCGAAACTCTCGAACTGTCCGGACGTTTCTGAGGGTCGTCGGACTCGATCCAGAGTCTGCATACGTAACTCGATCAGTCAACCGGAACCGACCAATGTTGGATTTCGGTCACGGCGGCGACGACGACAATGGGCGCGACCTTGCCCGACAGTACGCAGGGTTTCGAGAGCGTGAACTACACCCTGGCCCGTGGCGGTATCATCATGTCGACGATGCACCGGCACCGGCGCAGTCTCACGACATCGACCGAGTGATCGCAAATGACCTGCAAGAGCTCGAACAGTTCAGAGCACAGAGATTCGAGAATCGTATGGGGGAGCTCAACGCCGAGATCAATGCGATCGACGTGCGGTATTGGGACAGAATCCAAGAGTACCAACAGGCATTGGCTGCTGACGCAGAAATAAATGGTCGAGGAGTTGGTGATCCGCAGCGACAGTTGCAAGAGATACGGGATGCTGTGGAGCGGATGCAACAGAACGAAGGACGACGAAATCAGGCCGAAGAGCGTAGGGACGTCGAGCGCAGAGTACAGGAGAGAATGAGGGTTGCCGAACAAATGGTGCGAGATTTACGTCGACAACATGAGCGAGAGCGCGATCGAGATCGCCGTGAGAGAGATCACCATCGTCGGAGGGTGCATCATAGGCGTCATGATTGGTAACGATGGTTGTTGAAGGGTTATTGGTGCGATTGTCCTGGAGTTGTCAGTGTAGACGGACACGATCGGTTGCTTGTGATGATGAGGATAGAAATGATGAGATACTCAGATGTTGTCTGAGTTATTTGAGGTTGGATTTCATAAGGCTGCGAGTAACGAGGCTCTGGGCTCTTATTCATTATTGTAGGGGTACTCCGTCATTCCCTATAGTTAGGTAAGGTAACTGCGTAGCAGGCCTTTGCTTAACAATGTTCACGCCTAGACCTCCCTTCTTTAGGGGCGTCTGAGCCCTATTAGACTATGAGCTGCTCCACTAGACCATCAACACCAAGAAATAGGACGACGACAATATCCGTTTTCTCGACATCGCTCTTCTCCGTCGACTCAAAAGGCGTAGTATATTAATAATGAAATGTGAGAGAAAAAGGATACATCTCTCTACTTTCTCGTTGGAATCCAGAGCTTGATCTTTCGTTAATTCTTCATCTCGATCTCACATTCCGTCAAGTAGCCCTATTAGACTGAAATTTCTCGAAACAATGGCTCCGAAACAACCAATTAACTCTGACAAGGGCATCAAGTCCCCATTGTTCTCCCAGGCGATCGTCCACAACGGTACTGTTTACTGCTCTGGCAATGTCGGAATGGACCCAAAGACCAGCAAGATGATTGAAGGGTCTGTGGCCGACCGAACCGTGGGTGAACACCTGTACGCATTGACTCTTGACCAGTGCTAAACTTCCGAGCAGAAGCAAATCTTCGAAAACATCAAGAATGTCTTGGAGGAGGCTGGAAGCAGCCTGCAGAACATTGTTAAGATGAACATCTATCTTGTCGACATGGGCGACTATGCTGCCATGAACAAAGTCTGTGCGTAGCATCCTCCGCGCTTTCGGAACATTCCAACACTCCATTCACTAATCCGGACAATTGATCAGTCCTCGACACCATTCCAGACCCAAAGCCAGCCAGAACGTGCGTTTGCGTCAAGGAACTCCCAGGCAAGACAGATGTAGGTTGACGTCGAGGAGCAAGTCTGGATACTTCTAGTCTACTGACATTTGCTCTAGGTCGAGATTGAATGCATCGCACATCTGTGAGGGCATGTTCCATACTCCACATCCAAACGGACTTCTGATGATTGACTGTCACCAGGAATGAGACAGCTGGGTCAAAGCTTTAGGTAGAGGAGGACATGAGACCTGTACGGAGAGTACAACTGTGTCCTTCACTCTACAGGAACCCTGTCATTTCGATGCTATCTATACAGGTTGACAAGAACAAAACAATTCTCTAGTCTCGTTTGCTGAACTGACACAAGCGGAAGACTGTCAATAACAATGAACAACAATGACTATGGTACTGTGCTGATTGAAAACAGCTAACTTCACTTTTCCATTGTCCATCCTGCCGCTTTCAGGTGCTTCATGAGATTTCCCAAGAATCGTGTCTGCAATCGCGCTATATGGCGAACAATTCCCCAACCTTCTTTTCATGTCTCACGGTTTTTCTTTCATGTTATTGCTTTTTTTTCTCTCAAGGAGCACTTTATTATTGACAACAAGTAAGGGAAAGACTATATCTTTTGAACTCACCTGAAGATGGATGACCCTATAGCCCAGAGATTGAGGCCTCGCAAAGGTCGAGCCACTCAGGCTGAGCACACTGATCCTCCTCAGCAGACCCCTTACAAGCCCGCAAGCAAGTCTACTACACCAACGTCCCGAAGCACAACAATATCTCGCAAGACTAGGCCAAAAGGTATCAAAAAGACACAAGCTAAAGAAAGATCGACCACCACCAGCACCACCCCGTCAAAGGCCCAACGAAAGTCTGCGGTAGAGAAGAAGAAAAAAAAGAGTCCACCGAAAGATGCGACCTTTAGGCCAGATCCGACTGAATCAAGTGACGACGAAGCTGAAACTCCCGTGCAGCAACAACCCAACGCCGAAACCCCACCGAAAAGGAGAGGAAAGCCTTTCAAGACTCCGGTCAAAGATGGTGCTTATAGACCTGGTGGCGACGAGTCAGATGATGAAGCATCCGTAAAAACCACTCGAAAACCACGGTCGACGAAGAGATCGATCAGAAAGCCGACACCGATACCTTTTGTACCCATCCCTGAAGATGGTGACTCCGCAAAGACACACCCACCACCAAAGGAAGGTCTTTCCGACCCAAGAAATCCAAAGCGTAGACCTATCAAGATCACTTTGAAGGTGAAGAAGGCTTCTTCACCTAGACCGGCCACTCCAGATCCTAGACGCCGGTCAGCATCCGGTGACGTCCGCAGCAACCCCAACATATTTCGCACAGCAACGTCTGGGGCTCGGATTGACGATCCACTTCCACGAGCAAGTCCGAGTCCGAGCACAAGACACACGAGGCCATCACCAAGTCCTCGACCTTCGCCAAAGTCACCTAAGCGCCCTGCTCCAGTCAGTGATGGTGATGGTCGTCTCTCTCGGTCTCCCAAGCGTCCAAGGTTCGAAAATACAACACTACATGCTGTAGGCTCATCATCTTCTAAGCCCCGCGCCTCCTCTACGCAACCTCCTCCTCCTCCTCAGCAGGATGATGATCATCTCACAATTGCAGATGCCGATCGACTTTTTGAAGAAATTGTACTCATGCCTAGAAAGTTAGAACTCGGTGAGATCGCAGCGCTTTTTGTTTGTCTTCAGGAGAAATGCATGCGGTTCTCCCAAAAGCATTTCAGTTTCGACTTGACCGAAGAACAGCAAGAAGAGTGGCCCTTGCATCGACTCGACGAACAAAAGTATCGATCGTTTTTCAACATGGCCAGGTTCCTCGTGGACGCCAATCACTGCGGATGGCGAGAGTTCTTCACAACCCCGCAACATCGCGTGCCTTTTGTCCATGGGGTTCTAGGAGAGCGATTCAAGAACAACATCTTCAAGATCCCCGGTTTCGGTCTCGGTCGGGACAAAGTCAACAGGTTGGCCGAGATTGATCGCAGTTACCTCAAATACGATGCCTTTGTTCGGAGTAAAGTGCGAGCCGAGTATCTCGAAGAACTCAAATTTGACAAGGTGGAAGATTGGTATTCCATTGACGAGAATGTTCACAATGTCGAAGAGAACACCGCAGCATCAGCACCAATCCCAACACTGGTCTTGCCAGGAGCAGCAGCAGCAGCAGCAGCAGCAGTTCCCTGGGCTCCGTCTGGAACATCACCAGCGTCATCAGCGGCCGCCTCCGACCCAAGCGAGAATTACTTCCCTTCGAAGTACGCGGTCAGTCTCGACAAGGACGCCACAGAACTAGCGTCTCACATCATGGAACAATTGGAACTGATCCTTCCTCCCCCGATCTTCGACCCACTCCACCCTCACGGTCCACGAAACTTTGGCGAGAACAGCAGAAAGGTGTCCGCGGGACGCGCCATAGAGGCCGATCTCACCGCCTTGATTAAGTACATGGGCGGGTTGTCGTTGTCTATCCGATTCACGGGTATCGACGGTACCATCATCCGCCTCGTTGAAGCCTATTCAAAGGGGACCGAGTACCACATCGCAGACTCGACGGACAATATCTGTGTCAATGCGGATCACTGCAACGCCACGTGCCCGGCGGACACTACTCCCGCGACGTTGCGCATCTACATGACCTGCTGGTGCAGACTTGAAGGGGTCGTCCCCCACGGTAAGAACAGGTTGGAATTGGAAAAGTTCCAAATGGAACATCAAGACCCAGACGCACCGGAGACTTTCACCTGGGAACAATACGAAGATGAAGTTTTTCCTCCGCTCCCTTACGAACTACAAACTACCCCTGAAGGTCGTGCCGCGGTTGAAGACCTGCCAGTTATTCCTGGCACAGAATGGGGAGCTTCAATGGCTCGTGTGTCGGCCAAAGATCACGTCTTTGAGGGGGACGATGAGGATGACAACAACCGTCACGGTCGTCGACGACGCAACGGTACCGACAAAAGAGCTCCAGGTCCAGAAAGAGGTTGTTTCGTAACGTATTACAATCGACTTGCACCGACAAACGTCTATTGTGCATGGACATCCAAAGCTAGACCTACACGATTTCCAGACCTTGGCGACGACTTGCCACAGCTGCAACGACGCAGTACGAACGAGTCGTTGGAAGATGCCATTGTCCGCGCCAAATTGCGGCGACGCGACTTGCGAGGACAAACAGAGGACGACTCGTACATTGGTTCCACGATGAATTTGATCCGAGAATATCACGTCGGCGAATGGCTGGTCGCGAGTTCCATGGCGGGTGGACTGTTGGCGTACATTTTGTCCGCCGACAGGGGCGTACTCGGCCGTCACTTTGACGAGATGGTGGCGGCACTGTCGGACTCTGCTCTGGTCAGACGATTACAGACCATTCCGTCGTCGGTCGTCACCCGTGTAGGGGACGCCTTGGGTCTCCCGGCGACCGCCGCGAGACACTACGTCGTCACTTTGCTCGCTTGGGCTCGACACCTGGAACAACGAACTGCCCACGGAGTGCGCGACGCGGTTACGGATCTGACTAGGTCCGTCGAGGCGGCGAGGGCGTCGTTGGTGGCGGCAACAACAAACACACCCACGTCGCTCGACGTCACCACCTTGTTCACGCCACCCGTAATGACTGTCGAAGACGTGGTGGTGGACCGGACCATCGCGTCGACAAGAGCCCTGTCGTCCGTCACCGCTTTGGCGAGGAAGAAGATAGCAGAGAGTCAGGGATGAGACAAGACAAGTCGCACGGACGAACTAATAGACGTAAGATCAAGAAAGTAAACAGGGTGGTATCGTGAAGCGGGATGAGAACGGGGGGGGGGGGGGCGGTATACTGATGGAATCGAGTATAGAGTGATGGATAAACAGCGAATTGTCCTTGACAGCAGAGTACTTTCAAGTAGTGATCGTTTCAAGATACGTAAGCTACGTTGCATTCGACGAGATCGAGCGTTCTCATTTTATTTTTCGTCCAAGCAGATTTCCATGCTCGTTTTGTCTCTTGAGAGCTAATCCACACACGTAAAGATTGATGAAGCCTGACAAAAAACAAAATAAAAGAATACCATGTCCCTGGCCTTCGATTCGGTTGGACACAAGACGTGCTTGTTTTGACCACTGATCCCAAAAAACCAAAGAAATTTCAAGGAAAACGCATCAATCACTCAGCAGTATCCAGTTTCTCGGTCAGCCCCATCGTAAACCAAAGTAGCAAACCAAAACCCAACGGTAACCAAGCACTCTTAATCTCACTGCCTGGGAATATCTTTTTCCAAGACCATAGAAGGAACAAGCCAACCTATTCGGAAGGTGTCGTTCTCTATTTTCCATTGCTGATGATCCAACACGTAACATGCAATTTTCGCCCAACCAGTAACCGGGCCTCGGTGGGAGTTCAAGACGTGTACAATCTTCAACTTCACCTAAAACGACGATCCACAAGGCTCGAGGCAGAGTTACTCGATACGCCTTCTCGACAAGCTATCAACTTTGACGACATGCTCCACCATCTCACCCATGGTCTTTTGTACCTTGAGCCAGGAGACCTCTGCTCGTGCAGCTTCCATCTTGGCCTTTTCCATTGCCTTTTCGGCATCTCGCGCAGCACCAACCACCTCGACCATGCATTTGCTCATCTGAATCAAATGGCTCTTTCGCTGCAGGTCGGTCTCTATGTGAGCGAGGTCCAAAAGAGAATGAGTCAAAGTCGTGGCGTTGGAGAGTGTCTCGGCTGGAGAAGGGAGTGGGGGCGGTATTGACGTTGCTTCTTCCGCACTCCCGTCCTCCTTAGCATTGTCACGCTGCTGCGTCGACGAACTACTGAGGAGCCTACTAGGGTACGGTGACGGCTTCACAGTCGCGGTGAACGGCGTGGTTGGGCTGATGAATGGATTTCGGATCAAGTTGCGTGCACCAGCACGGGTCCTAGCATGTTCCGGACCTCGAGAATCGTCAGAGTCCACCCCACCGCCAGCACCATCCGATGGATTTATTCGCAAAGGATTAGGTACGAGACTGTGTCGGAAAGAACCAGCCCCATTATCGTTGGTAGTCGTATCTGACTCGACGGAACGTTTGTGAAAGAGTCCTCGGATATTCGAAATGACTTTCTTGCTGCTCGAAGAAGGGGCGTATCCCAGTTTGTGGACGGCCTTCCGAGCCTTTGTCGAATCGGCGTGTGGACTGACACTCTGAGAGAAGGTTTTGACATTTCTCGGCTTCTTGAGAGAATCAGGGTCGACTTCACGAGTATTCAACGCACGAGGCTGGATGCTGATTGTTGGGCCGGTATTCTGTGGAGGCGACACAATGATCGGAGGTGGTTTTGGTTTTCTGGAGGAGATCCGTGGTGGATATGTCGCGGTAGAGTCGCCGCTGCCAGCACTACCAGGGACATCCAAATGGGCAGACACCTTTCGAACAGGTTCCTTGCCTTTCTTTTCCAGATTTCCGGCATTCTGAAACAGAAAAGGCGCAATCTCCTTGCTCGGTGGTGCACGTAGGGCAATAGTAGATGGCCTGGATGTGATCGACTTGATACTTGCCGAGCCCGTTTTTGGTGGTTCGGCATCCGTGTAGATTGAAGACTTGCTTTTACTAGAGTCGCCATTTTTGGAGAGCGAGGGCTCCTTGGCTTTCGGAGGGGATCGATCAGGACTTGGACAGAGATTGAACTCTGCAAAGTCTTTGCCAGGCCAGTCACACTGTACGTGGAGTGGGCTTTTTTGATTCTCCCAAGAATCCTGTGTCACATGTTTCGCAATGAGTGAACTAGGTCTTGAATCACAGACGAACACCACATCACTCCCAGGCAGCTCTGCCGGTTCAGATTTCGATGGAGAGCTACCCTCGCCTATCAATTTGCGCACTTCATCATCGTCAAGTACTTTGATTTCACTTGTACGATCAGCAATGTTTCTCGCGATGAATGACAGGGGACGGTCGAAAAGAGCACTGGTAGGCCGGCTGCTAATCTTTTGGTCCTTACGCTGACTGAGTTCTGGAGCACTTCTTTTGCGGCGGTTTGTGACGCTGGAGCGTGGAGGTAGAGCAACTGCGCTGGTGGCTGCTGTCTCGTCGGTACCTAGCAATATACGACTTGCAGAGTCGTTGATACGCAGTGTCGGACCATCAAGCAGTCCATTGCCAAGATGTTTGAGACGAAAACCACCATGGGCATCATAGCCACGTGTTGAGCTGTGAGAATTGTCGGTTCTGCGTACTGCTGAGTTTTGATCTTGTGGCACAGGCGACGACAACGCATCTCGAAGATCAATGCAGCTATCTTCAACAGTTGGAGATTGGTCAGATGACTGAGAATTTGCAGGATCAGTTGCTGTGGCGCGAATTTCCTCGATTTCTCGGCTCTCTGCTGACTTCAATGTTTCGTCCGGAGGGGATTGTTGTTGAGGAGAGACACTCGCTCTACCCGCGCTTGCTCGTTCATCTTTCAAACGGCTCGGAATCGGGAGTGAGCTTTGTCTGGAACCATCTCTTGCAGTAGATACCTTTCGTCCAGAATTGTCAAGACCATTCGAAGTAGGAGTCTGTAGACCGATGGACACCATCATGCTTTGATCCGCCAAGTTCATTTCTTGCTGATTAGCAGGCGATGCCGTGTTCGCTCTTGAAGGGGCACGAGAAGGGATGATGTAAGGTGAGCCACGGACTGTGACTGCATGTCGGCCTCGGGACGCAGATCGAATCGGACCTGGCACATAGCCATGAATCTGTTTGGATTTGCTCAATAGTTTTGGGTGTTCTTGAATTGACGAAAGGGCATCTTCGTTGGCCTCACTCTTCTCACCAGAGCTCCAGGTTCTCTTCCCCATCGCATTCTGAAGTCTCATAGCCGAGGTCTTTGTTTGGCGAATGACAGGGTTCTCGTTGTGTCGTCTAAGAGAATGCAACATTGAGTCGCGTGGCTTTGGCAATTGACTCGACGATAGTGGGCGGTTAGAGTCATTGTCACAGACTTTTAAAGGTGAGTGCGTATTTTTCTCTGAAGCTTGGGAGTTGAAGTCTTTTTTGATAAGAGGATTTTCAAAGTCGACGGCCGAGTACTTATTGTCTGTTATATCTTCATTGTCTTGCAGGTTCAGGCTTCGAAGACCATCGATAATACTCTCGCCCAAACTTGGCTTGGTCTGACCTTTGCAAGGTTCTGGAAAAGTGGTAGTCGTGCCATTTGAAGGCTGCATTGAAGGCCAAACTTCTTCGTTTAATAGTCCACCATCTAGAGGAGACACTGAACGTCGCAAAGGGCGTTCAGCGCAGTCGATAAGTGATCTGCGGACAGGGGATTTGTAGTCGACAATTGCAACAGGAAGACTAGGCAATGGTTTGTCGATTGGGCTGGAGGACTTTTTGGGGGGCTCGGAGCGGTCCAATTTGCTCTGCTGTGGACGTTGAGTTTGAGTCGGAGTTGTGGCACTGCTCTTCGTTGATCCAATCTAGAATCTAGTCAATATTGTCGGTGGCACCATGGTTGAAGAAGGCATACAATGAGCTTCCGCGTGGTGTCTTTAGAATTTATTAATGCTTCCTGAACCTGTGTCGAGCTAGCCTTTTCGCGTAGCTTTGGGAGTCGAAGACGCTTTGAGGCGCTTCCTACCCAGTCCTTCTTCTTTCCTTTTTGCTCAGACGACACAAAAGACACAGATTGAGGTTGAACGGTGACAGGGGAAGGTGACCTCGTCCCGGTGTCGCGGATTGCCATCTTAGAGGTTGATGCAGTACGATCATTGCTGGAGTTCGATACAGGCGTATTGAATGTGGTGCTCCGAATATGAAGTCCCGCAGGGTTCATGGTTGATTGAACGTCTGCAGAGATACCATGGGTCTTTCGACGAAGAGACATGACTGAATTGAACTATTGATATTCAACCATTGAAACGTTGAGTAGAATCTATGGGGTGTTGTAGTGTTTTCAGGCGCGTCAGGTGAAGACGTTGATTTGTTTTGGCGATGTGATCGTTACTTTGACCTTCACTGCGATCGCGTTGTCATGTTGCGGCAGCGAGGAGGACATACTGGAGCTCTCCATTCCAAAATCATTGGCCCTTGGAAAAATGTTCTCGACGCCCTCCCGTTCAAATGCACTTCGCATCTGATATATCCGCGAACGCCTCTTCCATCAACAGAAAATACCAGCAGCTTGCCAATGACTGCAGTAGGGCTGACCAGCAGTTTGCTCAAGTGATACAATGTCCATGCCAAGATGCAGTCGTATTTCATTCAATCATTATTATCATTGTTATTTGGACCTTCTTTCATTTGCTTGCTGGCCTCGTATTGTTCCATGTTCAGTTGCCTCCAATTAGGACCTCCATAGTCTTCATCCTTGAGACGTCCAGCGTCATCAATTTGAATACCTTGCGAGTCAGCAATCGCCTCGAGTTTTCGCTGCTCCTCCATCATTTCCCTCAAGTAGTCGGCGGTCTTGCTCAACATGGCTTGCTCGCTCTTTTCCTGACCCAATGCACCAGGCACCATACGAGAGAGCTCGGTGAATCGTTCTCTGATAGCCGTCCGGCGCTTGTTCTCTGCATCTTTGTGGTTGAAATTTCTCTGATCCTCGGTTAACCTGGATTTGGCGACTTTGGAGTTCTTCTTCGAAGAGCTTCCAGGCTCTCTAGCATTGCTGTTGTCCTCAGGCTCTGTCGAAGACGCTCGTGATTTGATGCCATACTCTGTTTCGTCTTCTTTCGACATCTTTTTCAGGCTGAATTAAAAGACTGATTGAGGTTTTGAGGGTTGATCCTCGTTGCCAACTGAACTGATAATCGAGGTATGATCAACTTTGACGACGACAGTGGCAGGGATGGCTGTGACTAGTAGAGAAGTTCTTGTATCTCTATAATCAGAGTGTAAATTTGTTCGAGGAGGAGATGGGCCAAAGGACAGATTGATGGCAACGAGAGACGTCGTTGTCGTTCACGTAGTAGAAGGAGGTAGTCGGGAGTCTCCTCCAATCATTTTCGTCATTGGCTCGGCCCTTAACACCGACATGCATGAGGTTAAATCCGGGGATTCTTTTGTAAGTCGATCCCGCCATCATCAACCATCACACGATGACAATCATTTAGTTGAGCGTTTTTGCCTTTCTCCTATCGTTCTTCTACTGCATGTCAATCTCGAATCAACAATCTGTCACAAGTTGCTCAAGCTCACCGTGATATCAGAACACTCCTTACTTGACCAACATGAGCAATGTACGACCCCTCCGTGGCTCATGCAACTGCGGTCGCAATCACTACGCCGTTATTGTGCCTGTAGACTCTACCGAACGGGCAGAAGTCTTTTTTGATGACAGTAGTGAGAGTAGTAAGTGAGTTGTGTTGTGTTACAGATGCATGCTAAAGCCACGACTAGGACGAAGTCAAGGCACACCGTTGACAGCATGGCTGAGAGTGCCATTGACCTGGTACTCTTCCTCAACCCAAGCATTCTTCCCCGACGAAACCCACACGTCTATCCGACGAATCTTTTCTCCTTTACATAGCCCACACACTCAACGTGTATTCTGCGGATATTGTGGCACCCACTTGTCCTTCTGGACCGAGAACCCCTCATCCGAAGCCGAATTTATGAACATCACCCTAGGTAGCTTATTGGGCGAGGACATACAAGCATTACAAGAGCTGGATCTGCTTCCTGGGGACCTGGAGCCGCAAGATGTCCAGGGACAGTCGTCGACAGCTGTTCAAGCACCTTCGAGTCAAGAGCAAAGTCAAGGTTTGACCCGGACGGAACGCAGCGGACGATCGGGAGGCTTGTCCTGGTTTGAGGAAATGCTGGATGGCAGCAGACTAGGTCGTACTCACAACTTCCGAAAAGGAGTCGGTGTGAGTCCGGATGGCAATACTAGAGTCGAATGGGAGATTTCAGAATTCTTTGACGACGGCAGTGCAACACCACAGACACCAACCGGCTCCAAGCGAAAACTCGGAGATGTTTCAAGTGATGATGTGATGCAGGGTTGATGAGCCTGAAAGCTTGCCAGAGAAATAGACATATAAAAGCGTCTCGACATGGTTCCGAAGCTTGGCAGGCATGGTGTTGTGCAGACAAAAGGCAGCAACGGAAGCGTATATTGCTGTACAGTGCGATGCTAAAACTTCCAACACTAATGAAACATTTATATACACCTCAAGTCTATCATGATGAATCTCTTTGGCTTTGATCTTTCTTGTCATATCATATATATCCAATCATCCCGTAACACTCTTCACAGCTGTCCTCATGGCTTCAGGCAAAGAAGCGACCTTGGTGCTAAATAGATCCTCGGCTTGTTGCCAGACACGGCTGCTCTTACGATCCTTCAGCGTCAACAAGCTTGGCAGCAAGGCTTCACTAAATGCCTCACTGGCCTCCCGAGGCAACAGAGAAGGCAGGTGGTCTATGCTAATGACACACAGCGGTGGATTGTCGTACCCTTCAACCTTTATCGTCGGGCTCGAAAATGTGCTGTTCTTGGTGTATATTGGCACCGGGTTGTGCGGGTTTGTCGTGTCGCAGGACACGTCGCATACGACGGTCAGCTTTCTCTTTTCCGACGACAGAGATTCTTGGTTGAGGAAAGGTGGGATGGGGTCGGAGAGGTAAATGCAGTTGACGAAGATATCGCTCTCCACAATCTCAGAGAACGGGCCTCCCTTGGCTGTCTCTGCCATATCCCACTTCAAAATGTTCTCGTCGGGAATGCCGACCTGCTTGCAGAGGTCGACAGCGCCGCGACCACAACGGCCGAGGGCACCGATGACCAAAACTCGAGGCTTGCGCCCAGTGACCTTTTCACCCTCTGCTAGTCGCGCGCCGACATCCTTCAGGAGGAGATCCTGGTTGGGATAACTCGATACAGAAGGCATGCTCTCGGCGTCGGGGTGTTGTAGTTGATAAGCCCATGCTTCGACAGCGAGGGCTGCACCAGCATAGCCGGCATGATATCCGAACGCAGCGACACGTCGACCGGTGTCATCTTGGAGGAATTCGAGATCGAGGAGGGTGCCACCACCTTGGGGAAAGCGGGAGAGAACGTCTTGCCAGCCACCTTGGCCTTTGTAGCAATGTGCGAACTGGACGTGCGTGTGCTTCAATGCGACTGGGAAGTGTTAGCATAGTCTGTGGCTGCAAATATAGAAATGAAAGCAGTACATTTATCTACAGGCAGCTCCTTAAGACCAATTATGATGTGGTCCTTTGGAGCATCGACCCATGATCCTTCAGGAACAAGAGTTGCTCCTACAGCTTCGAACTCGGAGTCGTCGAAGATGCGTTCTGGACTTCTTTCGACGTTGACCTTGTATCCAGCGTCGAGGAGAGCTTTGGTAGTGGTGGGCGTGACTGCAGTACGTTAGTACAAGGTCTTGACAAGACAAGCGCAAAGAGATCGGACGTACGAGCTGAGCGGTGCTCAAGAGGCTTGCACTCTGAGCGTAGATGTAGTATGGTCGCCATGATTGGGTTCTTGTGCTTGGAATGACAATAAAGGTTGCGATGTTGTAGCGAGAGTGGCCGATTGTATTTATTTGGATCTCATCAAAACACAATATGACTCAATACGAGCAGGACGCAGGGCGCAACTCGCATGATACAGTATGATGAGATGCTCCGAAAATTCCCCCCCCACACCAACTTTTTTCTGCCGCCGCCCATTGGGCCAGTACCTGAATCTTCGGCTGACGTATGCTGTACTACTCACGAGAATGTCCATCCCGCCAGGCCAGGCATTACGAGGCTCGTTAGGCTGTAGGAAGGTAACCTGTTCCTGAATACCTACCTAACCTCCATTGGCCCCTCCTGATCACCATCATCGACATCTTCATCAGCCTTTTTGAAAACTACAGAGACCGAGGTACAGTACACACGTAAACCATGACGGACAAAAAGGAGCCTGTGTCCACCGACGCCCCTCCATCCTACGAAGCCCTCTCCATCCCTCCTGAAGCACAGTCACAACCGCAATCGCAATCGCAATCATCCCCACAGCCTGGTGGCCCTCGAAGACTTCGCCCACCACCTCCTCTAGACATTCCGGCCCTGAACATCCTCCGCGGGCGTCGCGTCATCCTCGCCTCACAGTCCCCTCGGCGGAGAGCCCTGCTCGCCCAGATCGGCCTGACCCAAGTAGAGACGATACCGTCCAACTTTGCGGAGAACCTCCCTCACACGCTGTCCCCGTGGGAATACGTGTCGGCGACGGCGACCCAAAAGGCCCTCTCCGTCTACCGCACCTCCATCCAAGATGAGTCCAAACCCGAGCCGGCCCTGATCATAGCGGCCGACACCATCGTCGTGTCGGCGATGGGCGAGATCCTCGAAAAGCCCCGATCCGAAGCGCACCACATCAAGATGCTCCAGGGCCTGCGCGATACCGGCACGCACAGAGTCTACACGGCGGTCGCCCTGATCGCGCCGTTGGCCAGTGCGAGGGATCCGGGGTACGCTCTCGAGACGGGGACGGAGGAGACGATAGTCAAATTCGACCCGGAGATCTCGGACGAATTGTTGCTCGCGTACGTCCGCACGAGAGAGGGTGCGGACAAGGCGGGAGGGTACGGGATCCAAGGCACAGGCGCGATACTCGTGGAGAAGATAGAAGGGAGTTTCGACAATGTTGTGGGCTTGCCGCTACGGTTGACGTTGAAACTCATGGAAAAGGTCATGATGAAGGCCGATGATGATGATCATTTGGGCGATGAGGATTTGTTGGCTGAGGAGGAAGAGGAATGATGACAACCAACACGCATTTATAGGGCGTTATCGGGACGTGGAGCGTGACATGAAATGGAATAAGACGATATGGATATACACACACTCCCCAAAACATAGACCTGACTTGAGCGAGCATATGAGTTTAGTTTGAATCTTTGAACCAAAAAAGGCACATGATCAACTTGGCGCAAGAACGTCCGGATCTTCATCGCCATGTGTTGGAACACCCATTTGTAGTGTGCACCTGCATTGGGATGTGCGTTTGTGTTTCACATATACATGAGTCGTCTTCAGAGACTCGCCAGCAGGAGCATCACCACCACCACCACCTCGTCCTTCTGCCCTATTTTAAATTTACTTCAAGTGCTTCAACTTTCCATCGTGTCCGAGGCCCGACAAGTCGGCTTTTCCGATGGTCGCATCGTTCTCGCCAGCATGCCATAACCTCTTCACGGCCTCGGTGACTCCGACATCGTTCGTCTCGAACTCATAGAAACCAATTCCAACAATCAAAGTCGCGAGGTTCAACGCCCACATGAAGGCCTTTCGCATAGTTGGGTGTTTGTTGATTGGGATGTAATCAATCACCATAGACCTATAATTTACACTCGTGTCAGTTATCACCTCAAAAGTAATTGCGGTTGGCCTTATCGTCTTTTCCTGGCTGCCAGGACAGAGACAGTCCCAGGGCCAGCCCAGGGTAGTCCCCAAATAAAAAGCAGGCAGGCCCGAAAAAAAGAAACACGTACTGGAACCCGATATGACTGTGCACAATAATTCCAAAGATCAAGACAGCGTCGAGTGTCGGGCTGACGCTCCCCGAGGCAAAGGGAACCATGGTGAGAGGCACGAGGCCAGCGGACAGGAGTCGTTCAAAGGTCCAGTGGTAGCTACCGTGGAGAGGATCCGGCTTCGGCACGGGCGCGGGATCGTTGACGCCGCCCTGGATGACCTGTGGTCCGGGAGGGAGGATGTCGCGCTTCGAGGTCGTCGAGAAAGCTGCATATCTGCTGCTGCTCGCGTTCGCCCACGAAGGTACGAGGAGCTGTCTGGGTTGGAGGAAGGAAGACGGAGCAGGTCGGAGCAGTCGAAGCGATTGTGTCGGCGAAGTGGTCGCGAACGATCGTGACGACGACAACAATTGCGCTGAGCGGAGCACGGCGGATCTCGACGACGCTGCCATCGTTATGCTGTGAGAGGTGTGGCCTCGGGATCTTGCGTCTTCTCGAGGTTGTTTGTGGTGGTTTGGCGATGCGATGGAAAGACACAACGATTGCGTTCAAGCAACAGCAGCAGACGAACTGCGGCGTTGGGCCAAGGCGTTTACTTCCGAAGCTCGCATCCGAGAGACCAATCACAAGCTTTGCATTTCAAGTACTATATTCCATACGGCGAAGGATATATGCATATGCGCTATTTGACCAAATTCCTCGGCAATATTGATATCTCTGCATGGAACTCATTCGTACTCTACGACATCCCTCATGGAGTAATCCAATCTCGATAATCTCAATGCGTGTTCTTATCTCAAACTGTACTCCATCCAATCATCTCATAGTCTTCATCATCTCTTCGCAGGAGTCGGCCTGATCAAAAACTTCGCATCCCAAGGTGCCGCGACACCACGATCTTTCTGCCTCATCATAGCATCGGTCATACTCGGATCATTCTCGATGTCGTACAATTGGTACAGTCTCGTCAGCGTCAAGTGCATACCAATCTCCGCCAGGTGCTTCCCGATACAGTTCCTTGGCCCGTGACTGAAGGGTTTCAACATGCCACGCATCTCAGCCGACGAGTTTAGCCACCGGTCAGGGATGAATTCCTCCGGATTGGGAAACACTTTTGGATCACGGTGAGTGGCGTATGGAATCGTCGACACGGTCACGCCCTCGGGAATGTATTCGTTTCCGATGACTTTCCCAGACGAGACCCGTGGGAAACCTGCATTGAGAGGGCCCCACAGTCTCAATGCCTCATCGATACACGCGTTGAGATATGGCTGAGAAACGAAGGTCATTAGCATCTGAACGCTCTTCGAGGAACACACAACTCAAGTAATTTCAAAAGCACAGAAACTTACCAACTTGGACGCTTCTTGATATGTTGGTGCGTGCTTGGGGTCCGGAAACGCGGTCCTAATCTCGTCCACCAACTTCTTCTTGACCTGTGGGTTCTTGCCACACTCCCATATGATGTACATGGTGGTCACGGCCGTGGTGTCGCTCCCGGCAATCAAGAAAATGATGGTGTTCTCGACGAGTTCTTCAAATGTCAACTTGCTTCCGCCGGTCTCTTCGTCCCGAGCGTCGATCAGGTTCCTGAGGAATGTGCCTTGAGCGAAGCCATCGCCTTCCTTTTTGACCTTTTCTTGAAACTCTATGACACTTCTCTGTGCAAAGTTGATCAACTTTCTCAAACCGCGGTACCCTTCTTGGATCTTCGGGATGGGTACGTAGCGCAGGAATGGAAAGAAAGATTGTACTGGCACGACGACCATGCTGTGATGATTTGTTTGTTAGTAAGCGCACGGAGCAAGAAGAAACCCAAACCGAAGGCAAACAAACTAGTCAGCCAGCCAGCCATAAGGACCAGAACAGAACGGGTGAAAAAAACTCACAAGCAATCCATATCGTGGTGGGAGATTTCTCCATGTCCCGACACCGAATCGAACGACTTGCCAAAGCTAAGATAACTGACAATGTCCAGGTAATGACACATCATCATACCGAAGATGTCCACGGATTTTTGGTTCTTTGCGGCGGGTGCAAAGACACCGTCGACCAGCTCTTCGACTTTCTGGTGGACCAGAGGTTCATCCTGGAGCAATGCCTTCAACGAAAAAGCGTGCGACAACAAACGGCGGACCCGAGCGTGCGCCGTCTTGTCCCTCTCGTTCAACACGCTCGTGGCGCCCGTCGCGGTGAACATGTCGTAAAAGACGGGTTCTTTCGGGCAAGGGTTCGAGCTCTGGCCGTAAATGTCCACCCACGATTTCGCGTCCGCAAAGTACAGTTCGTTCGTGGCGACCCGGACGGGGCTGCCGTAGGTCTCGATCATTTCGAGCTGCCAGTAGATCCGCGTCATCTTGACCATTTGGAGGATCGGGTAGATGTCGGTGAACTTCGCCAAAAAGGGCCCTGGGTATTTCGCCAGAGGGTGGAAAAAGATTCGGTAAACGACCACCGCGAAGACGTACACGACCGGCAACGTCCACACCGCCGTCCACTTGATGTTGACATTTTCTTGTAGGTGTGCCAGTGTCGACGCCGCCAAAGCCGTCGGGGTAGACATGGTTGTTGTTTTTTGTGCTGTTGTCGAGAGAAGTGTGTGTCTCAGACTATGTCACTTGTGTACGTAGGTATTGCTAGATATACAATGTCCTTGTCCCTTGTTCTCGGGAGCGACACATCGTAGGTGGTTATCCATGGTCGACTTCCCCCCTTGGTTTCTTAAGTATACGCTCTCTAAAGGGCCATTCGAATCAGGGTATCAACCGCCGGAGCAAGATAACCTCCGGGCGTGATTCCGAAAAAGTCGATCATACACCGAACAAACTGGGGAAAAATACTCCGTAGTCTGGAGAACAACACACGGTCTACAGCGTCCGGGGAAGTGCCACAGGTCCGGAATCAACCATGTCTTGTTCCGAACAACGTATTCGAACCGAACGACTTTAGTCTTGGATATCGAGCAATAAACAATCTGGGATCTACATTTGCAGAGATGTTGATCGCTGGCTCATCTGCGATTGAATTTCCCACTGCTACTCGTACGTAATCAATGTTCAAGGTATAGACTGACGACTTTCTTCATAGATTGGTGGATCTTGAAGATGACTCTCTGGACCTCCTGGGTAGAAAATACTCCACATTTCAAAATCTTCGTTGAGGCTTGCATCCAACCACTAGGGTTTATCGTATTAGCAACCGCTGGGTTTTCAAAGTCTGAAGGTATTCACTTACATCTTGATGTAGGTGTTCTTCGGAGAATGACCCAGGCACTCCCTCCGGAGCCGTTACGAATGGAGGAGCAACAGACAGAAAGGAGGAACCGTCATTGTCCAGCTGGCCTAGAGTTGAAGTCTGACTTGGTTGTATTGTTTTGTATACTTCCAGGGCGTTGTTGGCGAGGAGAGCCAGATTCTTCACCAGTGGCACATTGAAGTCGGATTCCGTTGCGAATGAAAGACGTGCAAAATGGCCAGCGCCCACGTCCATGAGTGCTAGATCTGATGGTGTGGCGCATGCCAAGTTCTGAAGTATGGAAACAAAGAGATTGATCACCGCATACAGCGGAGTGTAGTAACCCTTCCTACAACCTGTCAGCCAGCTTTCTGTGACCAGTATGACAGAGCGAGCTTCAGTCACCCAGTGCTAAGGGACTTACACTAGTGAACAATTTGCGTCACAATGAACAAACCTGCACTCGAGTATCGCTGCTTTGGAAGTCTCAGCCAGGATTTTCGACGAACGTTCGATCTGGCTTCTGTACTCGTGGCTTTTGTCTAGGTTGAAGATATCTCGACACCAAGGATGCGCCAACGCTGAATGTATATCCCATGTGAGTGTGTTAAAAAGAAATTGAAGGGAGACAGCTTCGTGATTGTTTAGGAAGGCTGGAACGTTTGCCAGATCGAGTGGAAAATGGAGTTGGAGGGAGTCTTTCAACGACTGTCGAAGTTCCTCCAGCATCGTGTCCATCTGTACAACATTGTTCACCCACTCTGCGGGTGTGCTTTGAAGTGCAGAAGCGCTCGCCAATTTTCTGTACGCAATCGATGAAAGTCGACTTATTCTGACAAGTCCCTGGAAGTACATCGATGGCGGTACTTCGCAGGTGATATCGTCATCGTCCATTGTCTGTTATGAATTAGCTCAACATCAATGAAGACTGGAAAGACACCCACTGAAGGCCTTCCAGCCCTCCAAGCAAGATCCTTGTCGAGACAATATAGAGCCCAGAACGTGCAATTCCGCATCGCAACTTCATGTTCTGGCAGATTCCATGACTGTATGGGGTGGCGATGTAGTCCTTGAGTCACGGCCAGTCTCAAGGCGTTTGCGCACAACATGTATTGTAAAATAGGACAACTGATACCTTCTATGACATATGCCTGACGAAGATTAGTGAAGAGTTCCTCGCAAGTTGGAGGTCACGCACCATGAGTGCCAGTGCTTGCACGCCTGTCAGCGATGTGTGACAGAAGAGTAATTCCGAATGTACTGATAGTGCATTCTCGAACCATGCCCAAGATTCCCGTTGAGCTTCTCGAAAAGTAGCACTTTTCGATAATTCGATGCGGCATCCCGAGGCGTAGACGGTATTGCGTAAGGCGTACCACGCTGGATCATCATCGATTTGACTGCCACTCAAGAAAGTCCGGAGCCTCGTCTCGAACGAACAGCGCTGAATTATGCCTAGTGATGCCTGTGTGCCTTCTTCAAAGTATGCTGCAGCCAGTCCAGTAAGAAAAATAGCACAGAGTTGCCAAGTAAGTCTGTCTTACCTCGCGAGAATTGTAGCGCAACGTCAAGAGACGGCTCCGGTTTTCGCTCTGCTGAGGGTCTCTTGTCCATCTTCAGTCGTTTTGCAAGATCAAGGGCAAATTGTGAGGCAATCGCCTCGAAGTCTGGCTGTCTAACTCTCGCTTTTACCCAGGCTATACCAGGTTTCGAGCAAAGAGCCATGTTCGTCCTTGGCCCTGCTCTCTGTCAGTTCGACGATACACAACGGAACATCTTTTGAAGCTTACCCCAGTACTCGATTCCTGTCTGTCGGAGAGATTAGTATGGAGAGTGTAGGATCAATGGCGCCACTGATGACATACCTTTACTGTTTCGTACCCGCTAGTGTCTTTTGTGCTGGGCTGGGTAGGAGTGTATGGAAATGTTGAGGATTTGGAGGCTTTTGGTGATGCTTGTGAGGCAATTTCTATTCGTTCCCATTCTCGTGGGCTTGGTCGAGATTGTTGTTGCTGGGCTTCCTGAACTGGCAGCCCTACAGGGGAGGGCCCTCGATCGAGCGGAACGGTATTCGAGATATCATTGAACCTAGTCTCGGAATTGGAGGTAGGCGGTCTGTCTTGTCGTCCGCGATTTATGGCGTTGGACACCTGAGTCTGCTCAGATCCAAAGGGTTGATGCGCATCGTTCCGGACAAAGATTCTGGCCAGATTTTGATCTTCCCGTGCAGCATCAAGAAAACTCTCGAATTCAGCAAGTCGACGTGCCAGATCATGGTGAGTTCGCCTCTTTTTGCGCCGCTGCCTTTCTGAAAAAATGCAGCTCTCGCCGTGTTCTATACAATTGTCACAGGGATGTGTACCAATGCCTTCCCATCATCAGTCAGGTAGAGAGTTTTAGGGAGGTGATCATACAGCGGATCTTCTTCAGCCTGCAAAAATCACAAGCACGGGCTCTTTTCGGGACTGTTAAGCCCTGGTGAGCAGCACTATCTGCAGCTGACATTGTTGAAAGCGGTTGCAATGATAGAGACAAACACTACATGTGTATATTTTTCAGTCCAGTTGTAAGACAAGATACGATCAACCTTGCGTTCCTGTCGGATCAGAGCATCAGCCAGCCCTTGACTGTACCTGGGTAAATTTTCCTGGGTTTGATTTCATAATTTCTCCACAAAATGAACCATAGACTTGGACCAGGCGAAAGCTCCGGGGTACATGACCTCGAAAATCGGGGTCCCGCTCAAAAAAGACTCCACATGAGAGAAGGAGAGGAACACCAACGCAGATCTGCTTACGTAGAGGTCAATGGGGTTCCGGCATCAACGCGCTGAACGGCTGGTCGTGTGCAAAGAGTCCTTCTCGACGAATCAGTTCTCTTTAAACGAGTCATGGTCATGGTTGATCAATGCGCTGCCCTGCAGTAAATGGCATAAGCAGTGTAGTAAGAGCTCCAGTAATGCCATGAATGTTCGGAAAACCGGAGGATTTTGCGGGCCGGTCATCGCTCCGAAAACTGTGAGTTCAATAGTTTCCCCTTACACTGGGAGTCATCGATGGCAAGCTGGAGGTCAAACATCAACAGCACTCACTCAATGGCTGTTCGGCGGGAAGTACGTAATGGCATTGAGAACGCTGGTGACTCCGAAGAAGATATCTCAGGACGTGCCTGCAACCTTACGAGTAGTTCGGAGTGAAGCAGCAGGCCCTCAACAAGCTAGACTGCTCTAGGATCAGAGTGTCCTTGTTCTCCATCCTTCAACCTCATGAACAATTGTTCTGAGGTTTCCAACTGTGCTGGTAGGGAAGAACGCCGTGTCAAAAGCAAAGAGCACAGGAGTCACGACTGGATGGCTCAGAGACAAAGCTACCTCAAGAAGGTACAATCACGTCAGTGGAACTAATGTGAAAATGTCTGAGTCGATGTCTCCGCAGCCTTTGGCCTGAAAGCTTTCTAAGCTGACCGGCATATGGTCACTCACTCATACATTTTCTCAACATCCATATTATGTCTCGACTCAGCACCCAAGAGCATCTCCTTTAGCAACCTCGGGTCAGTATCAGAAACGGCCCATTGGTGCGGCTAATGCTGCGGGGTTCAACTTCACCGAGGAATCTGAACGGCTTACGAAGTAGACTGTGAGATGATAACGATTCCTTTTAGACCTTCCAAGAAGGCATGTCTGGCCTCACCAAATCCGAACAGACTTGTGCTCGTGAAGGGCACCTCTAATACACTATGTCGACCAACCGAGTAGTACTAATCTCTGCCGCGCCCACGGAGGATGTCATTGTGCCATCAGACGCTCCGCACGAGAACGAATGGTACAATGGTCGAGACTTTGACGGCTACCGCATCACTGAGCAATTATTATACGAAAGACGTAAGATCAGAGTGATCTGTGTCGGTGCGGGTGCCACAGGTTTGCAATTTGCTTACAAAGCCGAGCGTGCTCTCAAGGACGTCGAGCTCCAGATATACGAGAAGAACAGCGAGCCTGGTGGAACTTGGCTCGAAAATAGATATCCCGGATGCAGTTGTGATATTCCAAGCCCTTCATACCAATTTACCTGGGCTAAGAATCCAAACTGGTCACGGTACTATTCAGGGGCCGAAGAGATCTGGAAGTATATGAAAGATGTTGCAGTCAGGTATGACCTCGAGAAGTACGTTCGATTCAAGACGACAGTAGAGTCGGCCACTTGGGACGAAGATGCAGGTCTATGGAGACTCAGTATAGTGGGTGCGGATGGATCACACTTCGAAGACAGTTGCAATATTCTGGTCAATGGATCCGGAGTCCTTAACTCGTGGAAATGGCCGAATATACCTGGCCTGGACTCATTCAAAGGCAAGTTGATGCACTCTGCCCAATGGGATGGCAGTTATGACCTGAAGGACAAGAAGGTCGCCGTCATAGGAGGTGGTTCATCTGCTGTACAGATCGTACCTTCAATTCAACCAAGTAAGTGATCTGGAGACTGCGGCTCATGCGACTGCTTATATTTGCTTCAGCTGTCAAAAAGTTATATCCCTTTTTAAGATCTCCGGTCTGGATCACGACGGGTTTTGGAGCAAAGTATGCTGGCCCGGGGGGCACCAATTTCACATGTAAGTAAGCCAGTCTTGTACTCAGCTTCAGGGCTGAATTCCTAGATTCCGAAGAGCAGAAACAAGAATGGAAGGCAAATCCCGACAAGTATGCCCAATACTGCCGTGACATTGAGGGCGAGCTCAACAAACGCTTCACACTGGTAAGTCCTCGAGGCCCTTCTCGGCGTCTCGACAGACTTGCTGACGACGAATAGATGCATCTCAAAGCAAATGATCAGAAAGCCTCTCGAGAGCTGGTGGCAGACATCATGGCCGAGCAGCTTGGGCACGATGAAAAGTTGACCAAGCATATGATTCCTCCGTTTGCTCTAGGCTGCCGGCGAATGACTCCCGGGTCAGGATATCTACAATCCTTAAGAGCAGACAATGTCCAGGTGATTCCGTCCTCTGCAGTCCGTCTCACCGAGACTGGCATAGTGGATGAGTCCGGAGAGGAGCGCGAGGTGGATGTCGTTATCTGTGCAACTGGCTTCGACACTTCTTTCACGCCGCATTTCAAAGTCTATGGTCGGAACAATGCTGAGATTCACGAACAATTTGGAGACTTCCCAGTTGGGTATCTCGGCATCACAGCAGAGAATTTCCCAAATCTGTTCCTCTTGATAGGGCCTAATGGACCGGCTTCGCACTCGAGTATATTACCGATATTAGAGTGGTACACCAGGTATATCTTCCAAGTTATTGAGAAGATTCAGACCGAGCGTATAAAGGCTATCGAACCCAAAGGAGAAGCCATCAAGGAATTGTACAATCACACGCATGAATTGATGAAGCGATTGGTGTGGTCATCAGCTTGTCGAAGCTGGTTCAAGAACGGAAAAACTCATGGTCCAGTAACGGCAATCTATCCCGGGAGTCGCTTGCATTTCTTCGAGATCCTAAAGAATGTTCGGTGGGAGGACTACAACATTACCTATATGTCTGGCAATCGATATGCATTCATGGGCAATGGATATACGCAGACTGAAGTTGATCCAGACGGGGATCCGGTGTGGTATTTCGATGATGACTTTGTACAGATATAATACTCATATAGCAGAGATTAGTAGAGCAGAAATCAGTACATAAAGCATATGCCAATCACACGCTGTACCTTTACCTTACGAGTATTTACCTTGGAATTGGATGAATGATTCTGGTCATCGAGATGCAGTGCGACATCATGAGAGATTTATCTGGCGTGTAATTGGTTTCGGAGAGTTGAGCGACCCTCCAGGGACTGTGTCCGGTCTTGAATCTCGTACCATGGACCCTGCTCACAGTCGTAATAAGGCGTGGAAAAAGAACCTCGACAACCCCAGTCGACTGAATCTAAGCCCCTAACGGGGACACATCGGGGCCCTCTAGAGGCACCGCTCAAGTCGATTGGAGGCACTACTTATTAAGCCAAAACCGCCTAATAAAGCAGCCCAATACTCGTACAGTACGTGCATCCACCATCCTCTCCGCTATCAATCTCTTCTCCGCTTCGTCTGATCTAAGGCTTTCTCGACTCACTGAATTCCTACAGACTGCATCGAGCACTGAAGAGTCGACTTGGGAATAATAGTAGTTTTCCTGTTGTGATACGTGATCACAATCTTCTCCACAGGCCTCTACGACTCGAATATCGCGTACGAAACCAATCCGAAAGCATGTCGAAGCGGAGTTGGCAAGAGGCCAATCTTCCTTCCCCGCGAGGCCCAATTACCAACTTGCAACGGACAGGCTCCTCGGTGTCGCCTCAGTCCTACAACTCACCAGGCCAGGCGCTCTCGCCAAAGAAGAGCCGTAGCTCTTTTGACGAGCCTCCTCTCATAGCCAAAGCCCCTCCCAAAGCACCACAACGAACCAACTCCGCCAATGGCGCCCAGGCCGATTCCAAGTTACCAGGAATATCGAGAAAGGTCAAAGCATGCGCAGCTTGTCGCAAACAAAAGGTGGAAGTTGGATATAGCTCGTGTTGAATCTGGAGCTGACACGTTACCTTACAGATCAAATGTATCATGATTGGCGATCCCCCGTGTCAGAGATGCAAGGAGCGAGGATTGTCATGTCGATTGAACAAGAGCTTGCAGACCCTCATGTCGGAAGACTCCAAATGGAAGTCTGCAGTCACCAAAGATGTAACTGCGCTGTACTCTGCCGTGGAAGAGATAGTACGAACGCTGCAGCTGTCCCCTTTGCCGCAGATGCTCGTTTCGACCCAAGACCCTGCCATCTTCTTCGACCAGGAAGATCAAGGCAACGATCAAGATGATGAGGATCAGTCGCTCGACAACTCGCCAAAAGTCACGCCAGTCGCAGACAATCTATCCCATGTACCAATTGAATCGCTCTATCAGATTACAGGCATGCGGTCTCTACGCGCGACCGAGAACATCACAGAAGACCAGTCGCGGATATGCAAGCAACTGCGTGACACTGACTTCATTGCACGAGGTCTGATCAAGCAAGAAGATGCTGAGCATCTGGCCAACTACTACCTCAGCAAGCTCGACCCATATATCTGGCATATTTGTCCTGACTACAAAGACCTCGATTCCTTCCGGCGACGCTCTCCCACTTTGACGGCCTGCGTTCTGTCAGTTGCCGCTCTTCATGACACCAAACTTGGGCATTTATACGCCATCTGTAATAAAGAGTACCGAAGGCTGGTTGCCAATGCTATGTTCGAGAGGAAAATCGATATGGAATATTTGAGAGCACTTGTACTGGGGTCATACTGGTTAAGCGATATCTCCTGGACTTTATCTGGATATGCTATTCGTCGCGCCAGTGAATTTCACCTTCGACAATATTACCACGAAATTTCCGAATCTGTCAAATCACCTGAAAAGGTGGATCAGGAGAAGCTTCAAGAGGCGATTGACGGCATCAGAGTGCTTTACTTGCTCTACATCTGTGATCACCATCTCTCCATCCTCTACGGACGATCATCGATCATGCGGGATAACGAAAGTTACATTACTGGATGGGAGGCGTATCTGGCGTGCTCACTATCAACCGACGCTGATCGTAGAATTGCCGGTCAAATTTGCCTGATGTATCTAATGAATCAAATACGCGAAACTTTAGGTCCGGAAGATACAGGGTCGGTGCTGCCAGCCTCTGCACTGACTAAGATTGCTGGGTTCGAGAGGGACTTGGATGATTGGATAGCCAGGTTTTCTCGACATAGTAAGTTGACACAACTCCATGGCAACCATTTCTGTTACTGATCATCAAACAGACCCAAGTCAATGGATAGGCAATTGGCCCAATAAAGGCGCCATCATGCACTACCATTGGGCCAAGTTGTACCTTCAATCGTATGTGCTTCGAGGTCTGCCAGACAGCGGTGCTGTTATCCCAGAACACTTCTTGGAAAACGCGTCGGCGGCAGTTGCTGCTGCAACAGCAATCATCAATTTGCTACTGGACGACAAAGACGCACAAATAGCTATTGCTTACGTCCCTCATCATGTCCACGGCATGATCGCGTTCGCTTGCATGTTCCTGCTAAAGATCGCCACAAAGTTCAGTGCGCAGCTCTTCTTGGACACTGTTCGTTTCCAACGGCTCATAAATGCACTGGCGCAGCATTTCAAATCGACAGATGTCGGAAAGGATCACCTGATACACAGAATGGCAGAAGGCCTAGAGAAGATGGCCGAAACACTTGGAGGTCCAGCTCGACCTAAGAATCGAAAGGTCAATGGGGCGCAGTCGAAACCACCAGTGATATCTCCAAGTCAGCCAGTGATGGACGAAAACGCAGAGGCTATGACGAACGGGCAGGCTGATGTGCCCGACTATAATGCCCTGGACCCTGCTGCATTTGATTTCGGCGACCCTGCGTTAGGACTGGGAATGCCATTTTTTGATTTTGAGGGAACGACTGTTGGTATGGGTGACAACATGTGGAACTTTAACAACTGAATAGCAAAAGGATACGGATATGCAGCCGATGTGATGTGTATTCTTTCGTAGCGAATCTGGTCCGAAGGCATTAGTGCTGTACGAATACGAGTCTTTTATGAGAACTGAGATGAGCCAATCAAATGATTTGTAAAGTGTTTGTCCTAATTGAGTTTAGCGCGTTGCGGAATCTCAATGAGCTTTCGAAGTGCCTACAACGAAGCTCAATCTTCAACCACACCAGCTTCTGCCTTTCTTGTGCCTTCCCTTGTCCTTCGCAATGGCGTCTCAACGGCTGGCGCTGAACTTCCAGCGCTCTCTACGAAGCCGACAAGCTATCAATGCCATTAAATCTCCTCTCAGACGCTACGCCAACCCTGTTACGCCGACGAGAACAGAATCCACCACGCTTTCCAATGGCTTGACTGTATGAACACCGACTATTGCTGCAGATTTCTAGGGTGTACTGACTGGTGGTAGATTGCGACAGAGCATTCGCCTTGGGCTCAGACGTCAACCGTCGGTGTTTGGATTGATGCAGGAAGCCGGGCAGAGACGGATAAGACAAATGGAACAGCTCACTTCTTGGAACATCTTGCTTTCAAGGTAGACTCAGATTCCGAGGCGTCGTTGATACAAAAAGGCTAAAGAGAATTCAGGGCACAAACAGACGCAGTCAACATCAACTCGAGCTCGAGATTGAAAACATGGGTGGCCACCTGAACGCATACACCTCGGTATGAGAGAAAATTGTATCTGACTTTACAAACACAAGACTAATGTCTTTACAGCGCGAAAACACCGTATACTACGCCAAGTCTTTCAATTCCGATGTTCCCAAGACCGTTGATATCCTCTCCGACATTCTCCAGAACTCCAAGCTCGACTCCGCCGCAGTTGAACGGGAACGAGATGTTATCCTTCGGGAGCAAGAGGAGGTTGACAAGCAACTGGAAGAGGTTGTTTTCGATCACTTGCACGCCACCGCCTATATGAACCAACCCCTCGGACGAACAATTCTCGGACCTAAGGAAAACATCGAGACCATTTCCCGACAAGACCTGGTTGACTATATTGGCACCAACTACACCGCGGACCGTATGGTTCTAGTGGGAGCTGGTGGCATTCCTCACGAGGAGTTGGTCAAGCTCGCCGAGAAGCACTTTTCCGGCCTCAAGTCTGCACCACCTACCTCGTACGCGGCCGAGATTGCTGCCGAGCAAAAGCGCACTCCCGAGTTCATCGGTTCCGAGGTCAGAATCAGAGACGACACCATCCCAACTGCTCACATTGCCATTGCTGTTGAGGGTGTGAGCTGGAAAGATGACGACTACTTTACTGCGCTTGTTACTCAAGCCATTGTTGGTAACTGGGACCGTGCCATGGGCAACTCCCCATACCTGGGAAGCAAGCTCAGCACTTTCGTCAACGCCAACAACCTTGCCAACAGCTTTATGAGCTTCTCTACGAGCTACAGTGATACTGGGTATGTGTTGAGAAAAGACCGAGATAGGAATGATTTTGCTAACAGTGATGGTTAATAGGCTCTGGGGTATCTACCTCGTCAGCGAAAACAAGACGGCCCTTGATGATCTTGTCCATTTCACTCTCCGTGAATGGTCCAGACTGTCATTCAACGTCAGCGAAGCCGAGACGGAACGTGCCAAGGCTCAACTGAAGGCCTCAATTCTCCTTTCGCTCGACGGTACGACTGCTGTTGCGGAAGACATTGGGCGACAAATCATCACCACCGGCCGAAGAATGGACCCTGCCGAGATTGAGCGTGTAATTGGATCCATCACCGAGAAGGATGTGATGCGCTTTGCCCAGAAGAAGTTGTGGGATCAAGATGTTGCTGTATCGGCCGTTGGATCGATCGAAGGTCTTCTCGATTACCAGAGAATAAGAAACGATATGAGCCGAAATGCGGCATAGACGGAGGCTAGTTGTTTCTGCCGGACAAAGGAAAGTACCAAAAGAAATAAAAAAGGAAAAAAGACATTTTTTGTTACACAGAGGGCAGAAGCTCGGGGAGCAAAAGAGGGCTTTTGTATTGTACAGTGTGCATGATAATTCGAAAAGAATTTGCCGTGATATTTTCAATGTTCCCTGCATGTCTGCAGTAGGTGTTCGAAATTCGATGTTGGGCAACGCAGTTGACACTACGAGCTATGGACAGTGCTGAGGACTGAATCGCTGCTACTGAGATTACTTTATCTGTCCATCGGTATTGCGAGGTGGATGCAATGTCCATGATCGATGCGTCCAGGTACTTGCTTTACATCTTCCCACCTTTTTCCATCTCAAACAGTACGGAGTTGTGGGAATATCTCCTAGTCTCCGAGGGTGTAAATCCTGATCAGTCAACTTGATGATACGGCGATCGCGTTACTGTGCTTGATACTCCACAAACCCTTCATCCTTACCGATGAAATCCGCAAAACCTGCGGACTCATTAGATAAGCGAGGTAGAGGGGTATCTTCTGGCTCTCTCGTACAACATGACATGGAACAACAGCATGACATGGAACAACAGCATGACATGGAACAACAGCATGACATGGAACAACAGCATGACATGGAACAACAGCATGACATGGAACGTGAACCCAAAAACTTGTCATTGCCCCATCATTACCGTTGCCATTGCGGATTCTTCGAGAGAAAAAAAAGATCTAGCAGATCATGGAAGGGGAAAGAAAACAAAGAATGAATCCGTACCAAAAAGTCTGTTAATTGGAGGTTCGGATATGTTCCATTTTGAGAAGTTCCTCCTTTTAAAACTGAGTAACTCGTCCGTGCCCTTCGTACGTACGAGTAGATTATGGTACTCCTCTGTATATCACAGCTAGAACCATTGGCGATACCTAGGTACTAACTCGGCATATTCGATTGATCCCCCTGAAGTTCTGTCATAGCTTACAAATTGTTCTTTTATTCGTCTATTACAGTATTCTCTACTATCTCCACACTGTATATTTTGATAAAGGTACTCGATTCTAAGGTGGCAAGCATTGGAACGACACATCATACATATATTCGTCTACCTTGCCCCTACCGACCTTAACCTCGGTTCTCCCCCTTTACTTCAAACCATCCCTGCCGTTCCTTCCTTCCACACTGCTACGATACACCCTCACGAATACCAAACTTCACATCTCGACAGTCATGCCCACCAAGAACCTAGCATTCATCTTCACGAAACCACCCACGGGGGTCCCCGTACCCGGTGAACACGTCACGGTCAAGGATGTAGGGTTCGACCTGGACGCCCCGGCTCCGGAAAACGGGATGGTCCTTGAGACTCTCTATGTCTCCTTGGACCCTTACCTCCGTGGACTCTTGCGCGACCCCAGCATCAAATCCTACATGCCACCGGTACCATTGGGTTCACCCATCTCTTCACAGTCGTTGAGTCGGGTCGTCAAGTCCAACCTGTCCGACTTCAAGGCGGGAGACGTGGTGCGTCACTTTCTCCCGATCCAAGAATACAACACCTACGTCGCCCCGGCGGATCTCAAAGGCGCGAGACTCCCCATGAGGATCGACCCGGCCCTGGGGGTCAAGGACATTCGTCACTACCTGGGAGCCTTGGGCATGCCCGGCCTCACCGCCTACAGTTCCTTGTATGAGATCGGCAGGCCCCAAAAGGGTGAGACCATCGTGGTCAGTTCGGCAGCCGGGGCCGTCGGTCAGTTGGTCGGTCAACTGGCCAAACACGAAGGTCTCACCGTCTTTGGTTCCGTGGGTACCGACGACAAACTGGCCTACATCATCGACGACCTCAAGTTCGACGGCGGTTGGAATTACAAGAAGGAACCCTCCACCTTGAAAGTCATCCACCGGCTCACCGGCGGCGACGACAATGGAATCGACATCTTTTATGACAACGTCGGTGGCGAACAACTCGAAGGTGCATTCGACGCTCTCAACTGGCACGGTCGGATCGTCGAGTGCGGTCAGATCAGTCAGTACAACCTACCACCCGCGGATCGATACCCGATCAGAAACACCTTCAACATCGTAGTCAAGCGTTTGCAAGTTGAAGGTTTCTTGGTCGGAGACGAAAGGTTCGGTCCCAAATGGGCCAAAGAACACCTCACAAAAGTCAGTCAGTGGTTGAACGACGGTACTTTTGTGGCAAAGATTCACGAGACGATCGGCATGGAAAATGCCGGAGAGGCGTTTGTTGGAATGTTGAAAGGTGACAATTTCGGAAAGGCCGTGCTCAAAGTGAAATAAGAACCAACAAGGAAACAAAGGGGCATTTGCTATGCTATGATGTGATGTGATGTGATTCTTATTTTGAGAGCTTGGCCAATTTTCTGGTACATATATATATACATATATATACACACACACATACTGGTGATTATGAGAAATGATGATTACTTGGAATTGAATTGGGAGATATTGATCGCTCATTGAATATTCATGTTCATCATAATGTTGTCGGTATCCCCTTTATCCTATCCCTCTACTCGTAGTCTTTTTTCTCGTTTCATTCCATAAGGGAGTTGTATTTTGCCATGACCATTCAATTTCATTGGGTCAATCCTCCTCTCGGCCCTGTTCGCATCGATGATGCTGTCTTTGGCCTAGTGCTGTGGTGACGAGAATGTTTCTTCTCGTTGCCGTCTGATCAAAGGACTCTTTGTGGCGGTCTTGAATGTCACTGATCTTTGTACCTCGGCGGGCTATTGACATGGTGATTCCGAAGTATCATTGTCCGAATGAGCGAGGCAAACAACCCAAACTCAAGGGCAATGTGTACGATAAACCCGGTCTTGGATAATACACAACAAGGTAGGTGACCTCCTCAACTCGGACGAATCCGGTGATTCTCTCTTTGATGCCCCAACACGAACCTACGGGAAAACCATTCGGGCACAGCAGAAGTGGTAGTGGTAGTGACAGCAGAAGTACCCGCGGTCCCGGCGGTACTAGAAGTGGCAGGATGATGATGATGATGATGATGATGACCACCTCGCCGTTGATGATGATGCTCTCGTCGCTGCCGTTCTCGAGGAGCAAAAAGCGACGTCGGTGGAGGTGGAGGTGGAGAAGTAGGACGACGATGACGACGATTCGGTGCGGTCTCGTTGATTTCCTGATCCGATTCGACCTCGACCGGGACCGGATATTGGACGGCCCGATCCCAATCACTGAGGTGTTCGTAGGGACTTCTCAACCAAGACTCGAGCTCGTGAAGGAACAATCGGGCATTCTCTCTCCCGAAGAAATCTTTCAGTAACTCCTCGGCTTGTCCGGAGCTCCCTTTCAAATCGATCGATCTCAAAATGGCAACGACGTACTCGAGCAAAAAGTCGGCATTGTTTGCTCGTCGGTCTGCCGTCACTGGATTCCTGCTACCACCACCACCATTGACGACGGAGGAAGAGGGAGTAGAAGTGACATTGTCGTTTGCATTCAAAAAGTCAAACACCCCCAATTCACGACGGATCCACTTGCGTGCTCGGGACTGTAGTTGTTGATCGTTTGAGAACGATTCCGGGGTGAGGTTTCGGTAACGAGATATGCGGTTGGTCCCGACGTGCAACGAGTACAGTCCTTGCCGGTAGACTTGTCTTCGGAAATCGACTATGGTGGTGGCCGTATCGTTCGTCGATCCACGGTGATTGTTTCGCGATGGCCTTGCCGGCTGTCTCCCAGGTCTGTGCCTCGTTGTGCTCGGACGGGGCGCCGTTCCCAATCTCGGATCGAATGTCGTCGAGGTCCCATGTCGTCGCCCGCGAGAGGCCAGCGACGCGGGCTCGGTAGCAGCGGGAGGCTCGGGAAGATGAAAGATCCGAGTTCCCAGTTTGTTTCCCTCGCTCACACCACCGAACCTGATGGAGGTCACGTGCCGTTTGCACAGTGGACAGACTTGCTGACGTTGGAGCCATGCCCCCAAACAGTGAAAGTCGAACTGATCGTGTCGACACGGACAGGCTATGGCTTTCTCAGTTATGGTGTCGAGGCAAATGACGCACGTGTCGGGCGTCGCGACGGCCAATGGTTCCAGAACAGCGGAGGGCGCAGATGGGCCTGGGGCCTGCTGCGCAACAGTCGTTGGTAGATCATCCTTTTCGTCGGGCTTTTCTGCCATCAAGTGGTGTAGAGGAACGCCATTTGGACGGACACGCAACATGGTGGCGGGTTGATGACCAAGTGACAAAAACTTGCACTTCAAAGGGGAATGTGGTCCGCCGTAATTTGGGTTGAAATGACGTGTCAGACGAAGCCCGTTCCCTTTGAGGGTTTCTGACCGGGGAGCAAGACTATTACATATTAAATTCTTTTCCACAGTAAGATATAAACTCGAGACTACGGAGTATGTCAAGCATATACGCATAAGCTGTTTCAATCATCGTCGTCGTCATCAACACATCACATCGGTGGCATTTGACTGGCAACGACAGCACCTTCAGCTGCCAGAGTTGCATAATAAAGTTGTGTCTCAGCACAAATCACCATACGACCTTTACCTGCAAAGTTGAAGTTTGCGGAAGTTGTACCAAGGAAAATCTTGCCCAGCAATGTGCCAGAGGGATTCCAGACTTGCACACCATCATTCAGACCGGCGTACACATTACCATTGGTGTCGCAGTGGATGCCATCTGGAACACCAGGTGTAGCATAAGTGAATAACTTGCGATTGCTGAAAGTACCGTCTTCTTCGACGGTGAATCGGTAACTTTGAATCTTGTCAACAATTTGTTACCCAAAAGATTAGAGATATTCTTACATTGAGGCTGGAGCAGTCATATTATAACCATAGAATGAGTACTGTGCTCCAGTATCTGTCACGTAGGCATATGAGCCGTTGGGAGAAAACGTGATCCCTATTTGGCACTGGGTCAATTCCATGTAGAATGCCTCAAGAGATTTAGAACAGTACCATTAGGTAAATCGAAGCCATCAGCAACGACAGTAACTGCACCAGTCGTCGGAGTGAAACGGTACACCTGATTGGGCAGAGCAGGAGGAGGTCGGAAGTCTTGGAGATAACCATACAATGTGTCGGTGAAATATACGTCTCCATTACGAGGATTGATCGATACATCATTTAGAGAGTTGAACTGGCGACCGAAGTAGTTGTTTACCAGTACTACCATGCTTGAGTAAGGTGAGGAGGTACGGATATGTTGAGCTTACCAGTCGTGTTGTATGGTGGCTGAGGATTGACCACGTAGAGCGACGGCGCAGTGTTATTTCCCTGTCCTTCGCCGGTGAAGAGTAGCTGACCCCGATAGTTGGTCCCGCCTGGAACGAATTATTTAGAACCTCGCTTTCTCTCCGCCTTGACTGTACGTACCATTGGCATTGACCACGGTAGGGTTGGCATTGACCGTCGTGACATTCACATGGCCACTTGCATTGCGCTGAGTCGAATATTGAGCAGCCTGGGACAATGAGATCTTCTGGATGATGTTCGACTTGTTGAGGCCGGTTCCAGAAGCTGTCGCTCCAGCGTTTTGGACGAAGAACATTTCATCTGTTGGCGGGTACCTGGGTTCATATGAGTGAGAAGTCTTTACAAGGTCATCCACAAGCGACGACGCACCAAACAACGGCCTCGTGGTAGAGGGGATTGATGCCTTGGCTAGCGATGACTGTCAGGGTCGGGTTGTCACCAATGATGTCGTAAAATGCATCATCGTAAACATGAAATGGTTTGGAGGTAGCTTCATCTTCCGAGATGCCTGGAGGCAAAAAGATCTATGCTCGGTGAGTATGAAATTGGTCTCAACTCCGGGTCAGAGTCAGTTACTGTTGTCAGATTCGACTTGGAAGGCGGTGGCACCGTCTTCAAAGCACTGAAAGACTTTGGATCGATAACCAGAGCTTGATTAGGGACAGATGCATTTTGGGCAGAGACCACAAAAGCCAACAAGGTCAGCCAAAGCAATGCCAGCAACATCATCTTGAAGCTGTGCAGGTGAGAGTTTCAGTCACTTGACAATTCGAGTGGAGAACAGGAAAAGGCTCAGGTGCGAGTATAAGAGCTTTTCTCTTGTCCAGCATCTCCCCCAGATTCTCTCCGCATCTTGGAGGACGAAGGAAGAGGAGGAGGAGGAGGAGGAGACAGAATGAGGTCATTCATTTTCATGCAATGATCCAGGTCAGGAACACAAACTCTGTACATAGGTTGTCCTCGTCTGATTCGTGGCTTTTGTCCGCCACTTTCGTCGAGATGAGAGATGTAAGAGGTCGAAGTGACCAGGGTTCATGTTACTGAGAGACGACAATCACATTCATTGAGGTCAGAGAAAGACGGTCTGGGGTGCCAAGTAAGGCTTAGTCAGCACTGTATGGGGTTGTGGTTTCCTTTGCCTCTTCCCTCCTTCCTTCCTTCATCCTCGTATCCTTGCACAACACGTTGACGATCATGTTATTCTAGATGCGAGTGTCATAACCTCATCACATATCATGAAGCTGGTGGGGGTGGGCGCCTGCTACATGGACACCATCTTGAGGTTGGTTCTTCTCTAAATCCCTAAATCGTCGACATTGCGCGAACCTGAAGCCCAACCCAAACAGTGTGCCATATTACCCAGCCGAGGATGAGAAACTCCGAGCCACAAACATCCATCGACGCCGTGGGGGTAATGTACCAAATACGCTGGAAGTCTTGCAACAGCTCGTCAGGATCAGCGATGAGCACGAACCTCAGCTATACCTCTGCTCCGTCATGCCAGCATCCTCCGCGGTCGCATCTCGCGAGATAAAGGCCTCTTTCGGTCCTAACGTAGATCTGTCCCGTTGTTTATACCGTGATGACCATTCAGAGCCGGCTTCCAGCTATATCATCAAGAGTTCTTCAGCTGACGGCCGGACAATTGTGAATTACAACGACTTGCCAGAAATGACAAGTGATGAATTTGTGGCTATATCAGACTCTTTCGACAATGAAACACCAACCTGGTATCATTTTGAAGTGCGTTTGAAATCTACTACCCCCTCCCTTCGCTTTGATTTCGGGCTAACACAGTCTTTCAAGGGTCGTATCCCAGACGTCACACTTGAGTGTATTCGACATTTACGCCGAAAGCATCCCAACGTGAAAGTCAGTGTCGAGGTCGAAAAGCCAGGCCGTTCTGGTCTCGAGTCTCTAGCTGCTGAGGCTGACGTCGTCTTCTACTCCAAGAGTTGGTCTCGCGAACGGGGTTGTTCTGACGCCACCGCGTGTGTGCTGGAGCAGGCCATGATAGCTAGAAAGGCGTATGCCCTCACAAAATTCCTTGATAGTTATCCCGAAACTAGCTGACAACAAATTCTCAAGCTCTCATTTGTTTTGCACATGGGGAGAAGAAGGCGCCACTGTACTCGACGTCCGGAATCAAAAGATATACAATCGATCAGCCGCCCCGATAATGCCTATTACAGAGTATGTTCAATCGCTAGTCGTTTATGAATTTATGAGCTGAGACGAAGGAAAAAGCACTATCGGAGCCGGCGATACATTCGTTGCTGGAGTCTTGTACGGGATGATTTGGCGAGACAATGATTGGGATGTGTTACAAATTCTCGACTTTGCAAACAACCTTGCAGGACGTAAAATTCGCCAGGAAGGCTTTCAAGGGTTGGCCGAGGAGATGCGTCTCTGTGGTTATATGCCAGCTTAAATTCAGAACGTGGGCAGATGCTAAGGCAACAAGAGATTTCGATTACGAGTATGAACCCACCCTCAGAAAGGTGTGAAGCGTCTCTGTTCGAGATACCAAAATGATTTTAGCTCTTCAGTCGTTCAGCCTCTATCCTCACCATTTCTGCAACTGTGTCCTGCAATGATGGCGCCGAAGGTTTCCAGCCAAGTAATACCTTTGCCTTCTCCGACTTGTACACGGCATTGGTACCCCAGAAGATGGCACCTCCTGGCATGGCGGCGTCCGCCTCATCGACGTCGATCGTACTGTTTATTGTCGGGGATGTGATGAGACCCTGTGAGTGAGCTTCAGTGGCCACAGATTCGCACAAGTCTCCAAAGGCCTAGACAATACCTATCCTCAGCGACTCAGCGCATAGCAGCGGCACACGCCTTTCTTTGAAAGGGTTAAGGACTCACCATGTCTCCATTACTAGGAAGATGGACACCATTCTCGCCCCAGACGTCCAATTCTGTGTCACTCGTACGGTCACCGTGCATAGTCGTCCTGGCCAGCGTTGCAAACAATTCACCCAGATCTTTAATGTGGATGTTACTCCATACATTCAAGCCTCTTCTCAATTTGAACCCGCCACCATCAAGGATAGTCTTTCTTGCAATTTCGGGCGCTTGGATGCTTCGCTTGTTGCCTGGTCCCGAACCAGTACCGTAGATCAATGGCCCGACAACTAGAGCTGTTCGGACATTTGTAGATACAGATTGGGAGATGATGTAGTTATCCATTTCCCGCAAAGGGTTGGCGTGGATAACTTCGATTATGTCACGTTGACCACGGCCCAAGTCACCCCAGATCGTGGTGGGAGGTTCGCCGTACCTGTCGGAGTCTACCTCGGATTTCACAAAGAGTGAAGCTCCCGACATTTGTATATACGTCGCTGTGATCGCACCATCGGGAAGGTCAGTCATCAATTTTCAGTTTTTTTGTTTCTTGAATAAGACATACGTTTTGAACCGGTGGTACGTGATCTCCAAGTCAATCCTTTAACGATGGCGTGGGCGGCACCCATGTGTTTTGTATCGGCTAGTTCTGTGGATAATCAGAAAAGAGTCACATTGGTACAGATCCCCATTGAGTCAGGTCACTCGGTACTCGAAGTGTACGACATTCCGCAGTTCATCGATGAGTACTACTGCTCAAAAAGCGAAATATGTAGTACTGTACTCGGCAAGGGAAAAGAAAAGAGAAAATCTCACGAAGAACGAGGTCTGATTTCCGACATTCCTCCTCAATCGTCTCGACGTCGTCAAGGTCACCGATGACAACCTCGACGACATGGTCCGGGTAGGCATCTTGTACAATCTTGCCCTTTTCAGCGCGTCGGACGAGACATGTGATTGAAACGTGTGAGGACGGAGTGGACGACGCTATGGCGTGGAGAGCCTGACCACCGACATAACCTGTCGCTCCGGTTCTAAACAGTATGCTGGTCAGTTGATGGTACGCGAGAGCATAGGAAATGACGGCGAGCTGGGTTGAAATGCTACTAGTAGTGAAGCATGGACGTCGAATACGTACAAAAAGATGTGGACTTTATTGTCCAAACTCGGACCGGAGAACCAGGTACTCAAAAATGGTACCTGAAGAGTACGACACAATAAAGAGAGTATGTACATGTCGAGGATCTCACTCACGGCGTGCTCTTTAAAGTGAATAGTGAGCAGGTAATTGATTGTAAATCAAATAGATCATGACACTTTACCGGGTAGAAGGCGACACGAAGAGTATCTGCGCTGTTCTCCGGAGCCACGATAAGACAGCAAAAATCCCCCCTGTTCTCGTCAACGGAACCGAACATTTCATAGACTTTTAAAGTCATGTCGTTCTTTCTATTTCGTCGTCGCAATCTGTAACAACTTTTCGAAATTCGGGGTTCCCAATCCAGTCACCGCATCCCACCCGGATGTGGCATTCCATCCCGCACCAGGTACTTCCGGGGCGTCCAAACCAGACCCCAACGCGACGTCGAAACAGCCCTGAGACCCTCCCTTGGTGATGTCGGTCAGAGCCTTGCGGCCGTCGCCGTAAAGCCACGGGTTGAGGAACCCAAGAGGTTTCATGCCCTTTGATAGCCTCGCCGAATTGATGTTGGCAATAATGGCAGCCCACACTGGTGTAGCGAAACTGTTTGAGCCAGGCACACAAGAAGAGTCAGTCAAAAACCAGGACACATTGGGGTCTAAGATAGATATCAAGCCCGGGGTGGGTGGGTAGCAAAAATGGGTCACCGAGTACTAACCTTGTCCCACCATCTGCCAATTCCTTTCCCATATGAAACATTGGATAGGTGGTTTGAGCTTGCGCCGAAATGTCCGGAATGCCTCGTCCAGTGCGATTGTAGAGACCCTTGAACCTATCTTTGACGGTCTTGTCGAGATAATTCTCGACTTGTTCGGCTTGATAGTCTGGTCGAGCAAAAATGTCCGAAAAGCCACCTCCAGACAACCACGTCGCGATCTCTGGCTCTACCTGCTCCGTACCACCCACCGCGGTGATCCAAGGGCACGAAGAAGGGAATTGAGGTTGGAATCGGGTCGTGTTTTTGCCGTCGTTGGTCATGCATCCGTCACCTGGACCACCGTCGCCACTAGAGAAAAATATCGTCAATACTGGCGCAAAGCAACGCAGGTGCTAGAGAGCGACAAGGATCCCAGAACCTCTTACCTAGCTACAAGAACAGAAGTACCTCGAGCACCAAGCTTTGCAAACAACTGACACACACTCTTCATGTAGGAAACAGGGTGACTCTGTTCGTCTGCCGCGTAGGAAATACTGAGAACCGTGGGGAGATGCTCGTCGGTCAAGTTGAGCAGGAATTGTAGATGTTCCAAGAATGGTTCCTGCACGTCGATCGACTCCGAGTTGTGAGGCTGTTGCAGGTCGGGTATGAGAGGACCGAGACCGCCCGTCTTGTAAAATGTCGCTGGGATCCCGGGTGAGAGACTTGTACCGTACTGGACGTCCAGGTTGGCCTCTTTGGCCCAATCCACGACTCCGGATTCATTGTTTACTCCACCGTTGGACGTCACCACTTTGAAGGTCGTGTCGTTCTCCTTGGGGGCCCACTTGTTCAGGAATAGCTGGAGGTCACTGTGGACGGCTTGCTGGTAGTTGAATCCGGAGATGCCCAACTTGACTCCCGAGCTGGAGTTGGCTCTGAAGTTTCCAATCTTGTAGAGAGCCCGGATGCAGTCCGGAGGTGTGGTCGTGTTGCAGTACGTCACATTGAGTTTGGTGGGGGAACCATACACCTCGAATGGAGGACCCGGCGCTCGGGTCGATTGTTGAGGCTGAAGACGGCTGAAGTGAGTCGTAGGTTGAATCATTTGGATGTGTCGGTGGAGATGGGCCGGTACCGAGTACTGGAGCGTCCGTATGACCGGTACTACTTCGTCCGTGACATGGTGGTGGTAGTAATGAAACTGGGTGTCGAGTAGGACTTCTGCCCGTTCAACCGTCGTCACCACATTGATCCATTCCCCGTTGTCTTGAATATTTGCCTGTGGAATGCCAGAGTCGTACAGCCAGGTCATGATGGCATCCGACACGTCAGCGTCGGGTCGGAGAAGCGCAGCCAACTGTTCCGAGTTGTAATGCTGGCCATACTTGTCGTGTCCGGGAGTCGAAATCTGGAGGAGGTGTTGTTCCAGTAGTGCTTGTTTTTCTTCCTGACGAACGGCAATGTGAAACTTGACCAACTGAGGGGCCGGTGCTAGATCTCCTTGATACCAACCTCTGGGAACACCATTGAGCTCCTCAAAGACTTCCAGGTTAGTAGTAGAAGGGGCCGCATATGCGGTACCTCTTGAGAGCACGGTCCATACTGTAAATAATGGGGAGAACAACAACATGATGGATAAATTCCCTTGTAGTAGTGAGTGGGTGACCAGATCACGATTTGATCATGCGCAGTCAGTCAGTCTCTCTTCCCAGTCTGCGCTGAGATAGATTGTGAAGCATACTTAAGTATTATATGGATCCTTGTTGTCCCTCCACACGGTGCCTGCTGGAGGGCGGAAAGGTGGACTCCATATTGGGGGCCATTATCTGATGCCTGGTCGAGCTGTGGAGACGGATGAATACATGCGCCGTTAAGAACGAGCGAGAGGGCCTTGCACAGTCCGCTCCACAAAAGATCAGGGAGTCGGTAATGCGTGATCCAGAACATGTAGATTGGGAGCCCTTCGATATCTGTTTCACTCTCTCATAGAGAACTCTCAACAAGGGAGAATCGAACAACGAACTCGCCCTGAAGTGTATAGGAGGTTAAAGAGAAAGATGTATATTCCAGCGACCAGCAAATCGGTCATCGGCCAAGGGAAAAACGCTGTAGGCTGTAGCTCTCAATGACGTCTCAATCAGATTACCAACCGGATGACAGAGCCTTGCAATAATGGGAAATCTGCCTCGCACAAGACATATGAGATGCATAGAAGTGCATCTTCCGATCCTGGGAGAAGGAATTGATTGTTGCCTAGTTGTAGATGTCGATGGGATTGTGGAGTGCGAGACCAACAAAGAACAATTTATGGTCACCACCCCTGGCAAGGCTTGAATGTGCCGATGTGGATACCTTCAAGTCTGTAGTCCAGAGTTGACCTGTTGCTATTTCTGTCTACCATTGTACTTGTACGAGTACGCATTGATGGATTGACCAGTTGAATTGATTGAAAAGACCAAAAGGCCTTCACTTACTCGATTTTCATGCCCCTTCCAGTCCGTGCCCAGACCCGAAGCAGCGAAGATCCTCTGGTATGGTTTCAACCTCTTTCCACGTCCACGGGCGTATTCGGTCGAATTGAAAAACATGAAGGCGTTAAACCCGAGATTTCTCAGGTCACGCGCATAATCATGTCAGTTATTAATGTCGAAATTGCTTACCATCAATAGTTAGTACGGAGCATTCATACTGTGAATCCCTCAAGGACCACAGCCTTGGTTGCATAATAAATGATCGCACTGCTCTTAAGCTCAACACACTCACACAGACGGTGCTACTTTTAAGACGACCCGCTCACGGCTCACTCTCTTCTCACTCTTCTTCTCACTCTTTTGCCCATGCTCTTACACAATTTTATAGTAATTCAATTTTTACTACCGAGGGCTTCTTACGGCGATGTTGCAAGAGCCATGACTTGACACTTGGCACGCCCGCGCTGTAACCATTTCAAACCAGTGGTAAGAGTGCGGACGTCGTGGCGTTCACCCAATCCTCGTCTCCGAAACACGGCATGTCATGAGCGATTGACAGCTGAATCAAATCTTCTAGTCATCTGAAAAAGAAATGGCGAAAGAACATGAGACTTCATGCGTATCGTACTGATTGTGTGTTGGATAATGTGACTTTACCGCCCAACATGATTCGTAGCCAGTTTTCTGTGGCTCTGCAGACTTATTCTACCCGATCAAGGTCTAGTAGAAACTTCCGACCACCAGCGGATCGATGAAAATAAGAAAACCCGAGAGTCTGAATGATAACAGGATCTCCGAATCTATGCAATTCTCGCCGTTTTCCAAGCGCAGAGCCTTGGTGACAGCTCTCTTTTGAGAGAAGTGTAATAAGTCCAGCCCTCACAGTCGACGTTGATGTGCCCCACCGTCAGCATTTGATGACAGCAACCGTGTTAAGACGATGCGGCCTCGGCTCTGGGCCACCTCCAAAGCCCATGTAACTCGTAAGTGCTCAAACAAAATGCTTCATTAAGTCACACCGGGCCAAGAGCTGGTGGTATACAAGACAGGCGAAAACCTTGATTCTTTGTGATCTCTTTCGAAGTGATTGCTCTGATTAACTCTTGGCCCACGGTCAAACATCCGCAATGGGTTCTACAGCACAAGGTCCGAGACCATCAGAGATGTCGAATAACACGACGGCCGCAAAACAACATCTTCGCGAGGAGGGGTGGTGTATCATACCGGAGGTCTTGACGAAGGAGCAAACACAAGAGGTTTTGGCTTGCCTGTGGAAAGCCAAAGAAGCAAGCGAGAGACAAGGAGATCCGACCCGGCTCGACTTCTTGGATCCCAACGCCAGCAACGTGCGTGTCTTCTACCTCATGCAACTAGACAAAGTCTTTAGAGAACTCATCCAAAACCCCACGGCCATAGAGATGGTTAAGTCGGTTCTTGGACCCGACTTCCTCATTTCCAACTTCACAGCCAATATTGCAAGGCCGGGGTCGAAGTCCATGGGTCTTCATTCCGATATGTCGTTGGTTGTACCCGACCCATGGAAAGAAGTCTGGGCTCTTAACGTTATTTGGTGCTTGACTGATGTATACTTCGAAAACGGGGCAACTTTATACATTCCAGGAAGTAACAAGTGGGAATCCCAGTCGGAGGTACCCCGGAATGCTAAACAGCTACTCAAGCCATTCGAAGCAAAAGCAGGCTCAATCGTAGTGATGGATGGCAGGGTGTGGCACACGAGTGGTGAGAACATTTCCCAGGAAGATCGCGCCTTGCTCTTTGGATACTATACTGCGCCATTCCTGCGTCAGCAGGTGAACTGGAGCGAAAAACTGGACGCCGAAACGAAACAGAGTCTCTCTCCCGAGATGAAGGAGTGGCTCGGGTTGAGTATCAATGCCAACCTTGGAAGGGCATTGAATCTCAAATACTTGGACGACCAGTTTGCAGAGGATAATAACTAGCAAAATGACGATATTTCCATTGAACTACGTCCAGCGTTGAGGAACATCTAGATTTCCTAGCACTTTGCACCGACAGCCACTGCTACTGCCAACTAGTTCGCCTAGTTCACTATGATCCCTGATATCCTGTACGATGGAGACGATGATATGATGGTCTCATCTACCTAAACAAATGCCTTGCGAATGTGAGCCGCGGATGCAATGTTCTTGACAGCCTCAGCCTGATTCTCCCACAACTAATCGGGCTCTGTAAGATGCCGAGATACCTTAGTAAACCAGTTTGAAGAACAGAGACGTTGATAGGGCTTACCTTAAGACCCCATATACTTGAGAAAGTTGGGGCCGCCCGTGTGGGCGTTCCATCCACCGTCTGCAACAATGGCTATTTTCAACATTCTTAGCTAGTGTCACTCAAGGGGCAAGCCCGATGGCTCGGGCTGTTGAAGACACGTCAAGGAATTCCGGATCTGCTTACTCTGTCCAGTGATATAAGACGCATCATCTGAAGCCAGAAAGAGGACAGCCTGGCCGACTTCTTTAGGGTCGGCGCCTCTGTGAATGGGTATACTGTCCAGAAGGACTTGGTGAACAGTTTCATCATCTCTGAACGGAGCCGTCATTGGCGTGATCATGTATCCTGGGCACACACAATTGGCGCGTATGCCCTCCCGTGCGTGATCCAGAGCCATGACTCGAGTCAGATTGATCAGACCAGCCTTAGCCGCACTGTACGAGCACAGCCCAAAGTCGCCAGCAAGACCGGCGGTGCTGGCGGTACTGACAATGGCACCGTGGCCCTGTTTCTGCATTTGAGGTATCACCACTCTAGCCAAGAAGAACAGTCCACATAGGTTGGTGCGGATAACATCTTGGAATAGAGCCACGTCATGGTCCACTACCGTCGACACTTTAGCCAGTCGAGCTCCGTTGTGGAAAAGGACATCAAGCCTGCCGAATTGCTGGATACATTTGGCGACAGCCTCCTCACAATCCTTGGGATTCGAAACATCACAGCGGTGGAAGAAGGCTTTGTCGGAACCCAATCGCTGTAGGATGTCGCGCTCAGCTATATCCGTCACAAAGACTGTCGCCCCCTCTTGAATAAAGAGCTTGCAAGTATCCTCCCCTAGCCCAGAGCTGCCTCCTGTAACGAAAACCACCTTTCCCTCGAATCGGTGCCGACTCATGGTTCGTGTAAGTGGTGTAGAGGGAAAGCAAGGGAGTGTTGCGTTCACAATCCGAAATGCTCCTTGAAGATCCCGAACAGACAATTTTGAATACGAATGATACCCAATGGGCAGGATATGTCTACAAATCTTTGATCGTACTTCAAGTGACGTACACTTTTGATTATCCCTTCTGCGGATCCCACATTAATAGTCACGAATTTCTTACGACAATATTGATCTTTTTAAGAGCGCGTGTAATATGGCTACCAAGCCTTGCAGAAGAAGAGGACGATCAGCAATCTCCTATAGAGAACGTCTTGACGGATACCCCTCTAAGATAAGAATCATGCTATATACCCTCAGCACGAAAAGATCCCGAAGCAGATCGGCACATTGTAGGAAGGCTGTGACTGTCACGAGTCTTCCCCTGCCCAAGGCAGTTGCTCAAGAAATGTGCATGAAATCTGGATTCACCTATGGAATGCTCCGTCCGCATTGCAAATTAACTGAGTAGGCACTACTTCGTCATCCGGGTCAAGTTTGTGCATACAAAATCTATATCTCCCTGTGAGCCCTCGAACCCTGGATGGACCTTTACAATTTGGAAGTAGCCTGCCTCTTCTTCGCACGGTCCTGATCTCTCAGGATACGACGCAGTATTTTCCCGCTGGGGGACTTGGGGATCACATCGATGAACTCTACACCGCCTCGAAGCTGTTTGTAATGAGCCTTCTCCTTTGCCACATACTGTTGAATGTTGGACACCAGGACATGGTCATGGTCTTTGGCAGAGGGCGACTTCACCACGAAGGCTTTGGGGACTTCACCCGCTCGATCGTCTTGTACTGGAATCACAGCACAGTCGGCGACAGCAGGGTGGTTAAGGAGACATGCTTCAAGCTCGGCGGGTGCAACCTGGTGGCCCTGTTGAACAGGTGTCAGCATTCTGCAGCTTACCGGGGGGATAAGATATCTTTCGGTCTGCGAACACTTACCTTGACCTTGATCAGTTCTTTGATGCGGTCGACA